TGGCGCCCGGAATGATCTGGACGCGTTCAAATGTGCTTGCCAGGATGACCACATTGCAGCCGGCGGCGTAGGCCTAAAAGTGTTTTGAAAAAAAAAACAAAATCACAAGGGTCTGATAAGTAAGGGGTACTCCCGCATTTTCTAATTTTTTTTTTAGTTAATCTCTCCGGCACATGGGTGTGTGTACAGTCTCAAGTATACGAGGAGTATATGTATATCGATAACGATACCGTTGCCTGTCCAGGGGAAAAGCTTATCAGGCCCGGAGTCCGGACAAGGCTCTTGCCACATCATGTTTGGTTACCTGGTTAGCTAAAGTGTATTTGATTTATTTGTTGAACTGTCGCTGATATGCTCATTATCGTGGAAAGAGTGAAAAAATAGCCTATATATTTAAAATACCCTATAGAAAGTAATTGGAGAAAGGGTTCTATATTTATAATAATTTATTTTAAAATCTAACAAGACTAATATTTGGGTTCTAATAGCCTTATTATATGAGGAGAAGGCTTTAAACTTTTCAAAAATATGGTTTAATATTTTCTCTTCTTAAATTAACATATATAATCTCTCATTTTTTAGGGCATTTCTAGGGTATTTGCTTTTTTTGCGATAAATATTAGTCACCTTGGTGGCCTTATATTATAATATAACTGCTTTTTCTGTGACGGGTTTATTTTTAAACAATTGTGTTTTGATGCATGTCTGGGGTTTACTCTGACAATTTACTTAGCTTACTCCATTTACATAAACTATCTTATTTCTAAGGAAAATAAAAAAAAAATATTCTCCTTTTTCTTGCTAACTACCTCCCAGTAGATGGCGCCACCAGTCACCAATGTTTCTGTGGTCTATGGTGTTTATTTGTGAATATCTGTATTGAATTAGAAATATAATAATAAAGTGCAACGATGGCAAACGATACCCCCCCCAACCAGACGATGTCTGGCTGTGTGGGTGGAGGAGCAATGTCAACATTGGGGAGCAATACGAACGGGTGCCTGATTACAGAATAGAATGTACACATTAGAATGGCGAAATGTGCACAGTTAATTATGCTTTCGATGGGTATTTTTAAGGGGGAAACAGACCTCGGACGTCTAGTGTTCGGGTAAACATCATCTAACGTAAATATACAATATAAAGCAGGTGCCCAGTGGCGTCTAAATAATGGGAGGGATCGGACCCGTCTCAACTTTTACATACCAGTTAAAATCGAAATCGGATCGTGAACGAAAAGCACATTATAAATGCGTGCTCACGACCATTTCAATATCTATTTTTTTTTTTTTTCATTTTTCGCTTTTTTTTTATGGCCCGTTTATAATTTCAATTGACGTGTGACGTTCTCTCCTTATGGGAAAAATATATGAGTGCAAGCGAGAGAGATGATGACTGAGCGGGGGGGTCAAGGAAGAAAGTTAAGTGAGTGGGTGGAAGGGCGAAAATAGGAGGGAGAGAGGGGGGGTACCTGCAAGCTGCAAAATTAGGGCATCAAAGGCCACCTGACCAATCGAAGGGTAACACATACACAGCTGCCTACGCATGTGTGTGTGCGTTTGTATATGACATGAGCAAGAGCAAGAGGAAGAGCCAGAGCAAGAGCAAGAGAGGGGGACCCCTCTTGTTTACTGCTGCCAGCTCTTGACCTTAAAATGTAATTAATTGCTGGCAAAAAAAGTATGTAAATGCAAGTGAAATAACATTTCAGCCAGTTATTGATGTTTGTTGCCCTCAAATTCAAGCAATTTACGCACAAACACATACATATATACAACAGTTGACAAACTCACACACACACATCTATAAGAGGTATGTTAGGGGGGAGGGAGCACAGCACACAACAGTCACGTTTGTTGTTGTTATCGAATTTACACAAAAAATTCTCTATCTCATCATTTGCATTTGATTTAATTGACCACCAAGTGCGGCAAAAAAAAAAAAAAAAGACGTATGTCATACACACACACACTCACACTATTGCACCTTGCACAAATATGTAAATAAAAACATTAAGACGTGCTCATGTTCTGGTTGGGATGCCCCCCATCCGATATATTCCAATTGGAATTGTATCCGAAACGGGCTGATTTGATGGGTTTTTGTTTCTAGTTGGGAGGCAATCGGGCGTGTTTTCGGGGCAATGGGGCAGCAACTATTCGATGGGTGGAATGAAGAGTAGGTGGCAACGAATAAGTAAAACAAATGATCTGCGGCAGCCTGATGATTCTCATCATATCGGTACGGGATCGGATTGTTTCCTGGAGCTTACTGTAAATGGGATGCCTTCCACGGAGCCAATGGCGAAGCACCGGTCGCCCGCATTGCAGGCGCCGCTTAGTATCTGGTGACAGTTCATGGTTCCTGGCGATTGGCTATCACATCACAGCGCACGAATTGGTGTGTTCTCGGTTCTTTGGTTTGGTTTCTAGCACGATTTTTTCTTGCTTGTAACAAACGACAACAAAGTGACATTACATAAAAATTAGAGTTGGGTTCTTTGGCGGTGCAGTCTATCGATTGATCGATAAATGCATCTGCCCACCAGCTGGTTAACAGAGCCGCAACAGAATAACACAAAATTAAAAAAAAACCTTTTGCTCTTAGTTAATTTATTATTTTCAATTAATTTTATTCGTTTTATAAAGCTGGGCACCTTTTCAGTGCACTTTTCGTAGCAGACTGACTTATTTTTCAGAAACCGCCATCAGAGTCAACTGCTGTTAACTATCGATACTATCGGCTGTTTAAGCGCTTTACAGCACTGTTTTCTATCGAGTCTGTAGCTGTCAGCGGTGTGCCACCTCTAGCTTGCATGGAAAGATTGTCAAAAAAGCCGAAATATTAAGTTTTAGTTGATATTAAATAGTACTGAAATGGCGGCAGGTCCAATTGCTGAACGCAACCAAGGTGAGATTCTTTCGGTTCATCTCTCTGAGGTTTTGATAATAGTTCTCCAATTCTTCCAAAGATGCCACCATCTATGCCGGCGGTTTGGACGACAAGGTTTCGGAAACGCTGCTCTGGGAGCTCTTCGTCCAAGCAGGTCCCGTGGGTAAGTCCGGCAGGTTATCCTCCTAGCAGTTTAATTCACCATTAGCACATTTTCTTCTGCAGTGAATGTCCACATGCCCAAGGACCGTGTCACCCAGATGCACCAGGGCTATGGTTTCGTGGAGTTCCTCAGCGAAGAGGACGCCGACTATGCCATCAAAATCATGAACATGATAAAGCTATATGGCAAACCTATACGCGTCAACAAAGCATCGGCTCACCAGAAGAACCTCGACGTTGGCGCCAATATTTTCATAGGAAATCTTGACGTGGAAGTGGACGAAAAACTGCTCTACGATACATTCTCAGCTTTCGGTGTCATCCTGCAGACGCCGAAGATCATGCGTGACCCCGAGACGGGCAAGTCCAAGAGCTTCGCCTTCATTAACTTTGCCAGTTTCGAGGCCAGTGACGCGGCAATGGACGCCATGAACGGCCAGTACCTTTGCAATCGCCCCATCTCGGTTTCCTATGCCTTCAAGAAGGACCACAAAGGCGAGCGCCACGGCTCGGCGGCTGAACGTCTTCTGGCTGCCCAAAATCCATCGGCCCACGCGGATCGTCCCCACCAGCTGTTCGCCGACGCACCCGTACAGAGCATGATGCCTGGCCAGATGATGCCCGGTCAGATAATGCCACCACCAATGATGGCACCGCCACCGCCCGTGGTCCCCGTCTCCAACAACAACATGAGCATGATTGCACCGCCACCGCCAGTACCACAGCCCACACCGTTCCCAGCCACGATACCGCCGCCTCCGCTTCCACCCATGTCCGGTGGCCAGCCGCCACTGCCCCCGGCAATGGGTATACCACCACCGCCGCGTATGATGCAGGCGAATGCATGGGCGCCGCCCGGTATGCCAGCACCACCGCCCAGACCGCCGCCCACCAACTGGCGTCCGCCACCGGTGCCGTTCGCTCCCGCGCCCTTTGCACGGCCCTACCAACCCGATGGCTATCAATACTAGGACTAGGGCATAGTTTACATCAATTTTAGACGAGACGAGAGTGTAATAGGTTTTATAAATGCATTAACTGGAGATCAGCATCGTATTTGCTCAGGAATACATGGCCTTCCTAGGGTACTTACTCCTAAGATTAGTGCCCAAAGGACTATCTTTCACATTTTCGTGAATTTTCCCCCAAAAAATAATTTAAAATTTCAAATCTAATTCAATTCTTCAATAAAAAATTAATAAAAAAAATTGTATAAAACCAAAAAAATAAAATGCTGATTTTCTGAAATTACAAATTTTTAAGACTAGCCATCTCTTTTTAATTCAATATTTTTTAAGAAAAAAAAGACTAAGTATTTTTGGTCTTGTAATTTGTTTTATTTTTTTGCATAAATTTATTAATATGGGAAACATACAAGTACAATATTTACAATAGTTGTTTTTGTTTGTCTACTATTTGTTGTTGTTGTTGGTTTTGTATAATTTGTTTTTGTTGTTTTTTAATCAATTTTTTAAGCGAATTTTGGTTTCCGTCCCACACAGTCTTCTCAGCACTGTCGTCCTTGGCTTAGCATTAAAATTACTTTTCTTCCATTTTAATTTTAATTTTTAAATTTAATATTAAATTTTTAATTTCATGTTTTTTTTTCTCTTTTGTTTCTTAATTTGTTTTTTTCTTTTTTTTGGTTAAGCAAAACAACAACAAAAAACCTTGAGGCATAATTTCTTATATTTTTTTTTTAAATTTAAATTTAAGTTTTTAAATTTTTTTTTAACAACGATAGACAAGTTAATTATTTTACGCATTAATTTTATCGATTTTATTGAAAATTTGGTTTTTTCATTTTTTGTTTTTCGTTTTTTTTTCGTTTGTTTTTAATCTTAAAAAAAAATTAATATATAAAAAATAATAATTAACATAAAAACGTTCTGAACTGGTTTGGTTTTTGTATGCGTGTGTGTGTGTGTTGTGTGTGTGTGTTTGTAGCGTGTGTGTGTGTGTGGGTTATGCATGTTGGTGTGGGTGTTGTTTGTTTGTTGTTGTTGTTGTTGTTGTTGTTGCTCCTGAACCTGCACCTTTATAATAGGTGCTGCCTCCTCCTCCATCCTCCTAACCAGACCTCCATTCTAGCCTATTGGGACGCCGCTGACGCAGCTCCTCCACCCGATTCGGTTGTGTGATTATTGGCGTTGAGGGACTTTCGTTGAATGGCTGTAGTTTCTGCTCCACCAGCTCCTCCGCCACTATTCGACTTGGCCTTGGAACGCGCCGATCCATTGGCCAGCCGGGCATTCTCCGAGCTATCTGTGAGATCCTCACTATCACTGGACCGAATGTCACCGGACATCTGCAGCAAGGACATGGATATAAGTCAAGGTTTTCAGTTGAAAATAGTTAGGAGAGGACACTTACCAGACCCTTCTGCAGAGAGTCGACCACAATCTTGAGAATCATATATGTCCAGATGACGTGCAGGACGAGGAGCATCAGCAGCAGTGAGTTAAAGATGTAGTAGGCTGGGAACATGGGCAGAATGCGTGGTGCTTCCACAGACGAGCTGTTTTCGAGGAGGAGGAGGATCAGTAAGTGTGCTCTGGTCTGGACCTGCTCTGGTCACTCACCTGTAGATGATGCGAGGATAGAAGCCCAATCGTGTCACAATCCAGACCACCGTGAAGATCGCAAAGATGGCATCGCATAGCTTCTGATATTTGGCATATTTGGTTAGCTTGGCCGCCTCCAGAAAGATATCGGCACAGTCGTGGACAACGAGCACCAAGGAGCCAACACGATGCAGATTACAGACCCAACTGAGGGACATCAGGAGCAGGGTGACCATATGATGGATGAACATTTGCCAGAAATCCTTGCGTTTCACATCAAAGAACTGGGTGCCGGTTAGCGACCAATAGAACGACATCGAAATCATATAATACCACCAGATATCATTGCTGATCGACTGGAAAGGATCATCTAGTTAGTATACTATAGTATCCACAAGTACTGGACCACTCACCTGATGGGGATAGCCGTACCAGCAGCTCTTAACATCCCAGAACCAGGGCTTGTCCCACAGGACAATCACTCCAAAGATGAAGCTGTACAGGTAGTAGATGCATCGCCAGGTGTTCTCGCAGAACTTGACCAGGGTGGAGGGCTTGTCCTGGGCACGTCGCAGGCGCCACCAGCGTTCGATTTGGCGTTCAGACATGTCGGTTTGTTTCGACAACGGAGCCAGCTTTAAAAAATTATTAAAATTAATTTTTTAATTAATTAAATTATTAAATAAAACTCACCCGTTTGTTGTCCAGACGCGTGGATTTGGCATAGGCTGTCTCGAGTATAGGAACATTAGCTGCTTTCTTAGGTCTAGAACTACGTATACCCAACGATTTTCCAATGGGTGATATCCAGAAACTGTTGAGAATTAAAAAAACGATAATTTTTAAAATTAATTTAAGTTTTTAAAATAGTTTTTAGTTTGAATAACCCTGGCAACTCTCCTCATCTATGCGGAAATATTCGATTTTTAATTTTTGCATTGAAATTCTGGTTGGAAAGCTTTGGGGACGCACCTCCTCCATTGTCTGGAACGTGCGGAGCATGATGAGCATGGTGGCGACCCACCGACATGCATAACTAATTACCCAGTCCAGCACCAAAAAGAGTGGACCCCAAGGAAGTATAGATACTTCCCCAAAGTGGGCACCACTCCAAGACCCAATCCCAATCATTCCAATCACGTAATAAAATAAACTATAGATTTCCGATTTGTTTTTTTTTTGATTTGAAAACTAATTGAAGGTTCAAGTTCAAGTGATAATGGTAGTCGGATTCATTAATCGACTTGTAGATGCCCTAACCACCATCAGAAACCAACCCGCATGACATGTCCCAATCCCATCTCATCAAAAATGACATGATTCTGAGGGATGGGGGCCTGGAGGAGTTGCGTGTGTGACCTTTTGGGGAGTGTTTCAAAAATAAATTGAATTATTATTATTATCACACCCTTAGTGCGTCACAAGTACAATGACGCACTGCACCCAAGATAGCCGAGAGGGAGACTTCAGCTTTACTCGGAAATTCAGTTCCTACTTTCGACAGAGTTTTGGGAGAAAAAAAATGGAAACGGTCAGTAGTTGGGTAGATCGACAGTCTAGCGGGGATTTCATCCGTTCATCAATGCTGCAGGAGGTGCAGGAGGAGGAGGAGGATCCAGTCACTAGGATGATCTACCATGAACGCCAGACCCGTCATCTGTGCGGCCTTCATGCCCTCAACAATCTCTTCCAGTGCCCCGGCATGTTCTCCAAGTCCGACCTGGATCACTACTGCTATACTTTGACACCGCGCTCCTGGCTGAATCCGCATCGCTCCTGGATCGGATGGGGCAACTACGACATCAATGTCATCATGTACGCCCTGAATCAGCAGCGATGCGAGACCGTGTGGTTCGATCGTCGTCGGGATCCGCACTGCCTGGACTTGGAGAACATATTCGGCTTCATACTGAATGTGCCCGCCCAGATATCGCTCGGCTACTATGCCGTCCAGATGCCCTTCCAGATGCGTCACTGGCTGGCCCTGCGCCAGATCGACGGCAGCTACTACAACCTGGACTCGAAGCTGGGCCAGCCCAAGTGCCTGGGCACGGGTGCCCAGTTCCTGGACTATCTGCATACTCAGCTGCTGCCGGACAACGATCATGAGCTCTTCCTGGTGATCCAGGTGGACGAGGACATGGTCACAAGTGAGAGCGAGAAGCAGCACTGGCTGTTGCCGGAATTTAGAAACTAAATTAATTTTCAAACAAGGCATATATATAAGGATTTGTGATCTGGAATGATTTTTTTTTCGTTCTTATAATAGTACTATACTATAGTACTATAATAGTACTATCCACGAATAAAATTTCAGCCAAATCATAGGATTATAAGAAGAGTTATGGATATATGGATATATATATATGGATTTTTAGACCTGAAATGATTTTTTTTCGAATCTAAAACTAGTACCATATTATTCCTAAGGTCATGTATTATCCAAAAATCAAATTTCAGCAAAATCATAGGATTGTAATAAGAGTTATGGTTATTTTTATTTAAAAGGTTTGTTTTTCTTAAAATATCCCCCAAAAGTAGGCAATAATATTTGGTTTAAATGCTGATTTGAATTAAATTAACTTGAAAATTGATTTAAATTTCATTAAATAGCTTTGTTTATGACTTTTCAAGTTAAAAAGATTGCTAATTTAATTAAAATTATATATGAAAATATGATATATGATATATAAATCGATTTTTAGACCTAAAATGATTTTTTTCTAAACTAAAAGTAGTATTATACCATTCTAAAGGTCATATATTATCCAAAAAACAAATTTCAGCCAAATCATAGGATTATAAAAAGAGTTATAGACATTTTTATTTTAAAGGCTTTTATTTCTTTAACTATCCCCCCAAAGTATGCAACAAAATCATATTTAAAGACCTCTTATTGACTTGAAATTACCAGCAATTTGATTTAATACTTTTGTTTATGACTTTTCAAGTCAAATCCCCTGGCAATTTATTTAAAATTTGTGTCGTGCCTTTAATTTGATATTTTTCCTTAAAAATTTGGCGATAAGCCAGCCCCCAACCCACAACATCCTATAGCCAAGCCCTGAAATGAAATTTCACTTTGGGTGCAATGACTGCCAATTGCAAAGCTCGCGATTTGTCAATTATACAGGGGTCTTTCTTATCACCAATATATATAAATATATATATATATATTTAGTACTATAGTATATATATAATATACATGTTTAAAAGTACATATGTCGGCTGTTGTTTGGGGAATTATTTGAGCTTGTTGATGATAATACGACACGCTAGCTAGCTAGCCGGTGATTGTGCCGGCGATTAGGTAAAGTCAGGTCCTCATATGGCCCGACTTGGGTTCGGTCCGACGTCCATATAAGGTGTGACTCATGCAATTGCCCAGATTGTCAAGAAAATTTTAGCATAAGCGTCATTAGTCAGCGCGATTAGTTGATTAGAGTCGTGCATCATATACAAATAGTTAAACCGCAATGGAAAACCCTTCTTTTTTTTTGGTGTTTGTGGTAGAGGAACTATAACTTTTAATCTTTATTACAAAAGCTATGGTTGGCAGTGTTTTATGGTTGGAGGGGCTTGGGAATGTTGGTAACTGGAGGGTGTTTGTTTAAAACATGGCTGGGAAGGTCTTGAAATAATGTTGGAAGTCTTAGTCTTTTTAAGGAGTATCTTTGGGGTTTCTTTTTGAAAAATATAGAACTTTGGAATATTGAATATAGAAATATAGACCTTTTCTAGGCTCTTAAAGTTTAAAAAATACTAAAGAAGGTCTTGAAATAATGTTGAAAGCCTTTTTCTTAGGTTTTTTAAATCGCTTTTAATTTTTTAGCAATATCTCTGGGGTTTCTTTTTGAAAAATATAGAACTTTGGAATATTGAATATAGAAATATAGACCTTTTCTAGACACTTTAGGTTTCAAAAATACTAAATAAGGTCTTGAAATCATGTTGGAAGGCACTTGGGAAGGCTTCTAATTTTTTTGGAATATCTGTGGGGTTTCTTTTTGAAAAATATAGAACTATTAGGCTTTTAAAATATTATAGATCATGTCTTGTAATAATTTTAGAACCTTCCCCAAGGTCTTTAAATTTAAAAAATACTAAAGAAGGTCTTTTAAATATTCTTTAAACCTTTTCTAGTTTTTTTAAGTTTTAAAAATAATAGATAAGGCTTTGAAATAATATCATTAAAACATCTCAAGACCTTTAGAGAAGGTATAACCATTAGAATAATATTTAAAACAAATATTTTAATAAATATTATGAATTTTTAAGAACTATCAATAATAAAAATAACCATCAAAACCTAATTAATTTTTAAAGTTTAACTAAAAAACCAACAAAAATAATGCTAATTAGAGGCTCTTGATATAAAACTGCACTCTAATCCATAGTCCACCTCAAACGCCCCCCCCCTCTCAAGCCACCAAAATTTCGACCAATTCTCTTTTATTTTCGGCCCACCTGACCAGGTGTTTCTCTCACTCTCCCCCTCTCACTCTCTCTCTCTCGCTCTCTCTTTTCGATTCTCATTCATTTTATGCGTGAAGCACGTGCGTTTTTTTAGGAATACGAAGCGATAAGAAATGGAAGTGACCGCAATTTTTTATATATTTTTTTTTTCTAAAAAAAGGTAATAGTTAAAGAGGTAGGAGGAGTTTTTGATAATCTTGAACACGGGTTTCATTTCGGCCTCCAAGAAGAAGGAATTGCAAAATCAAGAACCAGATCATTCCTAGAATTTCTAATGCTTTTTCGAGAGAGAGAGAGAGAGAGAGGGAGTGTGAGAGAAAGAGAGGCAAGGTAGTAAGCCATTAAAATAATTAACCTGAAATTTTATCGCACAAATACATTCAAAGAGTCAATGAGGGTAGCCGGCTCTTAGTGATTACGTATCGCAATGGCTTTCAACATAAATATACCTTCTATATACATATATAAACCTATATATATTGTACCACTATACCACCCATAAATCCTAATCTTAAACTAAAAAAAAAATTTCAAATCCTATTACTAATATTTATCCCTAATCTATTGATAAGATTTTTTTTTTTTTTTTTTGAGGAAATTATTCTGCACTTGAATTAATAAATTTTCCATTAAAAATTACACACCTTCACTAACACACCTTCCCAATAAAATAAAATTATTAAATATTATTTAATAATAAAATTTTCCAGTACCATTTCCGCTAAAATATTCAAAAAGATAAAAAAAATATATATATCTAATCAGAATTTCAATAAAAAATGATAAATTGGTTTCAATTTTTATAAAAAAAAAAAAATAAATCCTATTAGGTTTTTAGGAAATACAAGCCATTCTGGTTAGATGACTCATAACCGAAGAGGGGGTGGTGTTGAGGGTAAAGCTATATATACAGATAGTTAGATAGAGAATATACACCACCCTTATACAGTCATTCCGTGAGTTCCGAGTAAAACAATTGAGGCACCCAACGGCATTATCAGGTTTTATACGAAAATCTTGAAAGGAAATCTTATCGGCTGGGCCGGCAGTGGCGTGGTTGGCCAACACCACCCGCCAGGTGGATAGAGTTACTCCTCCAGATCCCCTCCAACTGTATCGAAATCATCAGATAAATGCCAAGCGCGGAGAGAAATTCCAAAATAGCGACCTTGAAGGTCAATTCTCGTTCAAGAAGCAAGAAGAAGAAGAAGAAGAAGAAGAAGAAGCTCAAGCCAAAGAAATACAACAACAACAAAAAGCTGTCTGCCATGAAACAGATTTGAGATTTTTTTTTTTGGTTTCATATTCAAATGCCACAGCATACATTATACACTGAAAAAAATATATATAAAAAAAAAATAATAATTCATATCAAAACCACAAAGTAAAAAAAAAAACATTTAAATTAAAAAAACAGACAAAAATAGGCAATAAAAAAAGTATAAAATAGTAAAATTAATATTTAATTTATGAGCGAAATTATAGGTTTTCTGAGTAATTATAGGTTTTCTAAATCTCTACCTCTGCTATTAAATTAACCCATAAATTAAAAAAAAAAAGCAAAACTCCATTAACTCAACAATTTTGGTTACAGTGTATTTAACAGTGGAACTGCCCACTCACACACTGACACACACTCAACCAAAAAAAAAAGAAAAAAAAAACAAAACATATCTGTGACATTTCTGTGGCAATGTTTACTTGACTGACTTTCAATATGAGTGTATGGGTGTGTGAGTGTTTGTTTGTATGTGTTTTTGTGCCAAAATTAAGGGCAAAACATTGCAAAAAAAAAAAATACACAAAAAAATGTGTAAATTACAATAACAAAATAAAAATATACAACAATTTTTAGAGGCTATGTTACATGGAAATGCAACTTGCATGCAATTAACTACATGAAGCCCACCCCTTAGGGGGGTAAAAATATGCAATAAATGGCATTGGTTTTTTTTGGTTTTTTCTATTTTCTTTGAAACTTTAACGAATTTTGAAGGCACACGACTCGGCAATGGCGGGTTAATTGGCCTGAAAAGCGTCAAAAGTGCTCTTGGAGACCAACAGTGGGTTAAAAGTCAAAGGGGGAAGACATAAAAAAATAATTTAAAAAAAAAAGTAATAAAAAAATAATGATTTTTAATGGTGATTTTTATAGGGGTTATAGAAAATTATAAATTATTTAATGGTTTTACAATTTAAAACTTAATTGATAAAATTATACGTCAAAAAACTTAAAAAAATAAATTAAAAACCCTTAATTTCTTTACCAAAAACATAAATTTCTCATAAAACTTCTCATTTTATTAATTTATTTTATCTAATTTTCTATTTCTAATATTAAGACCAATAATAATCGCATCAAGCCCACTGTAGTGAGCTTGTTCTCATTTACGATCTCGAACACAAAGGTATGTGTGTGTGTGTATATGTATGTGTTTCCACAAACATGCCGCATGGAGTCGCCTTCGCTAGTCACTATGCTAGCCTAAATAACACATGTATTGCATTGTATATACTATTTAGTAAACAAATGTATATTTATTTGTTACTTTTAACTAAACAATTAGTACGAATAGTTAGTTTTCATTGTAAACGCTCCGATTTCTTATGTGGAAATATTGTGGGAAAAACTAAACTGCAGCCGGCGCTTCAAGGGGGGGTTTCTTTTTTTTGTGTTTGTTGTTTATTTGTTTGTTTTTGTTGTTGTAGAAGGGAAAACCTAAAGTTGTAGCCAGCATGCCCCTCCTCTCTCTCTCACACACACACACATACAGGCGTACAAACAAAAGTGACGTATGTATGCTCAGAAGTACGGTAAAATGTTGGGCGTTTCCACGTGAGGTTATGTTTTGTTTGGCGGCGAAAGGAAAAAAAAAAAAATAAAAATAAAAATAAAAGAAAATTATGAATAAAGTTGACTTTACAACTAACTGTACATGATGTATAGAAAAGGGTTGGGGAGGGGGGGGAGCTAGAAACTAACTAAATGTATGAATGAAATAGAGAGCGGGAATAGGGATGTGGGGTGGGCCTCCCTCTTACCCCCACAGAGAGAGAGGGAGAGCGAGAGAGAGAGAGAACTATAACTCACCGCTCTAGGGTGTAGCGAACCAGCATGACCACCGCGGCCAGTGGTATCGGCCAGATGAGGTCCTTGTAGTTGGCGTGCACCACATCCGGCCGGGAGCCGGGCGCTATGTCCGCCCATGTTGTATTCGGCGGCAGCCAGATCTGTGTGCTCCAAAAAGCACCGCTCAGCTTATTGATTATCTCCATGTTGACACTGGCCTGCTGCTGCTGCTGTTGTTGCCGGTTCTTTTTTTTTTTTTTTTTTTTTGGTTTTAAGCTTTTTATACAGTTTCTCTAGGATATCCTTTTTGTGCTATATAAATGTCCTGCTTGCATATATCGGCGTCATACGATGAATGCCGGGTTGTCCACTCCTACCGAGTGGATGGATAGTGGAATGGAAACAAGCCGCAACAACAACACCGCACCGCCAAATGACAAAAAAAAAAAAAAAGAAAACAGCACACACGCGATTTAGGCACACACTCTCTCACATTAAAAACAAAAACGAAAAAAAAATAACTAAACGCCGCCAAATTGTTTCACTTGTCGAATTTTATGCGTTTTCTTGTCTTTGATATAGTTTTGCTCTATGCACGGTGTGTTCTTTTTGATTTTTTTGTTTTTATATATCGCTTAGCTTATTGAATAAGCAGCTTTGGAAGGAAGAATAAAATGCAGCCAAAGGAATACACTTCAGAATTTCGATTGGATAGACTGGACCCGGAGAATAGAGTCACTCGTGCGCTTAACTTTAACTTTAAGGGCGAACGAAAAAAAATACTCTATTCTATAGAAGCGGAATCGATGTTTCTTTCCCCCAATTCAGTGTGACCACACACACCCTCTATGCATTTTGGAATGGTGCACATCTGGTAACACTAAGCCACACAATTCTTATCGATACCCGATAAACCACCACCACCAGCAGAAAGCTTCGATAGATATGTTGGAAAACGACAACGAATGATAATAATATACAATGTATAATATGTACAATGTCATATACATACAGTGCTGCCAACTCAGCTTTTTTCACGTCAAATCTGGCTTTTTTCAAAGTCTAAATGCGGGAAAAATTTGGGAATTGCGGGAAGCGGGAATTCTGGATTTTTTTTAAAACGCAGTTGGCTTTTTTCCGCTTTTTCTAAATTTAAGAAAAAAAATAAATACAAAAAATAACAATAGCGCGGTAACACCTACCAGTGGTGTATATATGTAAGTGGCAACATATCATATGTTCTTGTCGATTTTTGCCAATACTACCATTTACACAAATTTACACAATGCCAAAAGACTATAAGCAAAAGTGCAAATGCTATCGTTGCCATGGTGTGATCCAATCTCCAACGCTGAGATTGAGCGCGTATTCAGCCAGCTTAGCCTGGTAAAATCCAAGCTAAGAAACTCAATGAGCGTAAGCACGACTAACAGCATTCTTAGCATAAGGTAATATTTTATTGTAAGTAAAAAGATAAATCCAATGTTTATATCTTTTATTTTAATATACAGATATGGTTTACGAAGACTGGGAAAATTCTGCTATGAGTACGAAATTCCATTAAATTATCTTCGCATGATCGGAACAAACTTATCTTATGATAGCGAAACTAATGATAGTCGCAATGAATTGGACGACTTGTTAAATATTTTATAAATTACACAATTAAAGAAGATTAAAAACAAAAAAAATTTTTTGCGATTTTTTTGCGCTTTTTTCTTAATATTTTTAGCTTTTTTTTTGTTTCTCTCTAGTTAAAAACAGCTTTTTTTTTTAATCAAAAGTTGGCAGCACTGTATACATATACAATATACAATGTATAATATGTACAATGTCATATACATGTAATTTTTTTTTTTTTTTTTTTTGTAATAGCAGGGTAATGTTTATTTAAAACTGTCCATTAGGGACAACCATTAAATTTTATCACGTAAACTTCACGTATAGATATTTTTAAATATTAATATGGTAGAAAAAAAAAAAAATTAGAGTAGTAAGGGGAGGTCCAGCGGGTGTGTCCTTTTAAGTCTTCTGGGTTGCTCGCTGCTGTCCAGCAGGGAGCTGGCCAACCGGTTCGGGTGATTATGAAGCCTCTGCATGTAACGTGCGCTGCTTCTTTGTATCTCGTCCTTGACCCAAGGGAAATTGAGAACCTCGTGGATGGTGCGATTGTCATGATAGACGTGGGCCCCAGTGGCGATTCGAAGGGCTCTATTTTCGAAAGCTTGCATAGTTCGGACATTCGTCTTGCTCGCAGTTCCCCAGAGCTGTATGCCGTACGTCCAGATAGGGCGTATTATTGCCTTGTAGATGAGGAGTTTAGTGGAAGTTCTCAGCTTCGATCTCGTACCCATAAGCCAGTAGAAGGATCGAAGTCTTTGATTAGCCTGTTTCCTCTTCTTAATCAGATGGGGCTTCCAGGTGAGCCTCCTGTCTAGGGTGAATCCCAGGTACCTGGGATTGTCTACCTGTGGGATTGGAGAGCCGTTAAGGTTAACTGGAGGGCAGTTGCCTTTGCAGAGAGAAAATGTGGAGGCAGTGGACTTCTCATTATTGACGGCAATGTTCCATCGCTTTTGCCAGTCGCTGAGCAAGTCAAGCTGCAATTGCATCGTATCGGAAGGCGGTGTCGTCTGCATAGGTTGCTGCGAGCAGGTCAGGCCTCTGAAGAACAGGGAGGTCGGCCGTGTAAGCATTGATATACATGTAATATGTATGCTAAAATCATATCAATCTATTGGGGTGCCGACCACTACTCTACTATGAGATTTGACATTTTAAATATTGGTTATTTATTGGTTAACGAATTTGCTCTCTGACTTTAGTCTGTTAAAACAACTTTTTGTAGCAATTACTGTGAAAAGCAAAAAACACATTATACATTTGTGATGAGGTTCCATTTGTATATATATATATATATATATATGAGGAAGGTTTAGGCCTTCTGCTCTTTGACATATTGGTAGCACTCATGTCCAATACTCTTGAAGGTTTCGAGGAGATCGGCCTGAAGTGCTGGGCTGTCTGCCAAGAGGACTCGTTGGCTCTAAAAATAAAAATAGGAATCACAGTATTTAAACGATTTTCTCGGAAAAGATTAGTCATTCGTTCTAGAAGCTATCTATCTAAGGCAAGCCGGGGGTTGCTAGGTACATACATATATAGTCTAGTCCAGGGGTGGGCAAGCCCATGGCTCCTCGGGCCCTCAAGGCTCCCCCCCGTTATTCGTAATTTTTGGCGCCAGAAAATCGGTCCAGAGGATCGAGTCGCGCGGTCAGTGAGCCGTAAAGATTTACAAAAACAATGCTACACAAATTACGAGGCAGGTTGCGGTCCCGACCCCGCGGTCCCGAGTTTGCAACAACAATTATTAAGGGTCCGTTTGCGCACAACGCGACGATCTATGGTGAGTGATCTATGGTGATCGCGAGTCTAGTCAATCTATGGTGTATAGTAGGTGTATATAATTTAAGGGGTTATATACAGTTGTACCGCGCAAAAATATGGATTTTTATCGAAAAATGTTTTACCGACGTTGTTTAGTACATGTTTCTGGGTACTTAATTAAATTTTTTCATAAAAAAATATTACATAACAAAAATGTTATAGACGAATTCCCGGATCGTCTTTTTTCGATGGTGTCTTGCGGTGGACAAGATTTCTCGAAAACGGTTCATCCGAAATCCAAAATTCAAAAAAGTTTAGTTAGTATATTGTATTGTTTAGTCCGTGAACGAGGGATTTTTAAAAATTTTGATTTAAAAAAAATGGCGACGTTTTTAACAAAAATGTACTTTTTCAACGTATAAGATTTTCGTTTTTTGTGCTTTAAAAAGGAGTTTTCAAAAAAATTGAAAATCCCTCGTTCACGGACTAGCTAATATCATAATAAATAAGTGGTCAAAATTTGGTGTTGATCGGATTAGTAGTTTTTTAGTAATCGTGTCCACCGCAAAGGTAATTTCCCAAAAAAAAGATTCTGAGATAATCGCGTTTAAAGTTTCAAGTTTGTTCAAGATTTATATGCAGATAGTGCGCTATAAATAGCTACAGCTTCGGTTCTAATGCTCCGATCGTTATGAATTCCCAATAAAATATACTTAAAGAATATGCAATAAAAAAAAAAATCGATTTTTTCATATATCACAACTGTATATAACCCCTTAAATAAAATTTGCAACCATATGCGAATTTTCAAAAGGATAACATGTAGCCAGTGAGAAGTAAACGTACCTTATCTGCTTGGGAAATCATTTGGCCTAAGGACTCCAAGCTTGCCTTGGCATCCGACAAATCAGCATCGATTGTGGCAATTGATTCAGCTTTTTCAATTTTCATCAGCAGATCGGCTTTATCAAACCCGTTGATCCTGGCTTCACGTTCCACGCGATTGGAATTGGTGGCACGGGCCCAAGCACACTGTAGCGATGACAAAATGATGAACAAATATGTGACAATCGATGGGATGGAACTGGCGCTGCCCGTGGTCATCTTGGTGGCGTAGTAGCCATCAGGACTGAAATCAAACTTGACATCCTTCTTCATGCCCTCCAACAACTCATCCAATTGGCTCCTTATTTCCTTCGTTTCTTCAAAAGAAGCAATGCTCTCTTTCGTTTTTTTAACTCCGCTAGCAATGGACATCATAGTGCTCTTCCATACTATGTTTCTTTCCTCCTCACCGATGATGGGGTTGGTTATGCTCTCAATGGTTAATGGAAGGGTGCTGTTGGACGATACACACCACTCAAGCAAAGAACCCTTTACGTCCATGAACTTAAGGCGTGCTATACTGTTCAAGCGACGCAGTTCATCCAAATGCCGTTTGGCGGTGCCCTGGTAGCCCAGCATCGAACGGTCAATGTCGTCGATGACGTGCTGAAGCTCCTGAATATTGACTTGGTTGTTGATTTCATGCCTCAGCTTCTCCGAAACATTTTCAATTGCCTGCAGGCCGTCGTTAATGGCGGTGTATTCATCTTTGGGTGTCGCCATTGCAAACTGAATGATGAATAACGCCTGCAAAACAAACAGAGCTCCGCTGCCGATCATAGTTGTTCTATGCTTTGCAGTTGCCAGACTTCAACTGAAAAAGAAATTGACTATAATTGGTGGGGCTTTTGTAATTCAATTAACTGAGATATATTGTTTTGCAAAAATATGTTATCACGTCATCACGTCGTCATAGTATTATGGGCGTCAGACAGTATACGATTGTAATTGAGGGCGGAAACCAAAGCCCAAGCTTCTCATTAAAATAATCGAATTTTTTCTTTAACTTTATTATGCACTTAAAACTTACTCAATATCAAATTGGAAGGTTAAGCTTACCTGTAGTATACCTGAGATATTTTCTTATGACTCATAACATATCGATAAATAATTGAAAAAAAGAAAATTGTGTACGCCGACAACGTGCGTTTGCCAACACTGATAGATTTCTGCTTCTTGATCTCTGGGTTTTTTTTTTATTGTGACACTACAAGCGACGTTTATTGTGCATTAATTTTAGTTAAATTCGTTTTTAAGCATATATTTTAATTATTTAATTTATTACGATGGCCGAATTTCTGGACTCGGAGGCCGAAGAATCAGAGGTAGGGTTTTGCAATTTTTGTATTTGCACCGTTTTTGCATGCCCCGCGTTGCGTTTAGCTCCGTGTTGTAGGCGTGCGTGCGTGCATATACATATACGTATCTATGTTTGTGTGTGTATAGCTCGAGCGCGACATATATTGCATTTTTTTTCATTTTGCGGCCTTTTTTTTTTTTATTTTTTTTGGCCCAATGCTTTGCTCTTACCATTGCAGGAGGAGGAAGAATTAGACGTGCACGAGCGCAAGAAACTGAAGAAGCTGAAAGCCGCCGTATCCGACAGCAGCGAGGAGGAGGAAGGTGCGTTACACATTCCCGGTTTCCTAAAAACCAATCAACAAACAACCCAGCCATGTCATCCAGCCAGTCAGTCAGTCGGCCATCAACCGCTTCCAATAGTATTTGGGGGGAGGGGAGGATGGGGGGTAAAGCCAACATCATCCTGGCCTGGCTATGAACATGATGGCCGCAAGGGGGATGCTATTCGGCCCCCCCTCCCTGACCATCTAATTTTTGTTTTTCAAGTTTGAGGTTAGGTCTTGTGTTTTTTACCGTGCTACCGTGGCTATAGCCACCAGTACCCGCACCAGTAGCAGTAGTCGAGCCCATAACATGTTTGCATGTATTGGTCAAGAGGTCGGGCGCTGAAATGCGGCGAATTAGAAGATAATGCATTCAAAATCGAGACCCTCTGCTGGATTAATCAATGCAAGTCTCAGTCTCTCAGCATTTGAGTCCAAGCTGCCATTAGGGCTTTTTCTTTTCACAAAAAATATCAAATACTGCCTATAGATTGCTTAATTAAGTCAATTTTTTCATTTGTTGGCTTGGTTAGACGACGAAGAACGTCTGCGGGAGGAGCTGAAGGATCTGATCGACGACAATCCCATCGAGGAGGATGATGGCAGTGGCGATGACTCCGATACTGGGAGCGGCGGCGACGACGAAGGCGGCGGAAGCGGCAAAAAGCGTAAAAAGCACGAGGATGATGATCTGGATGATCGACTGGAGGACGACGATTATGATCTGATTGAGGAGAACTTGGGCGTGAAAGTCGAGCGAAGGGTAGGTCTTCTACTTCTATTGAACGATCTAAGATTAAGAATTATATTTCTATATTTTTTTTTTGGTAGAAACGTTTCAAACGTCTGCGGCGCATCCACGACAACGAAAGCGATGGCGAGGAGCAGCACGTGGACGAGGGTCTGGCACGCGAACAGATCGCCGAGCAACTGTTCGATGAGAATGATGAGGTAGGCCATATAGATATCTCTCTTTATGGGAATCACTCATTCTAATCCGAATCCTTAGAGCATTGAACACCGCAGTGAACGCAGTCCTCGGGAGGTGGACGCCTTCGATGAAGAGGACTCCGAGTCGGATGCGGATGACTTTATTGTGGACGACAATGGTCGTCCCATAGCCGAAAAGAAAAAGAAGCGTCGTCCCATCTTTACAGATGCGTAAGTTTAATCTTTAAACTAAAAAGAAAAACTTAATTCTAAAATTTATTATTAAAATTATGAATTATTTTATAGATCCCTGCAGGAGGGCCAGGATATCTTTGGTGTGGACTTCGACTATGATGACTTCTCCAAGTACGAGGAGGACGAGTACGAGGATGACTCCGAGGGCGATGAGTACGACGAGGAGCTGGCCGGCGGGGATGAGGGACGGGTCAAGAAGAAGAAGGCCCTGAAGAAGAAGGTGGCCAGAAAGACGATCTTTGACATTTATGAGCCGAGCGAACTGAAGCGTGGCCACTTCACCGACCTGGACAATGAAATTCGAAAAACCGACATACCCGAGCGTATGCAGCTGCGTCAGGTGCCGGTGACACCAGTGCCGGAGGGATCCCATGAGCTGGACGAAGAGGCCGATTGGATCTATCGATTCGCCTTCTGCAAGCAAACCGTTTCCGAGCAGGAGAAGGCCGACAATCGGGAGAAGTTGCGAAAGCCGCCCACGGCCGTCAACAAGATAAAACAGACTTTGGAGTTCATCCGGAACCAGCAGCTGGAGGTGCCGTTCATCGCCTTCTACCGGAAGGAGTACGTTAAGCCGGAGCTGAGCATCGATGACCTGTGGAAGGTCTACTACTTCGATGAGCGCTGGTGCCAGCTCAACGAACGGAAGCGAAAGCTGAAGGCTCTCTTCGAGAAGATGCGCCAGTTCCAGTTGGACACGCTCTGCTCCGATCCGGAGAAGCCGCTGCCGGACGACATCCGGCTGATGCAGGACAGCGACTTTGAGCGCCTGGCCGATGTCCAGTCGATGGAGGAACTGAAGGACGTCCACATGTACTTCCTGCTGAACTATTCCCACGAGCTGCCGCGCATGCAGGCCGAGCAGCGACGCAAGCTGTTGCAGGAACGGCGCGAGGCCAAAGCTCGCCGCCAGGCAGCTGCCTTGGAGAACGGCGGAGATGAGGGTGCGGATGGTGCTGCGGTTACGATCCCGGATCCCGAGGAGGACGACGATCCGGAGCTGGTCGACGACCAACTGAAACAGGCGCCCAACAGCAGTCCGTATGCGGTGTTCCGGAAGGCGGGAATCTGCGGATTTGCCAAGCATTTCGGTCTCACGCCGGAACAGTTTGCGGAGAATCTGCGCGACAACTACCAGCGCAACGAAGTCACCCAGGAGAGTCTCAGTCCCACGGAGCTGGCCAAGAAGTATCTGTCGCCGCGCTTCATGACCGTCGACGATGTCCTGCATGCCGCCAAGTATGTGGTCGCCCGGCAACTGGCCCAGGAGCCCTTGCTGCGCAAAACTATGCGCGAGGTGTACTTCGATCGGGCGCGCCTCAACATCCGGCCGACCAAGAACGGCATGGTGCTGATCGACGAAAACTCACCGGTGTACTCGATGAAGTATGTGGCCAAGAAGCCGGTGGGCGATCTGTTCGGTGACCAGTTCATCAAGCTGCTGATGGCCGAGGAGGAGAAGCTGCTGGAGATTACCTTCCTGGAGGAGTTCGAGGGCAATGCGAATGCCAACGGACCGCCCGGTGATTACGTTGAGGAGGCCAAGGCCCTCTACCATCTCGATCAGTTCTCCAAGCATGTCCTCGAATGGAATGCTCTGCGCGCCGAGTGCGTCAAGCTGGCGCTACAGAAGTGGGTTATACCCGATCTGATCAAGGAGCTGCGCGCCACCCTGCACGAGGAGGCGCAACAGTTTGTGCTGCGTTCCTGCACCGCCAAGCTATACAAGTGGCTCAAGGTGGCGCCCTACAAGCCGGAACTGCCGTCCGATTACGGCTACGAGGAGTGGAGCACGTTGCGCGGCATCCGGGTATTGTCGCTGGCCTATGATCCGGACCAGTCGGTGGCCGCCTTCTGTGCCATTACCACCGTGGAGGGCGACATATCCGACTACCTCCGGCTGCCCAACATCCTCAAGCGCAAGAACTCGCACAACGCCGAGGAGAAGACACAAAAGCTGAACGATCTCCGGAAGCTGAGCGAATTCATCAAAACGAAGAAGCCGCATGTGGTGGTGATTGGGGCGGAGAGCCGGGATGCCCAGGCCATTCAAACAGACATCAAGGAGATCCTCAAGGAGCTGGAGACCTCCGAACAGTTCCCGCCCATCGAAGTGGAGCTGATCGACAACGAGCTCGCCAAGATCTATGCCAATTCCAAGAAGGGCGAGTCCGACTTCAAGGAGTACCCAGCTCTGCTCAAGCAGGCCGTATCGCTGGCCCGCAAGATGCAGGATCCACTGGTGGAGTACTCCCAGCTGTGCGATGCCGATGACGAGATACTCTGCCTGCGCTACCATCCGCTGCAGGAGCGAGTGCCGCGCGAACAGCTGTTGGAGCAGCTCAGTCTGGAGTTCATCAACCGGACCAGCGAGGTGGGCCTGGACATCAATCTGATGGTGCAGAACTCACGGACGGTCAACCTGCTGCAGTACACCTGCGGCCTGGGACCGCGCAAGGGCCAGGCGCTGCTGAAGTTGCTCAAGCAGAGCAACCAGCGCCTGGAGAACCGCACCCAGCTGGTCACCGTCTGCCATTTGGGGCCCAAGGTGTTCATCAACTGCAGCGGCTTCATCAAGATCGATACCTCGTCGTTGGGCGACAGCACCGAGGCGTATGTGGAGGTGTTGGACGGATCGCGTGTCCATCCCGAGACGTACGAGTGGGCCCGCAAAATGGCCATCGATGCCATGGAGTACGATGACGAGGAGACGAATCCGGCCGGTGCCCTCGAGGAGATTCTCGAGTCACCCGAACGCCTCAAGGATCTCGATCTGGATGCGTTTGCCGTGGAGCTGGAGCGTCAGGGATTCGGCAGCAAGAGCATAACCCTGTACGATATCCGGAACGAGCTGAGTTGCCTGTACAAGGACTACCGGACGCCGTACACCAAGCCCAGCGCCGAAGAGCTCTTCGACATGCTGACCAAAGAGACCCCGGACTCGTTCTACGTGGGCAAGTGCGTCACCGCCGTAGTGACGGGCTTCACGTACCGGCGGCCCCAGGGCGAGCAGCTCGACAACGCCAATCCGGTGCGCATCGAGTCGAGCGACAGCTGGCAGTGTCCCTTCTGTCACAAGGACGACTTCCCCGAACTGGCCGAGGTGTGGAATCATTTCGATGCCAATGCGTGTCCCGGCCAGGCGTCCGGTGTCAGGGTGCGGCTGGACAACGGCCTGCCGGGCTTCATACACATCAAGAATCTGTCCGACAAGCAGGTGCGCAATCCCGAGGAGCGTGTCCGCGTCACCCAGCTGATCCATGTGCGGATCATCAAGATCGACATTGATCGGTTCTCGGTGGACTGCTCCTCGAAGACGGCGGACCTCAAGGACGTGAACAACGAGTGGCGGCCGCGCCGGGACGCCTTCTACGACTTTGTCACGGAGGAGCAGGACAACCGGAAGGCCTCCGATGCCAAGGCCAAGGCGCTGAAGCGCAAGACATACGCCCGACGGGTGATTGCGCATCCCAGCTTCTTCAACAAGTCGTATGCCGAGGTGGTGGCCATGCTGGCGGAGGCCGACCAGGGCGAGGTGGCCCTGCGGCCCAGCAGCAAGTCCAAGGACCATCTGACGGCCACGTGGAAGGTGGCCGACGACATCTTCCAGCACATCGATGTGCGCGAGGAGGGCAAGGAGAACGAGTATAGCCTGGGCCGGAGTCTGTGGATCGGCACCGAGGAGTTTGAGGATCTGGACGAGATCATCGCCCGCCACATCACCCCCATGGCCCTGGCCGCCCGGGAGCTGATCCAGTACAAGTACTACAAGCCCAACACGACGCCCCCGAATGGCAACGAACGCGAGTTCATGGAGGGGATCCTGCGCGAAGAAAAGACCCGGGATCCAAAGAAGATCCATTACTTCTTCACCGCCTCGCGCGGCATGCCCGGCAAGTTCCTGCTCTCCTACCTCCCCAAGACGAAGGTGCGGCACGAGTACGTCACTGTGATGCCGGAGGGGTATCGGTTCCGTGGCCAGATCTTCGACTCGGTCAACAGCCTGCTGCGCTGGTTCAAGGAGCACTGGCTGGACCCGACTGCCTCCCCGGCCATGAACTCTCTCAGCGGCTCCAATTCCACACCGTTGCACAATCACAGCATGCGCCCGCCCCCGGCCATGTCCGCCATGTCGATGGGCTCGGGCGGTCCGGGTTCGGTGTCCGGCTCCATGGCTCCCTACAGCATAACGGGCAGTGTTTCCGGCGGCACGCCACGCAGCGGTATCTCTAGCACCGGCGGTGGTGGCGGCGGTTCCAGCGCCTACTCCATAACCCAGACCATTGTGGGATATGGCCCGTCGTCCATTGGATCTGCGGCGGCATCGGCAGCAGCAGCAGCGGCCGCCGCCTCAAGCGGCAGTCATTACGGCAGCTCGTCCACGCCCTCGTTCGGGGCCATCATCAACACTCCGTACACGCCCAGCGGCCAGACACCGTTCATGACGCCCTACACGCCGCACGCCTCCCAAACGCCTCGCTACGGCCACAACGTGCCCAGCCCCAGTTCGCAGTCGTCCAGCAGCCAGCAGGGTCATCACTACGGCGGATCGGGACGCGGCGGCACGCCCAGGTATTACGAGACGAGTGGCAGCGGCAGCGGCAGTAACTCCAATTCCAATTACAACATGCCGCCGCATCACCAGCAACGGGCCAAAGAGAACCTCGACTGGCAGCTGGCCAATGATTCCTGGGCCAGGCGCCGACCACCGCCATCATCCCACCAGCATCAGCACCAGCCGCAACAGCCGATCGGAGGCATGGGCATGGGTTTGGAATTGAGTTTAGGTATAGGATCGGGAGGTGGTGGCACTGGCTCGACCCGAGCGGGAGGTGGAGTGGGCGGAGGAGGAGGAGGTGGCTATGGCAACGACTACAACAGCAGCAGTCACAATCGGGGCATGGGCATCAATCAGGGACACGGCGCCTCGACGGTCTCCTCCAAGTCATCGGTGCGCAGTACACCCCGCACCAATACCTCGCCCCACTCGATGAATCTGGGCGATGCCACGCCCCTCTACGATGAGAATTAGGGCAGGATAAGATATATAAACAACAAAAACAAAAACAAAAAAAAAACAACAAAAATCGAGATCAGAACAGATGACTTTAGTTTAGAGTGCGATTGGGCATTGATCCTCAACGATATTTACGTTTAAGTCCAAGCCGATTCCGCGTCTATATAATTATAATACACTATCTATATATATGTAACTATCTATATATATATATATATATATATAAATACACCTACACCTACACGGAAACAAAAACAAACACAAACACACACACCTACATATATACAGAGCAGTCCTCGGCGGATAGGCGGATGGAGGAGGTGCAGAGAGCCCGGTTCCAAGGAGGGACTTTTGTGACAAAGGACGAAAAATAAATTTCAATTTTTTCTGACCAGAAGTCCCAGGAGCGTGTTCTTATTTGTGCGGCGGATCTTTAAAAATTAACTTTAGAATTAATATTAAAACCCAAAATCTTGAAATTAAAAAAAAAATAAGAAGCATCTTCAGTCGGGTTGGACGTCTGTATCTTTTCCAATTGGCCTTCGATCCTACAGCGGAATATCTTCTCGAGTTTGGGGCTCCGTTTTCCACAAATCTGCATTAGAATATCTCTAGAAAAAATTTCAAAAATATTTTTCCAAATTTTTTAGGGGAATCCCTTGAAAACCCGGGATTTCCATATAAGCTCCACAGCAATGCCGATATCTTCGCCAATTCTTATCCGATTCTCATGCGGATTACCTTAAATGATTTGTGGATCGATTTCCAGTAAATCTGCATCAAAATCTATCATCGAAATAATTTTTGAAATTTTTTCCAAATTTTGTGGGGCAATCCCTCGAAAATCCGGGATTTCCATATAAGCTCCCTGTCAATGTCCGTATCTTCGCCAATTCGAATCCGATTCTCAAGCGGAATACCTTAAATGATTTGTGGATCGATTTCCAGTAAATCTGCATCAAAATCTATCATCGACATAATTTTTGAAATTTTTTCGAAATTTTGTGGGGCAATCCCTCGAAAATCCGGGATTTCCATATAAGCTCCCTGTCAATGTCCATATCTTCGGCAATTCGAATCCGATTCTCATGCGGAATACCTTAAATGATTTGTGGATCGATTTCCAGTAAATCTGCGTCAAAATCTATCATCGAAATAATTTTTGAAATTTTTTCCAAATTTTGTGGGGCAATCCCTTGAAAATGGCTATACCTTCGCCAATTCTTACCCGACTGGTTGGTTTCAGTATTTTTCAAAGAAAAGGAAACATTTTTTCGAACTATTCGAGGGACATTTGAATCATAAAATAAAATAATATAAATACTCATTTACTTTTCCGTCACATTTGAGATAGTGTCAGTTTCAGGTATATAGTACATATATCAACTACATTCCGCCTCGTAGTCAGCTTCAGTTGCTTTGCTAAATTTGAAACATTTTCTCAAAATGGCGCCTGATTTAATAGATCGTATTTTGAAATTAAAACAATTACTATCCAACGACAACGAAGAACAGCCATCCAGTGATGCCATCAAACAATTCAACGAAACATCAATATTTTCACAAAATAAGAGGTGCATGGGGGAGACCCTTTTATTGATCAGGCGCATGTCCGAAAAGTACGGGGGATCCCAGGATAATGATGATTCGGAAAAGAATAAGAATTCCGATGTGTTGAAAAAATGTGAGTATTAAATTTAATAAACATCCTTTTCTACGAGTATATTATATGCAGGTTCAGGGATAATGAAGCAACTTCATATGATTCATCCGTGGGAGGAAGGCGATGAAATTACCCAACATGTACAACAAACCTATCAGATGCAGCTTAGTTCGGTTCTTGATGAGCTGGAGAAAATGGCCAGAGATCCGCAGGAGAACCCTTACCCTCAGCCCTCACATCCCAACCCTGATGAGGTGGCCAGTCTTAAGAAAATATTGTTACAGAAAAATGCAATTCGGCAACTGCTGGAAGTGTCTAACAAGCTATTGCTTTTGAGGGAGGCTCTTGAGGACAAAAAGGACATGTCGGCCCAAAAAGAAGAGCACGAAATGCTTGTCAATGACCTTATGAGTTGTCTCGCCGATACCCAACGTGAATTGGAATCAGGCACAGAGGATTTCAAGAAGCTAAAGGAAGCCTATAAAGCCCAGGAGCAGAAAGACCAAGAGATACTGGCCAAGGAGAGGAGGTCCTGTATAGATCTTAGGAATCGTTTAGCCGATACCAAACGAGAGCTAGAATTAGCCAACGAGGATTACTCGAAACTGAAGGAAACCTTTAAAACCCAGCAACAGAAAGACCAAGAGATACTGGCCATGGAGAGAAGCTCCTGTACGGATCTTAGGAATCGTCTAACCGATACCAAACGAGAGCTAGAATTAGCTAACGAGGATTACTCGAAACTGAAGGAAACCTTTAAAACCCAGCAACAGAAAGACCAAGAGATACTGGCCAAGGAGAGAAGCTCCTGTACGGATCTTAGGAATCGTCTAACCGATACCCAACGTGAGCTAGAATCAGCCAACCAGGATTACTCAAAAATCAAGGAAGCCTATAAAGCCCAGGAGCAGAAAGACCAAGAGATACTGGCCAAGGAGAGGAGGTCCTGTATAGATCTTAGGAATCGTTTAGCCGATACCAAACGAGAGCTAGAATTAGCCAACGAGGATTACTCGAAACTTAAGGAGGTCTATAAAGCCCAGAAGCAGAAAGACGAAGAGATGCTGGCCATGGAGAAGAGCTCCTGTACGGATCTTAGGAATCGTCTAACCGATACCCAACGTGAGCTAGAATCAGCCAACCAGGATTACTCAAAAATCAAGGAAGCCTATAAAGCCCAGCAACAGAAAGACCAAGAGATACTGGCCATGGAAAGGAGCTCCACAGCAGATCTTAGGAATCGTCTGGCTGATACCCAACGTGAGCTGGAATTAGCCAACGAGGATTACTGGAAGCTAAAAGAAGTCTATAAAACCCAAGAGATTAAAGACGAAGAGATGCTGGCAAATGAAATAACCTGCTCAGAGGACCTTAGGAACTGTCTAGCCGATACCAAACGTGAGTTAGAATCAGCCTACGGGAATATAAGGAAGCTCCAGGAAGCCTATGAAAGGCTGCAGAAAAGCTACATGGATCTCCAAACAGATAACCTGTACAAAAGAGCTTCTATCCCTGAGAAAACCCAGGAACCTCCAAAAACTTCGTCTAGAAAATCCTTTGAAGTAGAACGAAACGAACTGGAATCGGAGACACTAAGAGTCCTTTTCAGCCGAAACGTGTTTGTGAAACAGAATATTTCCAAGCTAAGCTCTACAACCACCAAGATGCCAGGCCCAATCAAAATAAAGACGTCCAATATGACTTCTTTTGAATCTCTGAAACACTTCAGGAAAGACACCGTGCAGTTGATCGATAATGTCCTCAAAGCCATCCAGTTTCATAGGCAACTGAAGTTCCCCGCCTGCGAAATAAAATGGCAGGCAGTGTGTCGTTCTTTGCAGGACAATCTTCTTGCAGTCCGTAAGAAATGGAGGTACATGAAATTGGAGTACTCGGAAGAGAGTTCTACAAAAGGTCCTAGCGATGTGATTATAAAATCTGAAACGAGCTCCAAGAGCAACCTGGCCATGCTTCCGTATAACTATCCTGTGACGTGGAGTGATAAGATGTCCTTAACGAGCAAGGACTCTTCGAGCAGCATCGTTTCCAACGTCTCTTCGTTTCCAGACTTCGAGGGCAAGACCTTCGGTGACCGTCGCCTTTGGACTCTGAAGTGGTGCCAAGAGAAGACCCGACCCCATGGCATTCCCATGTACGAGTTTTCCGAATCCTGGACCAGTGGTCGCGCCCTATGCGCCCTCATCCACGCTTACCGCCCAAAGCTCATTAGCTCCAAGTATCTCCAAGGTACTGGAACGGTGGAGACTCTTGCATTCGGTACTGGTGTCGTCAAGGGTCTGGGTCTCTGTAGCCCCGTTGATTTTGTCCAGGAGTGCTCCCGTGAGAAGCCGAACTTCAAGAAGGTATTTGAGTTCGTTCAGGAACTACACCGTTTCCTGGAAAAACTGCGTTAATATATTTTTTTATGTACTTTTGGTACAGCAAAGCATTTAGGCTGCCGTTGCAGTTAATAAATATTCTATATTTTGTTATATATTAAGATCATTTATTATTACACTCTGGGTTCTTTGAAGGCTTTCTTGAACACCGAGTCTATACCACAGCTATTGCAATATCTCCCATCTTCCATGGATTTCCACATAAGCTCCACAGCAATGTCCATATCTTCGGCAATTCGAATCCGATTCTCAAGCGGAATACCTTAAATGATTTGTGGATCGATTTCCAGTAAATCTGCATCAAAATCTATCATCGAAATAATTTTTGAAATTTTTTCCAAATTTTGTGGGGCAATCCCTTGAAAATCCGGGATTTCCATATAAGCTCCCTGTCAATGTCCATATCTTCGGCAATTCGAATCCGATTCTCAAGCGGAATACCTTAAATGATTTGTGGATCGATTTCCAGTAAATCTGCATCAAAATCTATCATCGAAATAATTTTTGAAATTTTTTCCAAATTTTGTGGGCCAATCCCTTGAAAATCCGCGATTTCCATATAGGCTCCACAGCAATGTCCATATCTTCGGCAATTCGAATCCGATTCTCAAGCGGAATACCTTAAATGATTTGTGGATCGATTTTCAGTAAATCTGCATCAAAATCTATCATCGAAATAATTTTTGAAATTTTTTCCAAATTTTGTGGGGCAATCCTTGAAAATCCGGGATTTCCATATAAGCTCCCTGTCAATGTCCATATCTTCGGCAATTCGAATCCGATTCTCAAGCGGAATACCTTAAATGCTTTGTGGATCGATTTCCAGTAAATCTGCATCAAAATCTATCATCGAAATAATTTTTGAAATTTTTCCAAATTTTGTGGGCCAATCCCTTGAAAATCCGCGATTTCCATATAGGCTCCACAGCAATGTCCATATCTTCGGCAATTCGAATCCGATTCTCAAGCGGAATACCTTAAATGATTTGTGGATCGATTTCCAGTAAATCTGCATCAAAATCTATCATCGAAATAATTTTTGAAATTTTTTCGAAATTTTGTAGGCCAATCCCTCGAAAATCCGGGATTTCCATATAAGCTCCCTGTCAATGTCCATATCTTCGGCAATTCGAATCCGATTCTCAAGCGGAATACCTTAAATGCTTTGTGGATCGATTTCCAGTAAATCTGCATCAAAATCTATCATCGAAATAATTTTTGAAATTTTTTCCAAATTTTGTGGGCCAATCCCTTGAAAATCCGCGATTTCCATATAGGCTCCACAGCAATGTCCATATCTTCGGCAATTCAAATCCGATTCTCAAGCGGAATACCTTAAATGATTTGTGGATCGATTTCCAGTAAATCTGCATCAAAATCTATCATCGAAATAATTTTTGAAATTTTTTCCAAATTTTGTGGGCCAATCCCTTGAAAATCCGGGATTTCCATATAAGCTCCACAGCAATGTCCATATCTTCGCCAATTCGAATCCGATTCTCAAGCGGAATACCTTAAATGATTTGTGGATCGATTTCCAGTAAATCTGCATCAAAATCTATCATCGAAATAATTTTTGAAATTTTTTCCAAATTTTGTGGGGAAAATCCGGGATTTCCATATTGGCTCCACAGCAATGTCCATATCTTCGGCAATTCGAATCCGATTCTCATGCGGAATACCTTAAATGATTTGTGGATCGATTTTCAGTAAATCTGCATCAAAATCTATCATCGAAATAATTTTTAAAATTTTTTCCAAATTTTGTGGGCTAATCCCTTGAAAATCCGGGATTTCCATATAAGCTCACTGTCAATGTCCATATCTTCGGCAATTCGAATCCGATTCTCAAGCGGAATACCTTAAATGATTTGTGGATCGATTTCCAGTAAATCTGCATCAAAATCTATCATCGAAATAATTTTTGAAATTTTTCCCAAATTTTGTGAGGCAATTCCTTGAAAATCCGGGATTTCCATATTGGCTCCACAGCAATGTCCATATCTTCGGCAATTCTTATCCGATTCTCAAGCGGAATACCTTAAATGATTTGTGGATCGATTTCCAGTAAATCTGCATCAAAATCTATCATCGAAATAATTTTTGAAATTTTTTCGAAATTTTGTGGGGCAATCCCTTGAAAATCCGGGATTTCCATATAGGCTCCACAGCAATGTCCATATCTTCGCCAATTCATACCCGATTCTCAAGCGGAATACCTTAAATGATTTGTGGATCGATTTCCAGTAAATCTGCATCAAAATCTATCACCGAAAAAATTTTTGAAATTTTTTCCAAATTTTGTGGGGCAATCCCTTGAAAATGGCTATACCTTCGCCAATTCTTACCCGACTGGTTGGTTTCAGTATTTTTCAAAGAAAAGGAAACATTTTTTCGAACTATTCGAGGGACATTTGAATCATAAAATAAAATAATATAAATACTCATTTACTTTTCCGTCACATTTGAGATAGTGTCAGTTTCAGGTATATAGTACATATATCAACTACATTCCGCCTCGTAGTCAGCTTCAGTTGCTTTGCTAAATTTGAAACATTTTCTCAAAATGGCGCCTGATTTAATAGATCGTATTTTGAAATTAAAACAATTACTATCCAACGACAACGAAGAACAGCCATCCAGTGATGCCATCAAACAATTCAACGAAACATCAATATTTTCACAAAATAAGAGGTGCATGGGGGAGACCCTTTTATTGATCAGGCGCATGTCCGAAAAGTACGGGGGATCCCAGGATAATGCTGATTCGGAAAAGAATAAGAATTCCGATGTGTTGAACAAATGTGAGTATTAAATTTATTAAACATCCTTTTCTACGAGTATATTATATGCAGGTTCAGGGATAATGAAGCAACTTCATATGATTCATCCGTGGGAGGAAGGCGATGAAATTACCCAACATGTACAACAAACCTATCAGATGCAGCTTAGTTCGGTTCTTGATGAGCTGGAGAAAATGGTCGAAAATCCGCCGGAGAACCCTAACCCTCAGCCATCACATCCCAACCTATCCCCTGATGAGTTGGCCAGTCTTAAGAAAATATTGTTAAAGAAAAATGCAATTCGGCAACTGCTGGAAGTGTCTAACAAGCTATTGCTTTTGAGGGAGGCTCTTGAGGACGAAAAGGACATGTCGGCCCAAAAAGAAGAGCAAGAGGTTCTGGCACATGACCCTACGAATTGTCCCGACGATACCAAACGTGAATTGGAATCAGACAACGAGGATAAGGGAAGTCCCAGAAGTCCCAGGAGCGTGTCCTCAAATGTGAAGCGTATTTATAAAAATTTACTTTAAAGTATTGTTAAAATCTTAAATCTTGAAGTTAGAAAGAAAATAAAAAGCATCTTCAGTGGGATTGGACGTCTGTATCTTTTCCAATTGGCCCTCGATCCTCCAGCGGAGGATCTGCATCAGAATCTCTCCACAAAAAATTGTATCCCATATCTCAGCCAATTTCAGGTCAAATACCTCCATGTCAAGCTCAGACTCCCATTAAAATCAACTCCTTGCAACAAATTCTTTTTATTTGATTATTTTTAAGTTCTTTTCTATTTTAAGTAAAATGCGGAACATGATTTGTTTGATTTGTACAATTTATTTCTTATTAAAGTTTGAAAAGTCGTTGATCGTCTGGGTCATTTAGTGGTGGAATCACGGAATGAAGCTGAGTAAGGCGCATGGTAGTAGTTCTACTTAGTTCCTGGCTAGTCCGCGCCTTATAACATAAATGAGGGAGATGCCCAGGAAGGCGGCACCCAGGGCCAATCCGATCTGACGGCAGCTATACGAGGATATATACAGAAAGAGATATATAGAGAGAGAGAGAGGAAAGATCAGATGGTTAGAATCAAGGCTATAGGGCATTCCGAGCAAGTCCATCAACCAAACTAGTGGGCAAGAGGTGTTAGGTTTTTTGATTTTGGGATTAATGCAAGATGCAGCATTGCTTGGTGGCGACGACGGCCTCTGGGCTGGAGTCAGTGGGCGTGGATTCACTACAATTGGATTTTGGTTGGGTTTGGATAGACACAAGAACCAAGAAGCAAAAGAAATATGCAAATCAAGGTATAAACTACTCTTTTGGAATATTAACTTAAAAATGCAAAGGTGCAGAGGAGTTAGTACTTTACAGGTTTTTGGTTTTTAAAGTTAGTGATTTGTGCATGCACTATATATATATATATATAATATAATATAGTTTATATTTACAGATCCTTCAGGATGCGATAGCCAAACTAACAAATACTTCACTTCAATATATCCGATTAGCTTTTAAAGAATTTGACTTTCGTGCTTGAGAACGATTTAAGGATGCAGCTTGTTATTACATAATTAAAGATTAAATTAATACCAAAAAATAGATCTTAAAGAATAGATCAATATATAGTCTACAATAAGGACTCTTTCTCGGCCAAATAGAGGAAGACATTTTGTGGCAAACACTTTCGTGGCTTCCGCCCCAAAAATAATTGGTTACATCGGCAGTCGATTAATTGGTTAATGGACTTATTGATTACAAGATAAAATGTTCATGTTTTCTTTCATGCAGAACCGGTTTCTGTTTTTGTTTGTGTCGTTTGTTGAAATAAAAATTGCCCAGCGATAGCGTCATGTGAATTAGTTTAGAAAGAGACGAAAGAATGAAGTAAACCAAATGTTTACTCTGACACTGACATAGAGTCTATAATATATAGATTTTAGATCTGTCTTATCGAGAATTTATTTTCCTTTCGATGAAATAATGCGGGAATTAATCAGCAGGGCAGGCAGACTCCCAGGGGCTTTGGCTTTATACACATGCATATGGCAGGAGGAGGTCCTGTCACGGGATGCTCACCTTACTGGCCGTTTCTTTTGGATATCGGCGGCAGCCAAGTCGCCAATGTAGAACTTCTTCAGGATTTCCCTACAAGAAAAATTACCAGTTACTATCTGTATTTCATAGAGAATCCTTGAAAGGATCCAAGAAAACACCGGCAGACCTCGCCTCGGAGCTGTGACCCACGTCGTTGAATGCCTTGGTGCCATCGCGTCCGGCCACGTCAATGAGGGTCTCCTCGCCACCGGGATGCTGGAATCGGAGTGACCTACGATGTTACATGGCTGGAGAATGGGTAAAGATTGGACTTGCCTCGTGAAGGAACTTGGTCACATCGTAGACCTTGTTGTCGATAATCAGCCAGAGGTCGTTGGGCTTGTTGTGCTTCTGGACGGTTGCCAAAGGGATTTCCTTGCTCATTTTTTCCTGCCTGCTCTGCCTAGTTCCCTAAATTTTGCTGTGAACCTGTTGGGTGTTGAAATCTGACTGAGGTTTCCCACCGGAACAGCTGATTTGTTGGGGGGGGCAACCCTGACCAGGGCTGGAGACGCAATAGGGGAGCTCTCTCTTGGAAAATTGAGTAGCTATGGAGCTGATTTTTGTTTTTAGTTCTAATTGGAACACCTATCTTTATAAAATACATAATTTTAAATAAAAATAAAATAATTTGGCAGTGGAACAGTAACTGAGTCTGAACCTTGTGACAGATTCCAGGGCTGGAAAATATCGCACAGTGGGACAAGAGATGCTCCGTTGTTCCAAAAAAATAATCGAATATTTAATTTTAGTTCATTATTTGTTAAATAAAAAGCTATAGCCCATAAAAAAATATATATATATTTTGTAATCTATAGTCTGTACCTCTATGGGTAATAAGAGTACTATCCCCACCAAACCCTATAATAAATACGATTAGTTTTGAACACACAAATTGAAAATTTATTATCGAATATTAATACATTTTGCGGTTAGGCCTTAGGTGGCTCTTTCCTTTTTTGAAGCCAATAAACATTACTGAGAGTAGTGTGGCGCCTTCTCGGCAAGATCAATTTTAAGAGATTACTGTGGTGAAAAAATCTAGAGAGCGCCGCCGCGCAGACGCAACACCAAATGCAAAGTGGACTCCTTCTGGATGTTGTAGTCGGACAGGGTACGTCCGTCCTCCAGCTGCTTGCCGGCGAAGATCAGACGCTGCTGATCTGGGGGGATTCCCTCCTTGTCCTGGATCTTGGCCTTGACGTTCTCGATAGTGTCGGAGGGCTCGACCTCCAGGGTGATGGTCTTGCCAGTCAGGGTCTTCACGAAGATCTGCATGCCTCCTCGGAGACGGAGCACCAAGTGGAGGGTGGACTCCTTCTGGATGTTGTAGTCGGACAGGGTGCGTCCGTCCTCCAGCTGCTTGCCGGCGAAGATCAGACGCTGCTGGTCTGGGGGGATACCCTCCTTGTCCTGGATCTTGGCCTTGACGTTCTCGATGGTGTCGGAGGGCTCGACCTCCAGGGTGATGGTCTTGCCAGTCAGGGTCTTCACGAAGATCTGCATGCCTCCTCGGAGACGGAGCACCAAGTGGAGGGTGGACTCCTTCTGGATGTTGTAGTCGGACAGGGTGCGTCCGTCCTCCAGCTGCTTGCCGGCGAAGATCAGACGCTGCTGGTCTGGGGGGATACCCTCCTTGTCCTGGATCTTGGCCTTGACGTTTTCGATGGTGTCGGAGGGCTCGACCTCGAGAGTAATGGTCTTGCCGGTCAGGGTCTTCACAAAGATCTGCATGCCTCCACGGAGACGGAGCACCAAGTGGAGGGTGGACTCCTTCTGGATGTTGTAGTCGGACAGGGTGCGTCCGTCCTCCAGCTGCTTGCCTGCGAAGATCAGACGCTGCTGATCTGGGGGGATTCCCTCCTTGTCCTGGATCTTAGCCTTGACGTTCTCGATAGTGTCGGAGGGCTCGACCTCCAGGGTGATGGTCTTGCCAGTCAGGGTCTTCACGAAGATCTGCATGCCTCCTCGGAGACGGAGCACCAAGTGGAGGGTGGACTCCTTCTGGATGTTGTAGTCGGACAGGGTGCGTCCGTCCTCCAGCTGCTTGCCGGCGAAGATCAGACGCTGCTGGTCTGGGGGGATACCCTCCTTGTCCTGGATCTTGGCCTTGACGTTCTCGATGGTATCGGAGGGCTCGACCTCCAGGGTGATGGTCTTGCCAGTCAGGGTCTTGACGAAGATCTGCATGCCTCCACGGAGACGGAGCACCAAGTGGAGGGTAGACTCCTTCTGGATGTTGTAGTCGGACAGGGTGCGTCCGTCCTCCAGCTGCTTGCCGGCGAAGATCAGACGCTGCTGGTCTGGGGGGATACCCTCCTTGTCCTGGATCTTAGCCTTGACATTCTCGATGGTATCGGAGGGCTCGACCTCCAGGGTGATGGTCTTGCCAGTCAGGGTCTTGACGAAGATCTGCATGCCTCCACGGAGGCGGAGCACCAAGTGGAGGGTGGACTCCTTCTGGATGTTGTAGTCGGACAGGGTGCGTCCGTCCTCCAGCTGCTTGCCGGCGAAGATCAGACGCTGCTGGTCTGGGGGGATACCCTCCTTGTCCTGGATCTTAGCCTTGACATTCTCGATGGTATCGGAGGGCTCGACCTCCAGGGTGATGGTCTTGCCAGTCAGGGTCTTGACGAAGATCTGCATGCCTCCACGGAGACGGAGCACCAAGTGGAGGGTAGACTCCTTCTGGATGTTGTAGTCGGACAGGGTGCGTCCGTCCTCCAGCTGCTTGCCGGCGAAGATCAGACGCTGCTGGTCTGGGGGGATACCCTCCTTGTCCTGGATCTTGGCCTTGACGTTCTCAATGGTATCGGAGGGCTCGACCTCGAGGGTGATGGTCTTGCCAGTCAGGGTCTTCACGAAAATTTGCATTTTGGCTGCGGAGGAGAAAAGTGCGAAGAAAATTTGTTAAATCGGGTATGTATGTGGTGGGAAAGTGCGCAATTGATTTTTCTGCGTAGTGACCTAGTTTCCGTGACCCAGAAAGTGTTCTGTGGCATACACACACACGGGCAGTGTTTATTTTTCACCAAATGGGATATTTCACAACGAAATTAAACTTTTACGAATGTGACTAATCCCATTAGGTTTTCAGAAAAAAAAAAAAAAAATGGCCAATGGAACTAACACACACACTAACGCATTCAACCCGTTTTCTCTTTCTTTGTTGCACTTTTTTTTTCACGACGCCATTTTGGCTTTGAAGATGGAAGAGTTTCTGGAAAACTCCATTTTACATACCTTTACGCTTGATTCGCTCGAAATATAAACGTTAACTAACTTTTAGGATTTTTATTCCTTGACCAGATGTGCACTTTTTGAAATAAAAAACTTTTTGTGATGTTCAAAAACTTGCTCTCGTTTTCTGGTGCGATGTTTACTCGACTATTTTTTCACAGCTTATGACCCGTTAGGCGACGAGTCACTCCTATTTATGGCAGCGGCGTCGAAACCGATAGTCATGACCTGCTGCGATAACCGACCCCCGGTGCGGAAATGTTTTTTGGCTTTTCCACGTCTTGGCCAACTACGTTGCTTAGTTTAGCATTGAAAACACAAAGAGGACGCTTTCAAAATTTGTAGGAATGTAGCGGCCAGTCTGTCAGTTGGCTAGAAAATTATATATTAGACATTGAAAAATAAAATGCGTAGTAGCTGATCTATCGATAAGTCTGCTACGGTCACATTATTTGGGAAGGCGACAGCTGTTCGGTAGGGGGTGTTTATATGTATATATAGTATATATAAGTAAATATAAATTGATTGGTAGGTAAATATAGTGGTAGTTAGTTATCCCTCGCTGCAGTCGATGATGCTGTAGACGCCGGAGGTATTTGTGAGATGATTTCCCCTTGCGGTTGCAGAGGGGGTGTTGCCACTCCTTATAGGCAGTGGTTGAGTTCCCTAGCGGTTGCCGGGGGGAATCCTTCCTGTAACAGAAGTTATGATGGGAGCACTTGCCCCGTTGTCACGGCCCTTGAGGCGCGGTGACCAATTCAACAAGTGAATTTACAAAATTGACGGCAATGCCGGAGATTGGTTTTATGCTCTTTATTGTACGAGACTCTGACACAAACTGAAACTTAAAGCTAACAAAAAGTATTTCATAGCGGCCACGCAAATGTGCAGTGCTTGCCGCTATGCATGGGCTTCCGGCCAGACGCTATGTCAGCAGTTTGGCCAGAGCGAGCTCTTAAATAATCGGACATTGCCGCTGCTGGGTTAACTTCAGTTAACTACTCCCCCTCAAGAATGAGGCCGCCCTCGGCCGACCCTATTTGGGCAATCATCTCCTTCAGCTGGGCCGCGGTTTTTCGGGCCTGAGTGACTCGCCGATAGGTCAAACCGATGCAAATTAAAGCGCAGCATATTGCTCCCGCTATGAACACCAACTGATGTAGTAGCTGGTGATTAATTTCCTTCCCGAACTCCTTGATGTGCTCCAGATTACGTTCACTCAGTCGGTGAAGGTATGGAAGGCTGAGAACGTCACGTTCCATGGTGATGTTCAGGGAAGGTGAGCTGGCCACTCCTGGAGCCCTCTTCTGGGCTGTGTCATGATTGACCAATCGGGTTTCGTTGACCATGGCACTCTTCTCAAATGTGATGAGATATGTGCCTTTTATATGGGCACAGGTGCCATTGTCCACACACACGTGTGCCGAGCGATCATTCACAATTACTATTCCTTCATCAACATAAGTGATGGGGTGTAAATCGCTTTGCTGGGTCTCGCAATGCGCCGTGCCTCCAGCGTGAAGCTCTTGGGCGCATGATCTTCTACGAGCCAATCGGCAAAATGTAGCTCCTGATGTCGGGGAGCACTTTTCCACGGTGTGGATCTCGGTGTTGCATTCGGCAATGACGTTATCTTCCAGCCTGAGCATGGTGTCGTGATGTGACACTGGGAAGACGGTAATCTTGCTGCAGGCCGACTTTATCTTTGGAAACTTAATGATAAAATGTAATATGTTATCGGACTGTAAGATCTTAACGGACGATACGGACAAAACATCCCTAATCGCGGTCTCGGTGGGCTCTTCCATCCACACACCTTCCAGGTCTGCATGATCTAGTATGCTGGGGCTAACAATATTAACTTTGGCAAGTGCCACTGCTAGCATCAAACCCTGCAGCTCCATTGCTATCATCCTATTTCGAGTTAAAAGCATCTCGAATAGGTGCCCAGTATCAATTTGGGACTTTTTGTTGACCTCAGAAGTTGGTTGACGGTAGCGGAAATTTTATTGATTTGAATTTGTACTTTGTTGTTAATATTAATCTGCCTATTGTTTGCATTTGCTAATTGGAATTGATTAAATTTAATTTTTTCAAAATCTTCTGCGTCCGGCGTTCCTGCCACCACCTTTAGCGCAGTCCCTAAGAAGTCTAAACTTCTTGCTACTCTATGGTGGACGCTCAAAGAGTCGAGCATGTCGCGTAGGTGGGCGACGTCAACAACCAGGAGTTTCTGCATGTGGGATTGCGGGAACATGACGGTCATCCCATTAGTCTCTTCGATGACGCGCCTATATTCCGAGAGATTTGCTGAGTGCTTTACAAAGGCAAATTCCTCCCATATCAGGATTCGCCCATCAACGATGGGAATGTATTTGGCTTTGGAATAGTCCGTGACGCGTGCCGAAGTTGTGGCCAAAAGGAAAATCAGGGTTATGGTTGAAAACCTGTGATTTGGATGTGTTGTGAATTCAATTGAAACTGGGTAGCCCACCATTAGAGCATGATTAAAATAATAATGGAAGCGAAAGCTTATGCCAAGTGGCTAGGAAAAAGACAATAAAAAAGAATGAAAAATTATTAGGCGGGCGATAGTTGAGTCACGCTCGGCCTACCTAAGGTTGTCTTTGTGGACCACCCTCCCCTTAATGAGGACTGTGGTCCCCATGTCCGCTTCAAAGGTGACGGTTTGTTGCTCAGTCGCCTGCTAGACTACACTAGGATCTTTTCGCCAACTTCGAAAACCCTGTTTTGCCGGGAAGCATTTCTCCTGTCGCGGAACTTATTCTGGGCGTGTTTAATCGTATTCTGTATCGCGTATTGCGGGTCATTCGATTCCGTTTGAACCGGGTCGGCTGGCCTCTTGTCGTTTGCCGACGTGTAGCAGGGATATTCCCTTAAAAAATTAATGACGTCCGAATCATAATCTTGAATAACGTCGTCGTCAATTTTCTGAGCCGTGCTTGAAGCTGCGGCTGTATATTTCTCCCCGGTTCCGCCTGCGCTCTGCGCGACGTGGTTAACTTTCTGCTTGTTGTGTAGGCCCGATCGATCGGACACGGTTGGCTCCCTGTTTTGGTATGACGGGGCCTGAGATGGATTAAGAAACTTGGACCGCGATGGGTCGATGTCCATGGGTTCATGGGTATTTGCACTGCGTGGAGCAGAGTGTATCTGCGCCTTGCGTTGTTTGGCGCAGTACGGATTTTTGTCTTTGTCCTCCTGGCTTTTAGCAAATGAAGCCGCGAAGGAGTACCTCTCGTGGTTAGATTCCACTTCTTGTGCCAAAGCGAGAGCTGAAGGCATATCTTTCGGCTTTGCCGAGAAAAGAACATCCGTGAGGCTGCGCTTAAGCCCCGAGATAAATACTCGGAGTGCGTCATCCCGGAATTTGTCACACAAAACTTTTGCCGCCGAGGCTTCGTACGACATGGTAGCTTTGTTGGTGAGCAAGGTGAGTTTTTTCTCGACCTCGTCGTAGTATTGCAGGAGGGATAGATTTCCCTGCCTGAGAGTACCCATTTCTTGCTCGATAACGTGAATCTGACGCTTATCACTGTACGTAAAGTCGAGTCGATTTATAATCGCGTCGAAATTTAGTACAGTGCCAAACGAAGACAGTACGGCATCGGCAGGGCCCCTTATTTTATTCCTAATAATAATAACTGCCTGATAATGGCGCGAGCTATTTACATAATTCCTGAAAGTATAGTATGCGGCTACTGCCGCTTGTCTCCAGGAGACGTATGCGTCCTGTGCTCCCGTAAATTCGGGCAGGCAGTTGACGGCATCTAGGGGCTCGTCACATTTGACGTCGTCCCTAATTTCTATAGGTTTATAGGCTTTAATTTGGGGAGCTTCCGCTTGGGCGGGAGCGATTTGTGTTGCGTCGACCCGTTCGGCCAGTTTTTGTATAGCTAGACGTAGCTCATTCTGTCTACGCTGGCTTTCAGTATTGGCTTCCCGAAAGGCATGGTTAACGGCCGCCTGTATAGTGGCCGTCATTTGTTCCATGCTGAATGCCATATTTGCGGCCTCGGACTCAGAGTCGCTGGGGAATTGTCTTATACTCCTTTAGAGGTGAAAAGGGCTGCTCATGTGGAGCTGTACCCATAATATCGCCCAAAAGAATTAATGCATGCTCGAATTGCATGTCTATAGAGACATTTGGGCTTGTGGGGGTTTCGCGGGGGCTGAGCCGCCGCTTCAGTTATGTGTGCGAGCTCGTCGAACTGCGCTGTTGCCTTGCCAAGCAGAGGCAAGGTGAGGGGTGCGCGGGGACTGAGCCGCCGCTTATGCAAACAGAGAAAAAAAAAACAACAAAAACAACAAAGTGCCACACTGCATGCGCGGCCGTATCGTGTTCTCGAAAGTGGAGTGGGGAAACAAAACGGAAAAGAAAAATAAATAACCAAAACTGCGCGGCTAATACCAAGAATTCTTGTGTAACAAAAAAGACATATAAAAGCTGAATTAAATACACGCGATTATATGAATTATTTCCGATTGAAATTTAAAATTTTTTGCCAGCGATTTTTTGGTTTTGGTTAGGAATTTTTATTCCGCACTTTTTGTGTTATGTAGAAATATTCATTTATTTATTCACAAAAATAGAAATGCAAACAATATTGGGACAATAATTGGTTCACAAAATGAAATGGTTTAGATATTTTATAATAGGTAAACAATGTTAATGCCAAACCGTCAGCCAACTAATAAAGATTATTTAAAAAAATTTTTTTTTTTTTATTTTATGGGGCTGCAGTTTTTTTGCTAGCGTAAGGCACAATATTTTACTATTCTTGCCCTTCTTTCTTTTTTTTTTTTTTATACACAAAAAAAAATTCATGCAGACATAGAAAAATGGTGTAAATAAAAGTGCTCACTTACATGGTTCTTTTACGATGGGCGCCAGTAAATATAAATTGATTGGTAGGTAAATATAGTGGTAGTTAGTTATCCCTCGCTGCAGTCGATGATGCTGTAGACGCCGGAGGTATTTGTGAGATGATTTCCCCTTGCGGTTGCAGAGGGGGTGTTGCCACTCCTTATAGGCAGTGGTTGAGTTCCCTAGCGGTTGCCGGGGGGAATCCTTCCTGTAACAGAAGTTATGATGGGAGCACTTGCCCCGTTGTCACGGCCCTTGAGGCGCGGTGACCAATTCAACAAGTGAATTTACAAAATTGACGGCAATGCCGGAGATTGGTTTTATGCTCTTTATTGTACGAGACTCTGACACAAACTGAAACTTAAAGCTAACAAAAAGTATTTCATAGCGGCCACGCAAATGTGCAGTGCTTGCCGCTATGCATGGGCTTCCGGCCAGACGCTATGTCAGCAGTTTGGCCAGAGCGAGCTCTTAAATAATCGGACATTGCCGCTGCTGGGTTAACTTCAGTTAACTTATATACTTTGTTTTTGGTTCTAATTGGGGTGGGGAAAGGGGATTACATACAGATATATATATTATATACCATGAACATCTTGTGACGTTCTTTGTTTGTCGAGTTAAACGACCTTTGTTTGTTTTGACGCTGCATGAGAGATTTGGCTTTGCTTTGGTCAACAGCCTCAGACAACAGAACAGACCCCCCCCCCTTTTTCATATACATATATATATAACGGTCATTTCCCCAAGAACCTATACATATATAATCTTAAATAAATGCAGGTGTCTTTGTATGGGTTAATACATACATATGTAGATGATTAACTGCATCTGGAAAGTTCCTGGAACGATAATTGCTGACGAAATCTGATGATAGACTTTGGTCAGAATATATGGTCAGATAATTCTAGAACTTGGGAAAACCCCATTATGATTTTTTAAAAAAAAATATAAACAATGACTCATCTGAAAATTTTGTGATAAACAACCCCCTGGGGCTATATACAGGGGGGGTTCAATTTCCAAAGAAAATAAAATGCATTTGTAATACTTTCTTCATGTAATTAAAGTTTCTTTAAAAAAAAAAAATAGAATAAAATATTTAAAACTAAATTATAAACAAGTAGTTCTATATAAAATAACTAAAAATATCTTATTCTTAGGATTATTCTTGAAAATAAAAACCCTCTTCATTAAAAAAAAAAAAAATACTACATTCTTTATACAGTTTTCGTTTCTTTTATTCGGTTTTGTGGTTTTTCTTGACTTTTTTTTTATTTTTTAATTTAAATGCAGGCTCCTCCTTACTTCTTTAAACGAAATACGCCGCCAGCTGGGCCATTTTATCCTTGGGCTGTCGGCCACCCCGTCCGCCACGCCCACCGCCTCCAGCGCCACCTGGACCACCGCCAGCAGCCACGGCTCCACCCACAGCAGCCGGTCCGCCGGCACCGCCGCCACGACCAGCCTTACCGCCACGGGATCCACCGCCGCGTACAGGTCGCGAGGCCACCGCCCGATGCTTCTCGACCAGGTGGGAGAAGTCCGCCGAGCAGAAGACACAGCCGCTCTTCTCCTCGCTGCCGTCCTTGAACTTGCTCTTGTCCGACTTGTAGACGACGGTCACCTGCTGGGCGCCGCACTCCTGGCACTTGGCCTCTGCAAAAGATTCGATTAGTTTCGCTTTGGAGAACACAAGAATGGAGGACAGGACACCAACCTTCGACTGTGACTTTGGTGGCACCCTTAAAGCAGTTGATGATGACGTCGCAGCGATTGCAGCCCAGCTTCCAGGTGGGCGCCAGGGTGCAGTCGAGCACTAGGACACCGGTGGGGCATTCAACGCATCCGGAAATGCCCAGGGTGTTCAGGGAGTGGGGGCAGGTGGCGTGGGTGCAGGTGTTGCAGCCCCCCAGATTGGGCATATCGCTGAACGGCGGATGGTTGTAGCAGTACGGGCAGAACGGATACGAACGCCCCTTGACGCCCGTCGAGAAGGCCAGCAGATCGAAGTCATCCAGCGGGCACTTGAACTCACGGTAGACCTTCACATTCCCGATGGGCAGGGAATAGGTTTCGTCGCAATGCGAGCAATGGAGACGAGCTGGTTTGGTCTGAAAAAGGGTTCAAAAGGATGTCCTTATAAGGATCTCTTCGGGTGAGCCAGTACCAACCTGTATGTACTTCATGTAGCGCCTGCACTTGCCACAGCGGGAGTGCGCCTTCCCCGACTCGGCCAGCGGCGAGAAGGACACCTCGAACAGGGCATCCATGTTGGCAATGTTCTTCACAAAGTACATGAACTTGAGCTTAAAGATCTTGATGGCGTGCCGGAGCACATCCTGAAAATCGGCCGATCCCTGGGCAATGAGGGTGAGCATCCGCTCCACCTCCGAACGCATGGTGGGCAGCACCAGTTCCGGATCGATCTTTTGATAGCCATGGACGAGGACAATGCCCAGTGTGGTGGGTATCAGCTTGCGTCCATTCTCGATGCGCACATAGTTGCGCTGGCAGATGTTGTTAATGTGCACCGGTATGGAGGCGTCCGTACCAATGCCGTGCTGTTCCATCAGGGTGATCAGCTCCGCCTCGGTGAGGTAGTCGGGCGGCCCCGTCTGACTTTCCGCCAGCCGGACATCATTGATGGCCACCTGGGTGCCCTGGACGAACGGCGGCATGGGTTCGTCGCGGCCAAAGGCCTGCCAGGTCATGACCTTGGTGAATCCAGCATCCAGCAGTACATTCGCCGTGCAGGAGAACGTCTCCAGGCCTACTCGCAGCTTTGCCGTTGTGGTGCGGTACTTCAAGTCCCGCGACACCGTGCCCATGAAGTGCCGGCAGATGAACTCGTAGACACGCCAGGTGTCGCGATCAAAGTCACTGCGGCTGCCCAGCTTCATGGGCGTGATCGGGGGATGGTCGCCGGCATCCTTGCCCTTGCGCGGTGTCTGCAGATCCCCCAAGATGGTCCTAGCCTCGTCACCAAAATCCCCGGACGGCTGCAGGACCCGGAGCACCGCCGGCAGATCAAAATTGGCCGGATACTGATTGGTCTCCGTACGCGGATAACTGATGTAGCCCTGAGTGTAGAGCCGCTCGGCGATCTGCATGGCCTGGAAGGGACCAATGCCCAGTCCCGAACTACAGATCCGCATCAGTTCCACGGTGTTGAGGGCCTGGGGCTTGCTCTTGAAGGCCTCTTTGCTGCTGACACTCTCCACCCTGCAAAGTAAACATGTCATAAGATGGTAATTATGGTAATCCTACACGCGATTCTCTTCTTTTGATGGATTTGGTCATGATCAGGTTTTTAGCCAATGACATCATTGGGGAGCCGGTAGGCAAGAAAAAGAGAGAATCTTCGGATAGGAATCTTCAAATCAAAATCTTACGTGGCTTCCTTCTGCTCCTTGACGCGGTTCAGGAGCGTGATGGCAATGTCCTTCTTGAAGACACGACCGCGCGCCCACTCCAAGGTAAACTCCGGCTGGCCGGCGAGTAGCTGCAGATACCAGAAGCTTTCCGGCTTGAAGGTCTGGATGTCGTCGTGCCGTTTCACGCAAAAGCCGAGCGTGGGTGTCTGACAGGGACCGTAGGAGATGAGGGACGAGTCCAGGTCGCCGTAGCGATCCTGAAAGAACTTTGTCTGGAAGCGGGTGAAGGCGCACCCGATACGCAAATCCAGCTCCTGGCGCGCATCCACCGACTTGGCCTCGTTCTCGTTCGGATGGCCCAGCGTTTCCATGGCGCCCTTGATGTCCTTATCGGTAATGGCCGAGAAGTGGGCACGGAAAGTCACCTGCCGACTGTAGACATTGTGGATAACACTCTGGACAGCGTCCATCACCTCGAAGCAAATGTTCTCGCCCTCCTTGTCGCAATCCAGCCAAAGGACCAGGAAATCACAGCCCCTGGCCTCGTGCGCCAGGAACGTGCGCATGTGCTGCTTGGGGTTCGTCTCCTTTTTCTCGGTGGGACAGCCGAAGAGCTCCACGGGATCAACCTTGTCCCAGGAGTTGTACTTGCTGATAAAGTCCAGCGACATAACGTGCCCGCACACCGATGTCATCCGAAAATGAACCGAGCCCTCGTTGCGGAAGTTGCCGGTCCACTCGTGAGTGGAGCAACCGTTTCCAGTCCCTAGAAGTGTTTGGAGCATTAAGGATTAAATGAGAAAGTGCCGGTACAAGGGGATTGGAAGCCCGTTGGCATTGAAATTACCCCTTTTCGGTGTGCTGCGCCCATTGGAGAGAATCGCCGCTAGCGAGGCAGCCAGCGAGGGCTTCTCGGCCACCATCAGTACACTCTTCATGGCCTAAATATAAGTGATGACTACTTTTTCTTGCGATTTGCCGGCTGTTTCCTTTTCCTCCTCCACCGGCTCCCGTTGGCGGTTCGATGAGGCTATTGAAGAGTTCGGTGTAACGGCTCTAGCGGGAAATTCAGTTGCTTCAGGCTCGGCCACACATGAGATTATCTCAATGGGGCTCCGCTTGCAAAATGTTTGTTAATATTTTCGCAAAAAAAAAAAGTTTGTAATACGCATAGAGATGGAACGAAATGATAGTTGGCAAATTATCGATAGACGGTTATCGATAGGATTAGCATAAACTCTTATACGTTTATAATAATACTTATAATTTTTATAATGCAATTTAAATATCTCTCCTAGATATGTTTTATTGGTTTTAAAGCCAAATGTTTAATAATTTTTAACTCAAAAACTTTTTTTTTTGAACCGGTTCGAAGACTCCCGCCCGATTCGCGAAAGAGAAAGGGAAAGGGAGAAGATAGTGTAGCCAGACCATCTGCCTGATATCGATGCAGCCCTGCCAAACAAAAAGCCACAAAAGATCGAGCCACAACAAAAAAAAATTCGGGCCCGAACGGTTGATCTTTAAACGCGGCGTCAGAATATTTGCAAGAATTGAACCCCGAACCAGCAACGTGCGAGCTGCAAAGTGCCAATTGCCAATCCCAAAGTGTTCCATTGCCAAGTGATGTGTTGTATGTGCGTGCCGAACTCCGAGAACTCCACTTGCTGACCACTTTTCAGTGCCAAGCCGTTCCTTTAACCAGTCATGGACCATCCTATTTTAAGTATTGCCAGGCTGCTCCTTCTGGTGGCGGCCTGGTCCGGTGGCCAGGCCCAAGAGACGCCACCGGTGTCGTCTGCCTCGTCGCCCGCCCGCCCGCCGCCCCGCGTCAAGCTGAACAAATGCTGCCACATGGGCGAGTACCTGAACGAGACGACCCGATCCTGCAACGCCGGCAGTCCGGAGCAGTGGGTGCCTATGGTGTATCTGGTGCAGCAGCAGCGATTCTTCGAGCCCGTCGGCGGTAGTCCGCGCTTCATGAAGTTCCTGCCCCACACGCGTCCCCAGTGCCCGGATCAGTACCAGGAGCTCATCCGCAGCCGGAACACCAACGTAATGCTATTCCCCAATGGCAGTCTGTATGTGAGGGAGCGCGGCCTGTTCGTGGAGCCGCAGAACTACTGTGTGGACTGGCAGGTGGCCCTCGTCTGCCTCGACCACGACAAGCAGCAGCCACAGCAGCCGAACGGCAGCGATCCCGACCAGCGTCAGGAGCAGCCGGATGTCCTGCGCCTGCGCAAGTGCTGCGGCAAATACGGCAGCTACGACACCCAGAAGAAGGACTGTGATCTGCAGCCGAACCATCCAGCGGATGGACAACTCCGCCTCGCCCCCCAACTTCAGCTGGGCAGCTACGAGACGATATACGGCCTGCCGGAGTGCTCCTCCCCCGGAGGCTATGCCATCGCCGGGGACTGGACTGAGGGGAAGCTGAATCGCTCCAACCGCCACCTCCAGCTGCCGCACACGAATCTCAGTGCGGATCAGTACTGCCTGGAGCATACGCAGCGCGAGGGCGAGGTGAAGATCATTGCCTGCCAGTACCTGTTCAGTCCGGAGATCTACGATCCCGACCTGGGCCCCGGCGAGATTCACGGCAATAACCTGCAGAGGGCCGTGCTTACGGGCGGCATACTCGTGTCTATTGTCTTCCTGGCCGCCACTCTGGTGGCCGGATTCATGCTGCCGGCAGTCCATCACGCCCTCCACTGGCGGTGCCAGATCTGCTACATCTTCTGCCTGCTGGTGGGCAAGGTGCTGCTGGCCATCGAGGAGTTCAGCACCGGCCTGGAGCCGGGCACCGCCTGGTGCCTGATGCTGGCCATATCGATGCATTTCTTCTTCCTGGCCGCCTTCTTCTGGCTGAACACCATGTGCTTCAACATTTGGTGGACGTTCCGGGACTTTCGGCCCAGTTCCCTCGAGCGCAGCCAGGAGGCGCTGCGTCTCTTCCTCTACTCGATGTACGCCTGGGGCGGACCCCTGCTCATCGCGATTGTGGCCGCCTGCGTAGACCAGCTGCCGGAGACGAGCCTGCTCCGACCCGGATTCGGCCAGTTGTACTGCTGGTTCGACAATCGCTCCCTCTCCATCTTCGCCTACTTCTACGGACCCATCGGCCTCCTGCTGTGCGCCAACATCGTCCTCTTCATGTCCACCACCCACCAGCTGACCTGCGGCCTGTGGAAGCGCGACGACGTCAAGTCCTCCACGGAAAAGTCCGCCCTCGGTCGGGTCTGTCTCAAGCTCGTGGTGGTGATGGGCGTCACCTGGATAGCGGACATCATCTCGTGGCTGGTCGGGGGTCCGCATGGCGCCTGGTTCGCAACGGATCTGATCAACGCCCTCCAGGGTGTCTTCATCTTCATTGTGGTGGGCTGCCAGCCGCAGGTGTGGACCGCCTGCCGTCGCATCTGCTGCCCCCGGTTGCGCCACGACATCACCAACACCACCAACGGTGTCCAGCATTCGAGCAGCTCCCAGGGTCTGCCCTCGATGGCCGGCGGCACCGAATTCACGCAAAACACCAGCATGCCGAGCAGTCCAGCGGCGGATAGTGGCTTCCCGGAGGACACCACCACCACCGACAAGGCGGATGGCCACCCAACATCATCATCACCCGTAACAGTTCCCCCCAAAATGGAGACTATCTGCTAAACGTAAGTTGAATATCCGATAAGGTGTTTGATGATGGACTTGGTATCTTTATAGAGTATCTACCACCTGGGTGGGGGGGACTACTCCGTCACTGACAAGCGGGTCTCTTGATGGACTTGTCCGAGGGGGACAGACTGGGGGCTTGGAGCTTGTGGCTTTGAGGAATGCAAAGAATTTCAATGTTTATTTATTTATTTATTTTATTTGTTTGTTTGTTTGTCATACATCGTAGCAGGTACTCCAGCTCAAGTATCAAGTCTTACTAAAGAGGAGCAGCTCCTTCCACTCCCTTCCACCTTCCACAAATATTAGTCGCCAGTCTGGTAGTAAGAGTGAGCTTCTATCTTCCATTAACTCGATGAGTAATCTAATCCAGAAGTCACTTTCCCTCATGGTCTCTGTGATGCTATTTTGTGATAAACCATCTCCACGTCTGGGTCTTCCAGAGTAGCTTGGTGGGTCTCATGATTATCACCATCCAGTACCATAAATAATGATGATAATTATCATACACATGTGACCTGAATATTTCAATATTATTCCAAATATTGAGTAAGATGGGTACACTATTGAATGAAATGAATCATTTTTTAAATAAATGAGACATTATATGGTAGGATTGCATCTCTAGAGAGGCTTTATAGCCCTGTCCGCGTGTCCGTGTGTCCGCTTATTGCTCTTTTTTGGAAAATACTCTCTTAGTTTTCAGGATATTGGCTTTAAACTTGCCATATTAACTAGAAAATCGTATTTCATACTCTATAAGATTCAAATTCATCTCTAGAGAAGCTTTATAGCCCTGTCCGCGTGTCCGTGTGTCCGCTTAAGTGTCTTTTTGTGGAAAATACTCCCTTAGTTTTCAGGATATTGGGTTTAAACTTGGCATTCTACTTAGAAAGTCATCTTCCATAAGCTAGAAGTCCATAATTCATCTCTAGAGTAGCTTTATAGCCCTTTCCGCGTGTCCGTGTGTCCGCTAATCCCCTTTTATGCAAAATACTCTCTCAATTTCAAAGCTATTGACTTCAAACTTGCTCCACTAGCTTAATTCTACATTATAAACCATATATTTAAATTTCAACAGAATCATAAGACTATATCATATAGTTCCTAATAGATCTCTTGGGTTATATGAGCTCCTAGGGTTATTTAGGGTTATTTCTAGTCCTCACTCCGAAATACCCTTTTTATGGCCCTCGTTGACCCCATTGGTCTGTTAAGGTTTTCCATCCATATGATATCCAGAAGACTCGGCAGCTACCTGGAGAGTTTTCCCAACACGGCGCCGCCATAAAGTCCAGCAGTGTCCGGTTTTTATGAGTTTTGGAAAAACGAATTATATAGCTAGTAGTAGTAGGATACTAGAATTTACATTTCTACTTTTTCCCATCTTGCCATCTTTACGACATGCGCCAAGTTTACGATTTCGCGTTTACCACTCGAGTTTTCTCATTTTCTTTTTTCCAAAATTTTCATAATAAAATGATGAAAATGTTTTGGCATTGCCGTTGCCATTGCGTTATATTGTTTTTCACTGGAAAAACTCTGACTAGGCCAGGCCAGGCCGGATCGGACCGGACCAGGGCATTCCAGCTTCCTGCCGATTTCCACATGGCCATAAAGTAATCAGCACAACCCTTGACACACACACGCAACCGGGATAGATAATGTCCGGATGGATTCGGGTTCGGATCGTAGCATCTCGTATCTGAAAGAAAAAAAGGGGAAAATTGAGTTTAAATTGGACTCACCGGCGACGACTACGACGAGCAATGTGATAAGCGTCTCGGTCTCTCGGTCTCGGTTTTGTGTATTTTCCTCATTGGTATTTATGTATGTATGTATTTATGTATTTATGTATTTATGTATTTATGTATATATGTATGTATGTATATGGTATGTGTTAACTCGATTGCCTCAAGTGGTCTTGACACATCCCAAATGAGCCAAAGTAAACTCGGTCTTAACATCTTAAGATCCCCAGATACAGTAATGCCTCCATATACCATACCAACTCTATAAACATTGAGCAAGTTTTTTGTTTAATTTGGAAATCTTACTTGTTTTCTTAGGGAATATTATTTGTAGAATATAAGAAGATAAATAGAGGAAGAAATCAATAAAGAAACTACCTTTTTTACATATATTTTTAATCATGTTTGAACTTGTCTTTGAAGAGATCCTTTTTTATCGATTAACTTGAAATATGTTTTATGAAAGTCGCTGATTTTTTTATTCCACTATAATATTTGTTTTTGGAAGGTGCTATAAAGTATCTATTATATTTAAACGAAAAGAAAGAAATTATTTTTTTAAAAAGAAGAAAGAAGAAAAAAAAGAAGATTTTAAAAGTCTTCTTGAATCTTCTTAAAAGAAGAAACAAGTTTTAGAAAAGATTCTTAAAATGGTTCAATTAGGGAATTGTTTTTTGAATTTATTCAACAATATTATCAGTTTTTTAACAGCTGATAATATAACAAAAATTATTGAAAAATATAACATTTTTTCTACATAAAACTATGTTTTTTACCTTTTCTTTATCATGTTTAAACATGTTTCTGCCTAGATTCTTTCACCAATAGTCCTCCTTTAGTTCGATAGTTCTTTTAAGAAAGTTTCTGTTGTTTATTCCACAATAATCTTAAGTTTATTAGAAGTTCTGTAAAGTATTAAATTAAATTAAAAAAAGAATTTGTTTCACATGTTTCAAAATCATGTTTAAACATGTTTCTTAACTAAAGCTTTTAATCGTTTTATGCGATAGTTTTTTTTTATAAAAATTGTATTTATTTATCCAACAATAATATTAGTACTTTCTAGAAGTAATTATAAAATATAATAATTAAAATACAAGAAACTATTTTTTTTTTAGATTCCTCAAATCAAGTTTAAACATGTTTTTTGTTTAAAGCCTTTGTATTCGATTGATTCGATAGTTCTTTTTAAGAAATCTACGGCTTTTAAGCAAAAAGTTCATTAATTTTTCTAGAAAACGTATAAAAACTTAGTCAAAATTTACCAAAAAATAATTTTTAAAATTATTTCCCAACGAGACCCCTTTTTTGTAACCCGGATATGGAAGTTAATGGTTTTAAATGTTTTTTTTTTTTTTTTGGTTGTCTGACTGTTTGCCTTTGGGTCATTTTTGTGTTGGTTTTTTTGGTCGGTTTTTGTTTTTTTTTTATATTTTGGGCCCTGCTGGCGTCATTTTTGGAATCCGGCCTGGGGTCGGGGAGGGGTGGTGGGAAAACAGATGTGATTTTTTGATGTGTGGCCCGCGCTGAGTGTCCGAGGTTTTGCCCAGCGAATGAGAAACCAAAACAAACACTGGGTTTTTGGCCCATTGGCTATTATGCAATCGAGAGTGTTATGGTTCCAAAAAAAAAAAAAAAAACCAAACTATGGCTCACGCAATAATGGAATGTGCAGGGCATCAGTTGCCTTGAAACTGTTTATTCCCAGTTCCTCTAAAACTGTGACCTGCAATCAGGGCGAGTGTGCGTGTGTGTGCGTATTTGTTGCAAGTTGCAGCTGCTGTGCAATTTCTTTTCTTTTGCGTAATCCCCAGATCATCATGCCCCGTCACGCTTCTCCCTCATCCCCTCATCATGGCATAGGGAAACCTCCATGTTGGAGTAGCAAAAATAAGGGCCAAATCTCAAAGGAAAAAGGGTGGTAGGGGGGGGGTTAAACGCATCGTTTGTCAACCAAATTGCAACAAGATGCACCGGGGGCACAATGCAACATCAGCATTTGTAATATCACAGATATGCATCGTTGAGTTTGCGGGGAAAAACAAGGCCGAAATAGTTTTTCCTAAAAATAATTCGTTTTGCAACACTTGAGTTTGTGAAGACTTTAATTACCGTTAGAGAGGTTTAGTTTTTGGAGTTTTATATGTTTTTACTACTTAATTCTTAATATAATTAGGACTTTGTTTAAGAATTATCACTACCTCTATTAATAAAATAGTTTTTTTTTAAGAATACTAACTCGTTTTGCAACACTTGAGTTTTAAAAATCTTTTATTACCGTTAGAGAGGTTTTGCTTTAAGAGTTATTGATTTTTTATATTTAATTCTCAATTTAAATTAACAATTATCACTATTTAGTCTTTTTTTCTGAAAAATACTCCTTAAATAAAATTGATATAAATCGTTTTACAACACTAAAGCTTAAAAATACTTCTTATACCGTTGTTGCTATTTGAAAACCTTTATTTTTCTTCATTTTTAATAATATTATTTATATTTTTGTACGTGATGATAATTAAGAATTACCAATTATCCAACTACTTGCGTGACTTTTATGAAAAAAATCCAAAAGAACAGCTGGGCTGGTAAATTAATTGGAAAAACTCTCACTAATGAATTTCTTCCTGTTGACTTTTTATACAAATTAGCAGGAAAGAAAAAAATGAAAATGAAAATGAATTTAAATTGTATAAAATGAGAGGCACACGCTTCGCTTTAATTGAATTTAGCGGCAATTTTTAATTTGAACGTTCTGCAGTTTTTTTTTTTTTTATTCAAGTTGTATAATTGCAATGTGGCCCATTTAAATTTTACGCAGGGCATTATTTTGTGTGTTTTTTTTTAATTTGCAACTCCGACGATCGTCCCCCGTCATTTGATGCCTCAATGGGGACAGTCGGGGCCTTTACAATAAAGGGACTACAAATAGGAATTAAGAATAATCAAAAAATAATAAAAATAATGTGACCAAAGTTGTAAAAATGTAATAAAAGGTGAAAGGATTTTGTAAGAGTTCAAGCTAAAATTTTATAAAATATGTATTTTCTTTATGTCTTTACTTAAATGACTGACACTGTAGGAACTTGTAATATATATGTACATACATCATACCGTTTATAAATACCTACTACTTTTTTCTTTTCTTTTCTTTTTTTCTTCATTTTATCATCTACAGACAACTGAGACGAGCGACAATGCGAAAGTGAGCCCCGGATCCAAGTTTCCAGACCCTGAGAGTTGCCCCGAATGGCAATGGGCAAGCCCAGCAGAAGCTCAAGCCGAAGCCGCAGCGGAAAAGCAACAAAAGCCGAGTCTTTTTTTTTTTTTTTTTTTTGAGACGCAAGTGAGGGCACACTTGCGCAATAGCAGTCAGCAACAACAAAAACAACAAAAACAGGAGCATTCAAGCACGCGCAATGACCGGCCCAGCTAATTGTACATGAATGTGTATGTGTATGGTTGTATGTATGTGTGTGGGTATGATTTTCGAAATCGGCCAACAACCGCAGATGGAACAAAAGTACTCAGTATTCAACTTCAATTTAAAAGCAAGGCACAAAAGAAATGTCTATTTAATTCACAAAATGTCTCTTAGATGGGAAAGAAAGAGATGGCGAATGCAATAGAGGTAGGAGGCAGAAACCAGTCAAAGTAACGGTACATCGAGTGTGGTCAGGTCACATTAGCACGTTCTAATTGGACGATAGTCGGTCAGTGTTGCAAAATCACATTTGACACAGGCTTAGGGCCTTCTCTATTGGTATTTAGATATCGGAGACCCCGTTTGACAAGAACCAGAACACACTTGGGACAATGGTATGTGCGGCAAACAGGAATTTGTTTTTTTTTTTCTTCTTTTTTTTCCACAATAGACAAAGCGCATCTATTGTTACGTGCTTTCTCCACCTCTCTCGCTCTCTCTCTCTCTATTCGCCGGTGATCGGTGAGGCAAACCACAAGGAATTTTTTGTTGAGGTTTGATATTCTATTTGCTAGTTTAAAAAAAAAAAAAAAAAAAAAAAAAGAATCTCAAGTGTGAGAAAAACAGCAGCCGTCGAAACCAAACAAACAAAGAATATATATATATGTATCTATATATATGTAGTTGTGTGTTTAACATTTAAATTAGCCAAATTCCCATTGACGACTCCACCAACTGCATATGTACATACATACATATATACATATGTATAGCTATGTATTCTTTGTGTTTTTGTATTTCGATTGCCTAATCATTTTGTTTTTACGATCATCTAAGTGGATTCCTTTTTTAAGACTCTGGAGAAAATAATACTGACTGAAACTATTTTTATGTATGCGCTGGAATCTGATTCCACTGACTCGACTCATTTTTTTCTTTATGTGTAGAGTAAACAATTGAAATTTATTTACTTGCTGGCATAAACAAAAACAAAAAAAAGGGCATCCGAAAAGTTAATAGTAAACACACACATATATATATATATATATATCTGAGAAATCAGTGAAAGATCTAATTGATCATCGAAAGTTCAACGATATCGATCGATCAAGGTTAAAAGTAAGGCCGAAAATGGAAACCCTACACACACACACATTCATATAGTTGGCGCCAAAAATTGAAATCCCCCCCTCTATCTATACCCCTAACGTATTTTATATTTTAGTTCTTGAAACCGCAGAAACTACAATGCAGTACAATTATTATTTCTTATATATTTTTTTTTTAATTTTGTGAAAAAGAATTTTAATTTTAATTTAAGGCACGTTTAACGTGCGTGATAACGATTATCATCAACGAGAACAAGTTAAAATATTGTATTATCATTTAGTGGAACTTCCAAAGTGTTCAGGCCAAAAGTTTATATATTTTTTTTCATCCCATTACTATATATTAAGTCTTACTCGATAATTTGTATATGTTTTTATTTTGTATATAACCAACGAGGACTTTATATATATATATATATATATTTTGTCAATTCAGTATATATTGTATGTATTTTTTTCAAATCGAATTGAATCGAATGTGAAATGAACGAATAATGACTGATAATAACAAAGGCAGCGAATACTTTACAACTAGTTCATATTTTTGATACTAACTATTGACTATTTTGTATATAAAAACGAAAGGATATCGTATATATATTTTGTAAATCTATTGGCTTAACTATTTTAAATCCAATATGCTAGTTGTATGCCTAAATTTATACTCGAAACCCCATGTAACTCAACATCGAATAAATGTAGTTATTAAGTTTTAGTCTGTAGATCGAAGCCCCGCCCCTCCCCCTCAAGAGTATTTTAAAACGATAATTATCATATAATGTATGTCTTTCATAAGGAATATATCAATAATAATTCGCTTTTGTAGGCGTGCGTGTATGAGGCAGCATCCCATTATATTTTTCTCCAATACGATAGCACCACCCCCCTCCATTAAATACCCAACGGACGCCCCTGTCTGTGCTATTAATTTATGGCACACACAGAGGAAAAAGCGTTTTTATAGATAAACATGCGGAACAAAATTGTTCGAAATGGCAATTAAATGAAACCGAAACTGAAACTGTTCGGCAGATCTGTTGGCATTAATGCGCAGCTATATAGCTATATATTCTATATAATATGTATTTTGTATACAACGACTCTACAAAACAATTGTCATTGACCGAAACAACCACTAAACTATTTATATTTATACCGTACAATAAAGCTTTTTGGCAAATATCAATGGAACTGAACAAACAAAAACACAGATGGCATCTCATGGTCGGGTTTTTTCAGTTTTTCCCCCCCTTTCTTATGGATACGGATACCCATGTTCCCAATTTCCAATTCCCAATCCCCAAGCTCTTTCCAGCCGAGTGATGAGGATGGTGACCCACTTCAGATTCCTCCGAGTGTCTGCGAGGAAACCCTCTTCCACCGTGGGACTCTCAAACCGCAATCTTCTATTGCCACCTTCGGCAGTTTGTCAACCAGCTCTCGTCTCCCGGACCCCTTTTGTATGCAAATTAGTTAAGAGAACAGAGTGGTATGATTCAAAATACCAAAAGGTTAATCATTTTTGGTTTTTTTGGCATCAAAATATATGCATTTAATCTCCAATAAAAAGAAAAGAAAACACTCATGATCAGTTGGATTTTTTATCGGATTGGCTAAGAATTAGCTGTTGGCCCAAAATGCAGCCCACAGTCCGCAGGTGTGGCTTTTATTTACAGTTTGTGGTGCAATCAACCTTTAAGGCAATGTTTGCGAGAGCGAAAAACCGGTTAAATATATTTAAAAATTCACCGGCACTCAATAACACCGTCATCGCCTCTCCAAATAGCAAAAATGAAAAAAAATATATATTAATTGTCGAGTAGGCATATTGGCCATGTTACTGACCCAAAATTCACAATCAAGTCCGACTGCATTCACAAAAAAAATATATGCAGCGTCAGCATTATCTTGTTTTTAATTAAAATGAAGCAAAAACAAAAAATTAAAAGTTATTATAATTACTACTAGTGGAATATTATGTAATTGCCATTAATTTATAGTGATAATTAACAAAAATTCAGTTTTTTTAAATAAAAAAATGTCTTAGGGATGAGAAATTTAAAAGGACTCTATTCTCGATCAATCACGCAACCAGGGCTGGCAACTGGCTATCGTTATTAGTAATATTCGATATCGATATTCCACCTCTAATAAAAATCGATTATTTTGTTTGTGCTGCCACCTTTCCAACAAATAATGAGGCCAGATTTTAATAATACCAAAAAATTAGAGACCACTGTTATCGAAAATCCTGAGCTGAATAGCCGTGCGGCTACACGATTTTGCAGAGGAAGTGAATAAGTGAATAGGCAAGCGGTCCCATCTTCCATCCTACGAACGAACAACCAGCAACGTGTAAGTAACCCAAATTAAAGCATCTTATTGGCGTTAAAAGGAATCCCCCACCGGCCACAAAAATTCTGCCCCACCAAAGCGCGGCCTGGAGCCGCATTCTTCGCTTCGGCCGCACTCAGAATTCCGGTGCGTCTGTCTTTCGTTTTGCGCCCGGCTGCTGAACATGCTGATGCGGGCGGCGTCGTTCTTTTGGTCCCGGGAATAACCAATTCCGTTATTTGCCCCAAATTTGGGCCGTATCCCGTATCGTCCGTGCTCTGTGTCTACCCTTGCCCCATCGGGCCCGACGAACTCTGCCGGCGTCAGACGACGTGGTCGAGCCGCGTGCTGTGCCAAAAATGATGCGAAAACATTGAAATCCATATAACTATGGCTGTCATGCCACCAAAACCATGGTCTAGCCACTAAAATGGCAAGTGGGGCAGCCCAAGGACCTGGAAATGCCAAAGGCAGTGACCAAAAAATTCAATTTCTCCGTTCGGAAAGTGAGGTTAGATCTGAATTGCAAAAAAAAGAAAAAAAAAAAATACGATGAAATTTGCGTCATGTTTCTGGCCGACAGCGCCGTCGACGCCGGCGTCGTCGTCGTCTGTCTCTGTCTGTCTGTCTGTTTGTTTGTTCATCTGTGTATATGTATGTTTGTGCGTGTTGGCGCGTGCTATTGTGTTTGTTAGAATTTGATTTGTTTTTTTTAAATAAAACGCAACGTAAAGGAGCATTTCATCTACCAGGGAAAGTGCTCTTCACGTGAAACCCTCCTGCCTGGCCAGTGCACTCAATTATATAGCAAAGCGGCGGCATTTTGGCGCGCTTTGCAGCGTCGTGCACACAGGTTTCCTTCCTTCTTTCTTCTACATATACATATATATATATAGTATATAAGAGTAACTGTTTACAGCGGCATGCCGCATGCCTCAAATTTCCAAATTCCATGAGTCATTGGAGAAGCCAAAGCCTACTAGGGTGTCGAGAAAAGAATTTCAAAAATTATCGAAATTTTTAGAAGGATCTAGACATCTATCTAGTCATCGTTTGGATTTGGTCCTCTCTCCTGGCACTTTAATTTTCTTAATCCTGTACAAGTCTGAGTCTAGTTTGGTCATCAATATAATTGAAAAAAAAATAATAAGGTTCCAGATCTAGGTATGTTTTTTTTTTTCCTTCCTTCCGCCCGGCGGCGCTTACCTGCCTTCTCCCTCTCCATTTCAATGTCCTTCGACCCTTCTCTTATTTTTACGGCTTCTCAGCAGGAGCAGCAGCTGCATTATCCTTGCGCTCTCCCTGCTCTTCTTGTTCTCTTTGGCGGCTTGGGCGAACAGCTGTTTGGTCGTCCTTGGCGGGCTTTGCCGCATCACATTCTTGGTCAGAGCACGACATCCGAATGTGTCCGTCAGTCGCCTGGCGCTCGCCGAACAGCCAACACACACACACTCACTCCTCTCCTCATCCTCTCAGCCTTAGTTCCTGAATCTCAAATCCCGCCAATCTTAAGCATCGAACTGAAACAAGAAACCAGATAATTAAAGGATTATTCTTCAATAACAGCCTACATCATCGCCGCCAAACCCCAGAAAGAAATACCAGTAATAGCAGGATGGCACAGGAAGGTCAAGATATCCCCACGTTCAAGTGTGTGCTAGTCGGTGATGGCGGTACTGGCAAGACGACGTTCGTCAAGCGCCACATGACCGGCGAGTTTGAGAAGAAGTATGTGGCCACACTCGGCGTGGAGGTGCATCCGCTCATCTTCCACACCAATCGCGGCGCTATTCGTTTCAATGTCTGGGATACGGCCGGCCAGGAGAAGTTTGGTGGCCTGCGCGACGGCTACTATATTCAGGGTCAGTGCGCTGTCATCATGTTCGATGTGACGTCTCGTGTTACCTACAAGAACGTACCCAACTGGCATCGTGATCTGGTCCGTGTCTGCGAGAACATACCCATAGTACTGTGTGGCAACAAGGTCGACATCAAGGATCGTAAAGTCAAGGCCAAGAGCATCGTCTTTCACCGGAAGAAGAATCTGCAGGTGAGCTTTGAATTACTCTTCGGAGAATTTCTTGAGAAACTAATCCTCTATTTGTGTTTTGCAGTATTACGATATTTCTGCCAAGTCGAACTATAACTTTGAAAAACCATTCCTGTGGCTGGCTCGTAAGCTGGTCGGTGATCCAAATCTGGAGTTTGTTGCCATGCCAGCTCTTCTGCCGCCCGAGGTTAAAATGGACAAGGATTGGCAGCTGCAGATCGAGCGGGACTTGCAGGAGGCCCAGGCGACCGCTCTGCCCGATGAGGATGAGGATCTATAAGCATATTTATAATTAATATCCGGCCGGCTTACTACACATCCTCAAACAAACACAAACACACACACCCACACACACATCCATCCTCACCTCCATATATATACATATACAAACAATTATAAATAGAAAAAAAAAAAAAAACGGCATAGAGCAGCAGGAAGCATTCATTATTGGAAAGCCACATCAAGGATGTGGGGAAGCTGCAATACACACAAGACATTACCAATCCAATCCAACCAACAACAATAACAGAAACTGCAACAACAACAACACCAAGAAGGAAAGCAACAACCAACAACAACAACAACAACAAGAAAGAATTAGGAGTCGCAGCAATAAATATACTGATTATAATTGTAAACTGGGCGTTCGGGTTGGCTTTAAACGGTCTTGCCGCAACCGTTTGACCGCCGAACGCATTTTATATATATATATATACTTTAGATCCACTCATTTATAAGTCGGTTATAATTGATTATTTTTTTTTTGTTTTATTTCCATTTCGTTGGTATGGCAAATCTTCTAAAAAAAAAAAAAATATATATATATAAAAAAAAATGGTCCTAAATCGTGGAAATGCGAATTACACAACCGAAAGGGAAAGATGAAAAACAAACTAAGTAAAATAAAAAGAAAAACAAATTTTTACAAAAAAAAACAACCTCTGGTATTGGAAATAATTTTTCAAAAAAATAAAATAGTGCAAGCCCGGAATAGAAAGAGATGGATATAGGAGATGTAGATGAAAGTGAGCGAGACAAGCAACAACAACAACAGGCAAAAAAAAAGAACTGAATTAAAAAAAAAAAAATAAAATAAAAAATAAAAGCAACAAAATGAATAGAATGGGAAGGCCTCCGAATCCACATCATGTTATTAATCTAAGAAATAAAAAAAAAATAATATTTAAAAAAAAAACGTCAAAATGTATTTAAAGAAAAAAAAATTAAAAAAAAAAAAGGTTGCTATAAAAAAAGACGATGAAAAATAAAGAATAAAAAATAAAAGGCCTGGGTATTTTTCTTCGTCACCTACTTGGATTCAAACTAACGGTTACTTTTGTCATTTAGCTGTCAAAATTTATATAATTTTTATTAGGATAGCTATAATTTTTTTAATTTTTATTTTTGACTTCCTTGTCCTCCAACCGCCAGTTAAAAAGAGTCCTATTCCGGATATCCAGTTTCTTGGCGACGCTGGAGATGCTGGGGGAAGGCAAGGGTCGTCAGGCGCATCTGGATTCTTGAATCCGGGCTATGTGAAGACATCTCCGCGGGGAACACTGCCACTGGACCACTTGAAACCGGACATGTAATCACATACCCAAAGGTCTGCCATCCTCAGGATCAGCCAGGAGAGGAATGCAAGCCAAGATATAGAACCAGAAGGCCCTTCCGAATAATGTGGCACCATTTCGTCCACGGACCTCCAGCTGCGGACCTGCTGTGGTTCCTCCACATATTCCGTCTCGACCCATAGATCAGATGGTACTTCTTGATTCTTCCCGATTATAGCCGATTCCGGCCAACCCCAGCCGAGCTGTCGGAATAACCGCAAATAAAATTCAATTTCGTAAAAGGCTTTTAAGAAATTAAATTCTAGATGTTGCTGATCCGACAGCTCGGCTAGGACTGAACTCTGGATATGTATTTTCTAGAAACCTGCCATTCGAAGGCCTACTTTGATTAAGGTATGTCACAGTATATATTTTAATAAAATAAATTTTAATATTTATTGAATTTTAGATGGAAGGACTTTAAGGACACTTGAGACAGCAGCCAGGAAAGACGCCAGTGAACCGATCCTTGTTAACGCATGTGATTTTTTGTTTGGAGCAACTGTTGAATAGGAAAATAAGGATAATATTAAGGATATCCAAAGAGTAACTATATCTCAGGTCCAATTAGGTCTTGGTTTAAATTTGAAAAACTATATATTATAGTGTCATCTACTTACTCCTCCACGATGGTCTTGAAGGTGTCCGTGCAAATGGCCCGCTTGAGACACTTTCCCTCCTTTCCAAAGTCCACATAGTCCTCGCCGCGTCTCAGCAACGGCAGATACTTCAGGAAAATGGTCTCATCCTCCAAGTTGCGATAGGTGCAGACGGGTTCACTGGCTGTAAAGGACAAAGAGGATAAGGACATAGAGTTAGGAGTAGGAGTCATCTCACCAGCATCAATAACACTGGGCTGGAAAAGTGCCAGTAGCACAACGGTGGACACCAGACAGACGGTAATATGGCGCATCATCATGAGAACGTGGACACGATACTGGATCGACTAAAGCCCGGCATACAACCAGTTTCCTATTTATATCACCTAGTCGGAGATTGCTTTATTTGTTCTCCGTATTTGTTTGCAAATTAGTATCCGTAATTTGCATTTTTCTCAGCTTGATTGAGAGGCCGGACCGTGCCGGACTCGGCTGTGCCATATAGTAGTCTATAGTCTCTGAAGTCTGTATTCAAGCTGGGATTTGAGAAGATCTTGATTTAGTGCCACCAACCGTTGGGGCTTTTAATTGTTTAATTGCCTAAAGGAGGGAATCGGGAAGGGGACACTAGTAGTTCTGGTCTGTTCTCAAAACCCAGACCTAGTTCCCCAAGAAATCGCATAGTTTTATCCATATATCTTTGCCCATTTAAGCAGAATGCCTTCAAAGATTTTTAAAATAATTCTCTTGAAATAAATAGATTTTTTTTAAAGGATTTTTATGTTTTTTTTATGGGATAAACCCTTTGTAAAGTGTTCTCAAAACCCAGACCTAGTTCCTCAAGAAATCGTATAGTTTTATCCATATATCTTTCCCCATTCGTAGAAGATTCTTAAGGATTTTTAGAATAATTCTCTTGAAATTAATAGATTTTTGTAAGGATTTGAATGCTACTTTTACCCTCTATGGGATGAACCCTCTATAAAGTCTAGATTCTTATATATGCCTTACAATTATAGTTATATCTTCTTCATTCCCAACCGATCCTTAAACAAAATACCTTTTAAACAAAAAAGATTTTTAAATCAATGCCCCAAAGTTCTATACTATAATTCTTCATATAAATTATAAAATTATAAAGCGGAATACCTTAAATTAATTATATATTAAAATCTTTTTCAAAACTCTTATAAACTATTGTTTAATTCCTCAGATAACCTATATTAAAACCTTTTTTAAAAATATAGTAAAACAATGATATTTATTATTGAGTTTGAGGGGAAAAAAAACTTAATTGAATAAGAAAACATAGTAGCTAATACTAAGATGGTAATTATGACATCCAGATCCAGCCTAGATGTAGTTGCTCTCCGACTCCTGGCAGACCAGCTTGGGGCAGCAGCCGGGGAAGGTGCGTCTCATGTCCGAGGCGATTTTGCATTTTTCCGTGGGCACGAGATTGTGGCGACCACAACTGAAATAGAGATTCAGAAAACCACATAGTCTCTATCTATAGTCTAGACCGAATATCAGTCTTTGGATACTCACTAGCCAATCTCAAGAACATAGTCCGGACGACAGTAGATCGATTGGCAATATCCTTCGCGATTGATGGGCTTGTAGGATTGTTTCTTGGGTATGGCCTGGTTCAGTTCCTCATAGTAGCACTGTCCCGGATAGTCTGGATGGACTGCATTGCCGCGATAGGTAAGATCCGTTCGGACTGAACCAAAAATGGTAAGGATCACCATAAAAACTGAGCTAAAGATGCAAAAACGCATAATTCAACAATTAATCAAAAAAAATCACAGAAAAAAAAAGAGTTGTTTTTTAAAACTAAAATCTGAATTTTTTAAAATCTGAAATCTGATCCAAAATCACAATCGGACTTGGCTGTTGCGAGCTGTCTGAGCGACTGAGTCAATTACAATTAATTGTTGTTGCTTTTATATAAAATTAATAATAAACATATATGGGTAAGCCAGACTATATACATATTTATCCACAATTCCGGATATACTGAAGGTACTTTCCACATAAAATTATTTAAATATTTACTAATTTATACAAATACTTTTTTATTTCAATTTCAAGAAGCTCTTTTTTTCGTATATGCCAATTTGGAAAAATATTATAATTTTAAAATTATTAATATTATATAATTCATTGGAATATTGTTATATACGATTGTGCCCGCTGGTGTACCTCTGTACATAGATGCCATCTGCGTTGTGGCTTTTGTTTGACGACTACTTAAGGCATCGTCTAGTTTAAATTAATTAAGTCAGCCCTGAAAGCGAGAGTGGTGGGACTAGCCCGAAAAGGGGGCAGGGGGCCGGGCCAGTGGCCAGGTATTGAGTGGGTGGGCTGGGTGGTGAGAGGAAATCCACTGACACGGTTCGAGAAACTGTGGCAAGGTTGCTGTGCCACACAAACAAACACAAACAACGCAATATAGACCGAAAGTAAAGCAAATATCAAAAATAACAATAAAATATTTTGTCGAATTTTTGCAAGGTGCACCCCCTACAATTGTGAGTTTTTGAAACTTCCCACTTTTCTCCCCTTCGGATATGCACGACTTTTTCAACTGATATCCGATCTTAAAAATGAATACCATTCTGGAATCAGTGCTCAAAATGCCTCCTTTCCTCATTCAAAACATTGCTTGAATATCATTTTAAAATTTTTGGAAAATTTCCCTGGGGTACCCCCATGAAATTGTGGGTTTTCTAAACTTCCCACTTTTCTCCCCTTCCGATAAGGACAGCTCTTCCATCTGATATCCGATCTTAAAAATGAATACCATTCTGGAATCAGTGCTCAAAATGCCTCCTTTCCTCATTCAAAACATTGCTTGAATATCATTTTAAAGTTTTTGGAAAATTTCCCTGGGGTACCCCCATGAAAATGTGGGTTTTTCAAACTTCCCACTTTTCTCCCCTTCCGATAAGGACAGCTCTTCCATCTGATATCCGATCTTAAAAATGAATACCATTCTGGAATCAGTGCTCAAAATGCCTCCTTTCCTCATTCAAAACATTGCTTGAATATCATTTTAAAGTTTTTGGAAAATTTCCCTGGGGTACCCCCATGAAAATGTGGGTTTTTCAAACTTCCCACTTTTCTCCCCTTCCGATATGGACAGCTCTTCCCCCTGATATCCGGTCTTAAAAATGAATACCATTCTGGAATCAGTGCCCAAAATGCCTCCTTTCCTCATTCAAAACATTGCTTGAATATCATTTTAAAGTTTTTGGAAAATTTCCCTGGGGTACCCCCATGAAAATGTGGGTTTTTCAAACTTCCCACTTTTCTCCCCTTTCGATATGCACAACTTTTTCAACTGATATCCGATATTAAAAATTAATACCATTCTGGAATCAGTGCTCAAAATGCCTCCTTTCCTCATTCAAAACATTGCTTGAATATCATTTTAAAATTTTTCAAAAATTTCCATGGGGTACCCCTATGAAAATGTGGGTTTTTCAAACTTTCATTTATTTTAAAATTTTTTGAAAATATCCAATCTTGCCTCTTTTCTCTTTTAAGACGTGGATCAGAGGTCTTAGATCTTCCCCAGCGTTCTTTCTTAATTGGGTTTCCTCGTATTCGATGGCCCATCATTAATCTATGGCTTCTATGAAATAAGGTCCACGTTTCTGAAATCATTTGGATTATTTAATAAAATTAATTTATTTCCAGGAAATTCCAAAAAAATGAGATTTCTTGGGAAAAGGCAGCAATTGATAAGGAACTCTCGTGCTCTCAAACACAAAGACTCTTCATTTAATTGACACTTTAGTATTGTTAAGTTAGTATGTATGATTTTACACATTATATTTTTAAATTTATACTGAGGTATATTGATTTTTTGAAATTTTATGAAACCGAAAATACTATCACTTTTAATACAGAAGGATAGAAGGAGGTGAGTATCAGATATCATATATAGTCGGGAAAGTAGCTTAATGGTTTCCTTCCATTTTATCAGTAACAAACCAGATGCACTCTAAAACGTATATACCCTCTGATAGAGCATTCCAATTCTTATGTATTCGTTTAAGATTTTTTTTTAGGAATTTTTTAATTGGTTCATGGGACGAAGACGTTAAATTGAGCTGACAAATCCATTCGAAGATCAGTTCACATTTGAAAGTCTTGAAGAACAAGTTGGAATACCACCGCCACCAGTCATGAAGAAAGTGGCTAGTCTTGTGCTCGTCCTGGCTCTGGGACTTGCCGTCGTTGAAGGTGAAAACCAGTCTCCTACTCATACCCGACCAGGAGGAAGTTCGCCAAATCTCCAAATCGCCAACGGCCTGAAAAGCTTAATAACCATCATATCCGAATACAAGAGGCAAATCCGCACAAAAGTTAGACTGCCGGAATTGCAGGACGCAATCGAGACGATTGACAAGTCTATGTTGGGCTACCAAGGCATGGCCAGTACGCATCTGGATGGGTTGCGTACCCAGTTCAGTACGGCTCGTCTCTCTTACGAGCGGTGCGTGGATCCGATCTTTGAGTGGTGCGTTTCGATCAAACCCACCATCAACAGTTTCCTCGCCTTCGCCAATGACACAAGCATTAAAGCCTCAGATAGGAATCTTTTTTGGGATATATTAGCCACCGGCCTGCAGAATGGTCTGATTACGGCATACGACTCACTATCCAGACTGAGTCTCTTTGAGAGCCAGGCAAATGATGTGGCACGTACACTGAACCTGATGAATAGGGATCTCAAATATGATTTTAATCAAAAAAAAATTCAACTAACGAGAGAGGTTTCCTCTATAAATAAGGCTCCAGTAAACTGGAACATGATCATTGAAAGGATATTTAAAATCATCGTTGAATTCATGAATCAACCTAGTGGGAACATATTTAGTGAGCTTTTCACCACCAACCATTGGAGTTGTATCAAACGGGAAAAGATTGCATCCAAGCAAACGGAAATGGAGATAATCATTAAGTTCTTCGATATAATGATGGATAAGCTATCGAACGCCGGCCGCATTGCCCACGAAGTCAAGGTGGGCCTGGATGCTGAGCAACCGAAACTGGCAGCCGTCATTCCCCCCCAAATGGTAAGTGAAAGCCACCTATTAATCGATCTATTAATTATATTCAAGGATATATATTCGTTGCAGGATATTGTAGTTTTATTTGGCAACGAAGAGGTGCGTCAAAATTTGGACCCGATCATTATAGATTTGAAGAACGTCTGCACGGAATACACTACCCTGCGTTTGTCTGCCACTCAAGGGCACCGATCACGAAGACCGTGGATAGATTACCCGCCACTATATCCCATTCAGCAACATCCAAAGGAACCTTCACCAGGTGGCGGAGCACAAGAACCAAGTGGATATAATGGAGCTGACCGGGGACAAGAAGGACAAGGATATGTCCAGCAAACGCAATATAATACGAATGTACAATCGACACCAGCACCAGGTAGTAAGAGTGGTAGTTCTCGTCCAGCCAGACTCCCAGAAGGTGTCCAAGGAAATCAAGGCTTAGAAGGACAAGGATATATCCAGCAAACGCCATATAATACGAATGCCGGACTCCAAGGAGGTGTCCAAGGAAATCAAGGCTTAGAAGGACAAGGATATGTCCAGCAAACGCAATATAATACGAATGTACAATCGACACCAGCACCAGGTAGTAGGAGAGGTAGTTATCGTCAAGCCGGACACCAAGGAGGTGTCCAAGGAAATCAAGGCTTAGAAGGACAAGGATATAATGTACGGATGGAGGTACAGCCGATTTTTAAAGGACAAGAAGAAAACCAGGGAAACGACAATTTGAAGAACGAAAATAAAGAATTGAAGGCGGAAGTGGAAGCACTAAAAGAAAAATTAAGTTTGGCAACAAGGACTAACCATAACCAGGATACAAGATATACCCAACGATCAACACAATCCGGCAATACAAGTCCGACAGGATATCCGTATAACAAATAACCGAATATTATTTTTTTTAGAATATTGTAATTCATGTGAAAAGTTAGAATTCGAAATAAAAACATTTTCCTATTAAAGTTCGAGACTTGGAATTCAATCAGTTCTTAACGGTGGCTTTTCCAGGTGGCTCTAATAAATAGGAATCTTCCACAAATAGGTATACATCCTGACCCATAGGTTCACCACTATGTGTTTCCCCTCCAAACTCCTATCCCGCTCCAATCATCAACATCGTATCGACCTCTGGGGGCACAGTAGCAGTGATACGTGAAAGCTGATAAGTCAAGAGCATCGCCTCACCATACAAGTGATCCGCTATACCGCATTCCAGATTCCAAAATCGAGCGAGACGATGTCCGGTTCTCTCTGGGAATTCCTATTGATCTGCAGCCTATTTTCGGCAGTGACGGGCAATGGTCTGAGTACCCAGTATCGGGGCAAAACCCAGCATCCCGACTTGCCGAATCACTGCATCTACGAGGAGCTGGACTTGACCGTTCCGCTTTACGGTTCGGCTTTGCCCACCGGCTATCGGGGCTACTGCGTCAAGGCCATGTGCACCGAGGACTACCTGCTGATGATACGACAGTGAGTAATGAGGATTGCTGATGGACTTAATACCGTCTCTAAAAAAAACGGTGCTTCATTTCAGCTGTGATCCAATGCCGTTCCCACGGAGTGGCTGCCACTTGTCCGCCGGCAACTTTGAGCTCCAGTATCCCGAATGTTGTCCCCAGATGGAGTGTTCCAATGGAGTCTAAGATCCAGGTCGCCTATATTACAAGTTCCCATGTCTTGCCTACAAAAATATATACATAAATAAATAATATTCTGAACTAAAAAGACGAAATTATAATAATCGCCTATATGGCCCCTCAGAGATCTTGACCTTTCCAATCTAATCACTGATGAGCCAAATATAGCTGGCATCTGGGTGGCGGAATGAGCGATCGTTCGATCAGTCCGATCCATAGCTCGAGAAGATGCAACCGGTGACGTTCGTACTCTGCCTGGTGGTGCTGGGCGCTCACTCGCTCCTGGTGTTTGGTGGTTAGTCCTCTTCTCTCCCAGATGGTTCTTAATCCTTGATCTAATCCTCCTTCTTTCAGCCGACTGTGAAATAAGCGGCCAGAAGCTGAACAAAGGAGATTCGTACAAGCCGCCAGAACGCTGCGTTAAGCACACCTGCCTGGGAGCCCCGACCCGAATCCAGACCTCGATGTAAGTAACTAGGCCGTAGCGGAAGGGACTCCACATAATCCACTCTCTTCTCCCCTATCCAGCTGTCCCTCGGAGGCCACCTTGAAGCCCTGCAAGCTTGTGGGCGATGTCTCGAAGCCCTTTCCGGCCTGCTGCCCCAAATATGAATGCTAGATGTCCTTTAATGATTACAAATTTATAAAGATGCTTCAAATACATACTTGATAACATTATAATCCTCCATAGCCATCGATTGGATAAAGTTGTTGTTGTTTTTACAAAAAAAAAAACCAAAATTGCGCATTTATTTCGATTTTGGTTTGGTATACAGGCTTGAACTTAGTCGTATTTGCTCGATTTTATACATATATGTATGTATGTATATATATATAGTAATATAGTAAATATTACAAGTTGTGTTGTTCTATGTGTATACATATATAAATATTCTCGTGTGTCAATTGCCACTAAATTTTGCAGGTTCACCCATTCGCTTGGACATGCACATTGTTTTCTTGCATAACAAGTATATATATGTATACATATATCTCTCTGCTTAACTACATATGTATATATATAAATTTTTTATTTGAATTTGTATAGTTTTCTAAAATAAGAATTAGGAGCAGGAGCAGGAGGAGGAGGAGGAGGAGGCTTAGGCAGCACAGGCAGTCAGGCGGCAGTGCAGGCATTGAGGATCATAGTTGGTAACTCCACCACCTCCTCCTCCTCCTCCTCCGCTACATCTACACTCGCACAACACATTCACACACACAAAAGCACACAGGAAATGTATCTTAGCACTATGAATATATATAATATTTGTATATATATATATGGTAAAAAGGGAACAAATCCGTAGCTATATCCGTAGCGATAGAGCTTCGGATTTGGCTAGATAACTCTCATGTTCCAGCTGTAACCGATTGTAACCTGAGCTAGTCTAAACATTCTTTAACTATGGTCCATTGGCCTCATTAGCCAGATTAGTTCAATACGGGTTAGTACATATCCTTACAAGTTAGTACACATTGCTAATCTTAATTGGGTGATTGGGGATTGGTATCGATCTCACTGAATCGGGCAGAACATCGGGCAGGCCCTCCTACTGGCCATCAAAATAAAATTCAAAATATTCTTCAATTCCATGGATAAATATGTTAAATATATAAATAATAATCTGATATATATTTGCACTACAAGTTGAGATTTTTTGGGAAAAGCCCTTAAACAACCGGTGAATGAATGAATTATCCTGCAAAATAAAGAGAGAGCCTTCTGGGCCGATGATGTCTTTTTTTTTTCAAATATTCTTCTGAGGAACTACTCCCGATTTCTTTCCATCCAAAGTGAGATGGGTTGGGATGTGGATTGGGACGGGGGATTTAACCTAATCCGGCGACGCCAGCTGCGGCACCAGAGACTCCTCCTCTCATTGTCGCGCCGCACGCTCCGTCTCCATGAGGCACTCACGCACCAGGATGCGGGCATGGACAATGCCGCGCTTCAGCCGCTCGGTGGAGCTGCGCGAGCCTGTATATGTGGGCCGAATGTCGCGGCCCATCTCCTCGATAACGGCCAGCAACTGGGCGTATTTGGTCAGACCGTTGCCGGGTCCCAGGGCCGGCAAGCTGGCCGTGGAGGTGAGCGGCGTGGTTATGTTGGCCGACGTCTGGGTGGTGACCACCACCGGCGATGTGGACGGTGGCGGGTACTTCAACTGGGATGAGCTCAGGTTAAGGCCCATGTTGTTGCTGTTGTTCGAGCTGGATGACGAGCCGAGACCGGCGCTCGAGTTGCGGGCTCCGTTTGTGGCGGCGGCGATATTGGCCAGCGATAGGGCAGCTGCAGCGGCAGCCGCCGGTGTGGCTGTAGTGTTGGACTGTTGCTGGAGCAGGGCCAGCTGGGCTTGCAGGAATTGCGGGCTGTATTGCAGTGCGGCGACAGCGGCAGCCGCAGCTGCATTGGCCGCGGCCACCGAACTCTGCTTGCTGTAGTCGGTACCGCCACCGCCGCCGCCGCCGCCGCCACTGGAGCGATCACGCTTACCACTGGAATAGTCTGTGGCCGATGCCCCGCCGGAGCCAGAACTGGAGCCACGAGAATGATGAATGGCCGATATCTGGATCTGGGGCTGTTGTTCGCGCTGTTCCCGCTGCTGTTGGTAGTTGTAGAAGTTTTGCACTTGCGAGCGGGGTATCGGTGTCACCGTGACGTCACTCAGCTTGGACTCGACGGCCTGGATGTCCATGATGTCCATTGCTGTTGCTGCTCTTCTTATTGGTATTGTTGCTGCAAAAACCAGTACCGTTATGAATGTTTTCTTGATCTTGGATGTTTTCTTTCACGTCACTCACCTTGTGTTCTTTGGCAGTTTGGAAAACCCTCCGACTATATGTTTGCGGGTTTTTTAATCCAGCAATTTACGCTTTCCTTTTTTTACGCACAAACAAAAATCTATTGCAACCACCACCAACACAAATCGACACACACACTCACACGCACGGTGTTACAGTTAAGTGTTGGCAGCGTGGGAAGATGCAAATACCAGAAAAAATACCAAAACTATCAGTCAGCTGCAATCGGTTTAATTTTCGTTTTTCTTATTGTTATGCAACTAGAAAGCTTTTAATTTTTGTATTTTAATAACTAAAGTTTGAATTTTATTATTTTCTTTTGAAATTTCATTATGGGAAAATAAAAAATATTTATTTTTCAAAAACAGCTGATGCGATTTTAAACTTTTTTTTTGAGTATTGGAAAATACCGATGTAATTTACAACAAAATAAAGTTTAAACTGATATCTCTTTTAATACTATTTAAAACTTTTTTTAACGGAGATAATTAAAAGGGATCATGATTCCTATACCCGTAAAAATCTTCTATTCCTTTAATTTTTAAAGTCACTCTTTTACATTTTCAAACGCAACGGTTGATTACCAACACTGGGCAGCGGCGCGGGCAGTGTTGGAAAATGGCGCGTAATTGTCATGACAGTGTGGCGAAAAACAATAGCGAAGAAACTGTGAAACTACAAAACTCTGCTGTTGACATCTGGTCGCTTTGTGAAGCTATTTCAAACCCTTTTCGTGATATTTCGTTGTGATCGGTTGCAAAATCCCTTAGTAATCTTATGGAATGTGTTATTAAATTGCAGCGGTTGGGATAGCAGCAGTAAAGGTGAGCGCAGGCAGAAGCAGATTGCAAAAAAAAAAAAAAATTCACTTACATTTCCGCGACCGTCTGTTTCTGCATCGGTGTGAGCGCGTCTATGTATGTGCGTGTGTGTGTGGGTGCCCTGTGCATGACGTAAAGCGGGTAACGTAACGTTCGTAACGCATCTAATTAGCCAAAACGTAAGGCATTGATTAGTTAGCAATGCTATATTTCGAATTTTATTTATTTTTTGTTTGTTATTTTTGTTGTATTTGTACGGACAGCTGCATATGTGTCGCTATGTGTGGCGCCGCAAAAGCGGCGGTCAGTGTTGTACAGCGTCGCGATGAATCCCCCGAGAACCCTCCCGCTCATATCTTCCCAACCCCCTAAGCTTGGTAACCTATTAGGTTTTTTTTTTGTTTTTTTTGTATTTAAACTTCTTGGCTGTTTATTTTGTTATTCGTTGCCTGACGCGACCAAAGCGACAGTTGGCATTTGAATTTCCTGCAAAAACACACACACACACACACATGCACACACACACATCCAAAGAAAATTTAACTGTTAGGAAATTTGAAAAATATTTGTTTGAAAGGTGAAAATTTTTCAATCTAGTAACATTTGCCAGGTGTGTGATTTGTATTCGGAAGTAGGAGATGTCGAGACAGCAGTAGTTCAAGTGAGTTCAAGCCTTTCACAAAACATATATATTTTCGGTCAGGAGAAAAATTTAGAATTTTTTTTTTTTTTTTTTATGAAAACTATATATTGCAGACAATATAGTCATTCTTGCACTAGTCAAATACTGGTCCTCCCATTAGTAGTAAATAGTGCTAGCCAGGCAGTGCTATGGGAGATCGCAGACTGTAATCCCGAAGACAATTCGCTGAGATAACACTCATCCACTGAATAATCCATCCACTCACTCACTCCATTGGCAGGATCGCAACAGACGACCAGGAGGAAGCACCAGGAACAAGTACTACTACATAGCAGCATAACCAAACGCCACTAACAAGAAGCAAGAAGAAACGATTACACAGATCAAGAGATATACATATATATATACAGATACCCAGATTACAGATACTCTGAAAATCCAGATCCAGATTCAGGTGGAGAGAGGTTAGAGACGATAATTATGGACATGATTACAGTCGGGCAGAGCGTCAAAATTAAGCGCACCGATGGACGCGTCCATGCGGCCGTGGTGGCGGTGATTAATCCGTCTGGCAAGTGCATCACCGTCGAATGGTACGAACGGGGCGAGACCAAGGGCAAGGAGGTGGAACTGGATGCCATACTGACCCTCAATCCAGAGCTGGTGCACGATACTGTTGAGCAGCATGCCGCGCCCGAGCCAAAGAAACAGGCAACAGCACCGATGAACCTGTCGCGCAATCCCACACAGTCGGCCATTGGCGGCAATCTGACCAGCCGCATGACCATGGGCGGCAATCAGCTGAACAAGATACACGAGACTGCGGCATCGACATCGTCATCCACCGGGTCAATCGTGCCGCATCCATTGGGCCATAGTAATGGTAGCAACACCAATACAAGCACAAATACCAACACCCACATCAGCACCACTAATCCAAGCACAGCCATCAATTCGAGCAGCAACACCACGGGATTGCAGCGGCCACGCTATACACAGTCGGTTGGAGCCGTTGGCCAACAGACGCGCATCGCGTCCGCCGTTCCCAACAACACATTGACCAGCCAGCAGACGTCCCTGAGCTCGGGGGCGACGGCAGCGACTGCCGCCTCACTGAGCAGCAACAATACGTCACAGGGCGGAGCACGCCGATCGCACGCCCTCAAGGAGGTGGAACGTTTGAAGGAGAATCGAGAGAAACGTCGCGCCCGCCAGGCCGAAATGAAGGAGGAAAAGGTGGCGCTGATGAACCAGGATCCGGGCAATCCCAACTGGGAGACGGCACAAATGATTCGGGAATACCAGAGCACACTGGAGTTTGTGCCGCTGCTCGATGGCCAGGCGGTGGATGATCATCAGATCACCGTTTGTGTACGAAAGCGTCCAATCAGCCGCAAGGAGGTCAATCGCAAGGAGATCGATGTGATCTCGGTGCCGCGCAAGGACATGCTCATCGTCCATGAGCCGCGCAGCAAGGTCGACCTCACCAAGTTCCTTGAGAATCACAAGTTTCGTTTCGATTATGCCTTCAATGACACCTGCGACAATGCCATGGTGTACAAGTGAGTATCCAAATTCCTTTCATTTACTATGTTCGATTGGTTTTATGTTTAAAAAAAAAACCCGAATTCCAATACTGACCATATGTGGAGGTGTTGTTAGCCAGTCTCTAAACTGGAAGCCTGATATTGGCACATATATTGTTGACATATTGTTTGTATACCGAGTCCAAGTCCACTGACATATATTGGGTTTTGGATAATCATAGTAGAGCTAACTAACTATATAGATTAGCTTTAGTTAGTGGCTTTTAATAATATAAGGATAATAATGGTTTATATTTAGTTATAGCTTCAGAGGATCTCTGGTCGGCAGGATCATCTCTTATTCCAAGCTCCGGGAAGATGCCTAGTCTTAGACTCTTAAGCTCCTTAATCGCTTTGATTATTTTATTGAAAATTAAGTCCGACTAAGGCTCTTTTAGGTCTCATACCTAGGAACCTAGGATGAGGACTATATCCAGGAAGATGGTGTACATATTTCAGACATTTCTGTTGAAAAGTATTACCTTTTTTAAGGCCTACCATGTCTTACAAGACTAATATCTTCTTTAGAAACCCAGTTCTCTAGAGAACCCTACCTCCTTATAGATAATTCTTCTTAAAAATCAATCAAGATTTCACTAAAAACAGCTGAAATACATCTGTTTTGAAAAAGACCATTTTGTCCAGAGCTGGAACATCTGTTTCTCAGCCTACTATACTACTCATCATCTGTGGCCAAGCGAATCATTCACACGACTAATATATGTATTCATGTGGAGCACCGATATGCCCACATATACATGCAACCGCAACCCGACCAAACTCAAAAAGCAGTCGCTCCCAAAATAGCCAAGTTTGTATGTGACTCTCATGACTAACCCCCAGACTATATTATAGTCTTGGCAAGTAGCTTCTGGCCCGGCACTTGGCTTCAATTGAATTAAATCAGTAAACCTCCTCCGACTGCCCCCTCCTAACACTCTCTCTCTTATTTCCGGCTCTGCGCATGAGTCAGTGGCTAAGACCAGTCTGGAATCGGTAACGATACCAAGGCGAATGCGTCACGTAGTCATATATACGTCACGTAACGTCACTTCGAACTGGAGAATCTCCCCGTGAAACCTAAACCTGATTAATTAATCCCAAAAAAATGTATCCCATCCTCCAGATACACAGCCAAGCCACTGGTGAGGACCATCTTCGAGGGCGGCATGGCGACGTGCTTCGCCTACGGCCAGACCGGATCCGGCAAGACGCACACCATGGGCGGCGAGTTCAACGGCAAGGTGCAGGACTGCAAGAATGGCATCTATGCGATGGCCGCCAAGGATGTGTTTGTGACCTTGAATACGCAGCGCTATCGCTCCATGAACCTGGTCGTTTCGGCCAGTTTCTTTGAGATCTACAGCGGCAAGGTGAGTTGACTTTTCTGAACTGAGAGAGAGATATGATGAGTGAGAATGATTCTTTTTGGGGCAGGTCTTTGATCTATTGGCGGACAAACAGAAGCTACGCGTCTTGGAGGATGGCAAGCAGCAGGTGCAGGTGGTTGGCCTGACCGAGAAGGTGGTGGACAGTGTCGAGGAAGTGCTGAAGCTAATCCAGCATGGAAACGCCGCCCGAACATCCGGCCAGACGTCGGCTAACTCGAACTCATCGCGCTCGCACGCCGTCTTCCAGATCGTGCTGCGTCCGATGGGCTCCACAAAGATACACGGCAAGTTCTCGTTCATCGATTTGGCGGGCAATGAGCGCGGCGTGGACACGTCCTCGGCGGATCGCCAGACCCGCATGGAGGGTGCCGAGATCAACAAGTCGCTGCTGGCGCTAAAGGAATGCATTCGCGCCCTCGGCAAGCAATCGGCCCATCTGCCCTTCCGCGTCTCCAAGCTCACCCAGGTGCTGCGCGACTCGTTCATCGGCGAGAAGAGCAAGACCTGTATGATTGCCATGATATCGCCGGGACTCAGCTCCTGCGAGCACACGCTCAACACGCTGCGCTATGCGGATCGTGTCAAGGAGCTGGTGGTCAAGGACATTGCCGAGATAATGGGTCCCGGCAGCGACAACGACATTGTCGAGGTCATGGACGACGACGAGGAGGAGGAGAATAATCCCGTTCTCTCGCACGTACAGCAGGTCCAACATCCGCACACACATTCACAGAACTCGGTGGGTCAGTCGATGAACCAGCGTGGCGGCGGCAATGGCTCTCATCATTCGGCTTCTGGCCTCCACAACAATAACAACAATAACAAGAACGGAAATGCTGGCAACATGGACCTGGCAATGTTGAGTTCGTTGAGCGTAAGTATTACTTCCATAATTCTAGCTCTAAGTAGGAGTAGGAGTAGGCTTTGGAAGGCAATCCCAACCATCTACATAGGCCTTGGGTTTGCCTTCCAAGCCGGTTCAAAGCTGGGGATCTCATTCTGTTTGGATTTCCGGGTCGATCGGTCGTTACGAAGCGTCACTCTCCTTCTCCGTAATGCCAAAATTTCCAAAGAACCCTTGCTCCAACGTGGCGGTGTTCCAGCCCCGCGGCTCCCAGACCGATCGTTGCCAAATGCCGACCACCGCGCCGTATACCAAACCTCGTACTCTACGCTCCGTTTACGGTGCCACCGGACCCGGTCGTGTCGACGCCAATGCGGCCGGCATCATTATGATGACTCGCGGACGAAACGGTGGCCTGGAGCGGGAGCCGATGCCAAAGCCAATGGATCAGGTAGTGGAGAATCCAACGCGGGTGTGGAACAGCAACAAGCCAAAGAAACCGAAAAGCTACAATGTGTACGCGAAGCAACCGGCTCCGGGCAAAGCACCATCCTCACGAAAGGTCAGCAAGCCACCGAAGCCGTGGGTGAATCCTCCGTATCCGTTTCATCGGGACCGGGCAGAGAGGCAACGCAGCACTCGGGATCGCAACTACGAGACTTTCTACGTTCCGTTCGAGGAGAACAGCGTTGTGGCGAAGCCGCATCTCCAGGGATTCTTTGTGCCGCTGGATGATCAGAAGGGGCTGCCGATTATGCCGATTCCTGATCCATTGGCGGAGGTGAAACGCCATCAACGCTACTTGAAGCGCTGCACCCAACGCAACGAAGCCGGCTCCGGCCCTGGGAAGGATCAGGCGATGGAGGAGCAGCAGGGGCTGTACCGGGCTTTCCAGAAACTGCGTCCGGCCGGAGAGCGGTACAAGTTAAGGATGCAAACGGCGCAGGAGATCGATCAGATGGCCAGCCTTATAGCGAGCGTCAAGCAGCATCTGGTGGACACGGAGGAGCCGATGTCCGTGGAGGATGTGCCGCCGCTGCCGCCACCGCCGCAGTTTGCGGAGGAGCAGCGCCCCCGACTGGAGCGCAGCAAGACCAGCACGGTCTTCTCCACCTACAACTGCGACCAGGTGCTGTACGAGTATGCCTGCCAGTTGCCGTTCGTTCGCGATCCATCCGATCCCAAGTCGATCCGGCCCAAGGCCAGATCCTAATCCTTGCAAGGCTCCTTGTTTATTTTGTTACTATCCCTGAACTGATGCAGGAACTTTATGGTTTTATGCTTCGAATTGTTACTCAGATCGGTGAACTCGTTGGGTGATGGAAAGGTATAATGTAGCTCTCTTGGGATACTCCTCCTCCTCCTCCTCCTCCTAAGCCTTAGATTTTATATAGACTAACCAACTATTTGTCCTTTGCAGGAACATGAAATGTCAGACGAGTTGATTGTACAACATCAGGCCATCGATGATCTGCAGCAGACCGAGGAGATGGTGGTCGAATACCATCGCACGGTGAACGCCACACTGGAGACCTTCCTGAACGAATCGAAGGCGCTGTACAATCTAACCAACTATGTGGACTATGACCAGGAGGGCTACTGCAAGCGCGGCGAATCGATGTTCACCCAGTTGCAGGACATTGCCATTCAGTGCCGCGACATGATGGCCGAATACCGCACCAAGCTGGCCAAGGAGGAGATGCTGTCGTGCAGTTTCAATTCGCCGAACAGCAAACGTTAGGCAGCCCCTCCTAAGCTGGCTGGCACTCCGGGATATGTTTCCAAAATCGTTTCTGGTCAACAAATCAATCCCCCTTCCTCACTTCACTTCTTGAAAATTTGTTCTGGCTTCTGGCTTCTCTAGTTTATATTTATTTTTTTTTGTCGTTTCAATCCGATGATCTCCAGAAGCAACACCATTCCCACCACTCCTTCTGCTCGTTTCTCGGTCTGTCGAGTGGGTGGGAGGATGTTGGTTGGTTGATTGGTTGCCTGGACGATTGTTGGAAAATTCTACTCAAAAAACAAGAAAATGGAAATGATAGCAAATGGAAATCAAGATGCAAATCAAACGCAAATCGGAAAAAATGAAATCAAGACACATCCATAAAGAAACATCCAAGGACTCAAGGACTGCAGAACTGACCGAATGACTACACTACTACCTATACCCATGATACTATGCTGGAACATTGTCGTTAGACGTCAGATAGACCAGAGAAGGCCAGAAGTAACCTCTATATATATATATAGATGTGTGTTTAAAATGAGAAGCAACAAAAAGAAATATCTTCACTGTATTTTTCCCCAACCCCATTTGTGGGCATTTTTACCGATTTGTAGTCTTGGCATATGAATAAAATTTCTGCATCAGTTCTACACGAGGTGTGTTCATCCATCCATCATCCATCTATTCCCCAGGCTCTCCTATCCCTCCCATCTCTCTATAACTCTTTATTTTTGAGATCTTAAAAACCAAAATAGTGAAGAGGTTGCGATTATTATGATTTTTATTGCAGTCTCGATAATACTTTGTGAAAGAAAAAGACATTTACTATATATATATATTTTAATTACTATTACTTACTATCTCTTACATACTATTTTACTATTTACACATATAATATGAGATTCCATTTATGATAATTTATACCTTTATATGCGAATTATTTCCATTTGAAAGTTTCTCGTTTAAATGCCACGGCACACATTTAACTATTATGAATTAATTGCGTATTGTATTTATTTAAAGGCCACAAACAAAAAAACTGTATTTAATTTGTATTAATTTATTAAAAAACAAACAAACACACACACAAAAATGATGAAACACACTGCACCAAATCCAATTAAACCATAACTATAATTAATGATATACTATATTCTTTACAATTTTTCTATATAAATATTTATACAAAAATCGAACTGTAATCTTTGCCTGAAAGTTTTCCCATTGTTTCCTCAACTGATTTTCTGATATACATACTATATATATTTACTTACTTATTATAATTTATAATGTATTTTTTTTTTTTAAATTCGTATTCGTATTCATTTTAAGCGACTTTTGGTGAAGAAGAATTTAGAATGCAAACCCCAAATATCTTTGCTAATATTATTTTGAAAGATTTGATTTGCATTTCATTTTGTACTAATATTTATTATATTTTTAATTATTTTTATACAACTAAAAAAAAACGAAAAAGAAGATAAAACTATCTAGAAAGCAAATCAAATGAAAACATAACCAAAACACACACACGACCACACCGCTTCTACTGCGTTAAAAAGTAAAAAAAAAATTAATTAAAAAATAAAAAATATAAAGTTGTAACACTAAAATCGTACCCCAAATAGCTGGGGGCGTAGTAACCTAGCCTTATAAATAAAAAAAAAAACCATTAATAAATCAAACAAAAATGAAAATTAAATGAAAAAAAGTATTTCGAAAATGAAGAAAACATACTCACGTGCTTCTCCTAAGGTATTTATCCAGTCAAGGCGTTTAATTAATTCTTTTTTTTTATGTTTGTTAATGCATTTTCTTAGAGCACTATAAATGATAAATAATAAATTATAAATTGTAATGGATAAATGCTAAATGATAAAGCATCAGACGAATGACAACAATTTTTTTTAATCCACTAAATGCGAGTTTTTAAAACGAAAAAATGTTAATACGAAAAAAATGAAACTGAATAATGAGTGCTTCGATATTATGCAGTATAAATAAAGTGTTAGGACTTGGACTCTAATAATGTATTATTAAATATAAATATTAATTTATATTGTAATAAACGTGAACATACACAACTAAATTTAACATTAAAGATGTGTACAAGAAAACTGAGTGGTTTTTTTTATTTTTATACCCTTGCAGAGGGTATTATAATTTTGCTACTTTTGAAGATAGAAGCTTGGGACTTTTTTAGGTAAACTATATCCGATGCTTGCGATATACATCCGGCTTTAACTTCAAGGATATCGGGATATCGGGTCCGCCCGAAGTTAGCTTTCCTTTCTTGTTTTTTTTTTTTTTTTTTTTTAATTTTTGACGTGGAAGGGAATACGATTAGTTTTATTCAATTTCCATATTTTATTTCAGCACTAACTTCGAAACAAACAAAATATAAATTAATAAATTATACATTTTTTAAATAAACAGGATATGGGATAAAATTAATGTTTATTGGACAACAATGCTTTTAAGAATGAATTGTACAAATGGATTTTATTAGTTAAATTAATAGATTCCATAGAAATATATTTGAAAAACCTATTTTCCTTATCTAACATTTTTTGGTTGGGTTTTCCCAACCAAATTGGGTTTTTTTTGGGTTTTTAAATGGATTTTCTAATCAATTTCTAAGAAGAATATAAAATTTAATTTTGGAATAATGGGACAGTTCACATTAACAATTCTTGAATAAATTTTTTGGGTATAAATACAATCAGCATCAGTCAGATCTTGAACAATTGGCAGTGCATTTATTCTTCTTGAACAATCATGGGAAAGTATCCTTCTGCAATCCTTGTGGCAACGGCACTGGCATTTTGTACCTTCTGTCCGTTATTTGTCACATCAAAAGAATGTCATGTCGACCGGAAGGAGGAGTTTGAGGAGCCGCGTCCGATATTTGTCACGTCCATTAAAACCGAGGAGATTATAATCAGAAAAGGCATACAAAGTTTGTCGAATATCATGGTGAAATATCAAAACGAGTTCGACCGGAAGGTGAAGTTTGTGCAGCTGCAGAAGGCCATCGATGAGATCGATACAGCCATGGTGGGATACCAGGGCAAAGCCAAGGATAAGCTGCCACTGATTCGATCATTAAACGACGACGCCCGACTCACCTACGGGAACTGTGTGGCTCCTGTCTTCGAGTGGTGCATCGCCATGAAACGCACCACCAACTACTTTATCCCCTACATTGACGCCAAAGACCTGTCGGAAAAGGAAAAGAAAGAGATCTGGATCATGACAACGGATGCTCTGGATTCGGGCATCAATAAAACCCGAAATTCTTTGACACTCCTTTCCGAGGTCCAGTACAAAACTGCTGCCCTCAAGAATCTGTTTAAAGCTATTAAGCACGACATCAACGACGATTTCGTCAAAAAAAAGGACGAACTGGTGAACATTTCATTACTTAGATTCCTTGAATACTTGTGTGAAAAGATTTGGCATCTGATTACAGGACCGATTGGTAAAGCACTAGGCATAATGAATGCCACGAGCAAATTTGAAACAATTGAGGATCAAATAAATATGGTTGAATGTTTCTTTGGTAACTTGACCCTAAAGATTGAGAATGCCACCGAAATAGTGAAGGATATCGAGAGTGCCCTGGTGGAGGACAAAAATAATCTGCACGAGCTCCGAGGACTAGTTGATGGCGCCAATATTGTAAGTTTTACTACCAAAAAAAATAATAGGTTTATACCCGGTACTCTAGGCTATAACAAAGTCAGCTGTTTCTGCTGATTAAGTACCGGGTATAACTACCTTTGTAGAAAGAGGATTACTTTCTTGTTCAATACTATAATTTATATTTTTGTTTAAATTCTTTTATTTTAGAACAAAAAAGTATTGTTGATGGAGGCCCCGTTCATTCGAGCCAGCTTCATTCCAGACATCCAGAATCTCCAGAATGCGTGCACCGATTACGTGGAGTGGCACTCATCCAATGCTCCCCTTTATGAGAAGATCAAGTCTAGGGCCCGTCGAGCAGCCTCCTCATTCTGTGAAGGCCAACGGTCAAAGGCAAAAGGCATGTTGGCCGAGTCAGGGTCTTCGAACTCCACACAATCTCAGAAATTGGGTCTCATCCTCGACCAAATGGATTGTGGTGGCTATATTCCTCCATATTCCGTGGAGCGATTCCAAAAGTGGAGGGAATAAACAATAAAGGTCAAACAAATAACTATTCCTTAAGCTATTCCTTATAAGGTACTCCGCTTGAGAATCGGATAAGAATTGGGGAAGATATAGCCATCCCTGTGGACCCTATAGGGGAAAAACCCATTTTCAAGGGATCCCCTCACGAAAAATTGACAAAAAATCTAAAAAATATTTTGTCTCAGGATTTTGATGCAGAATGGTGGCAAATCGATCCAGAAATCGTTTAAGGTACTCCTCTTGAGAATCGGATAAGAATTGGGGAAGATATAGCCATCCCCGTGGGCCCTATAGGGAAAACCCCCATTTTCAAGGGGTCCATCAGGAAAAATGGACAAAAAATCGAAAAAATATTTTGTCTCAGGATTTTGATGCAGAATGGTGGAGAATCGATCCACAAATCGTTTAAGGTACTCCGCTTGAGAATCGGATGAGAATTGGAGAAGATATAGCCATCCCCGTGGGCCCTATAGGGAAAAACCACATTTTCTAGGGGTCCCATCAGGAAAAATGGACAAAAAATTGAAAAAATATTTTGTCTCAGGATTTTTATGCAGAATGGTGGCAAATCGATCCAGAAATCGTTTAAGGTACTCCTCTTGAGAATCGGATAAGAATTGGGGAAGATATAGCCATCCCCGTGGGCCCTATAGGGGAAAACCACATTTTCTAGGGGTCCCATCAGGAAAAATGGACAAAAAATTGAAAAAATATTTTGTCTCAGGATTTTTATGCAGAATGGTGGCAAATCGATCCAGAAATCGTTTAAGGTACTCCTCTTGAGAATCGGATAAGAATTGGGGAAGATATAGCCATCCCTGTGGGCCCTATAGGGGAAAACCACATTTTCTAGGGGTCCCATCAGGAAAAATTGACAAAAAATTGAAAAAATATTTTGTCTCAGGATTTTTATGCAGAATGGTGGCAAATCGATCCAGAAATCGTTTAAGGTACTCCTCTTGAGAATCGGATAAGAATTGGGGAAGATATAGCCATCCCTGTGGGCCCTATAGGGGAAAACCACATTTTCTAGGGGTCCCATCAGGAAAAATTGACAAAAAATTGAAAAAATATTTTGTCTCAGGATTTTTATGCAGAATGGTGGCAAATCGATCCAGAAATCGTTTAAGGTACTCCTCTTGAGAATCGGATAAGAATTGGGGAAGATATAGCCATCCCCGTGGGCCCTATAGGGAAAACCACATTTTCTAGGGGTCCCATCAGGAAAAATGGACAAAAAATCTAAAAAATAGTTTGTCTCAGGATTTTGATGCAGAATGGTGGAGAATCGATCCACAAATCGTTTAAGGTACTCCGCTTGAGAATCGGATGAGAATTGGAGAAGATATAGCCATCCCCGTGGGCCCTATAGGGAAAACCCCCATTTTCAAGGGGTCCATCAGGAAAAATGGACAAAAAATCGAAAAAATATTTTGTCTCAGGATTTTGATGCAGAATGGTGGAGAATCGATCCACAAATCGTTTAAGGTACTCCGCTTGAGAATCGGGTGAGAATTGGGGAAGATATAGCCATCCCTGTGGGCCCTATAGGGGGAAACCCCATTTTCAGGGATTCCCTCAAGAAAAATGGACAAAAAATCTAAAAAATATTTTGTCTCAGGATTTTGATGCAGAATGGTGGCAAATCGACCCAGAAATCGTTTAAGGTACTCCGCTTGAGAATCGGATGAGAATTGGGGAAGATATAGCCATCCCTGTAGGCCCTATAGGGGAAAACCACATTTTCTAGGGGTCCCATCAGAAAAAATGGACAAAAAATCTAAAAAATATTTTGTCTCAGGATTTTGATGCAGAATGGTGGCAAATCGACCCAGAAATCGTTTAAGGTACTCCGCTTGAGAATCGGATGAGAATTGGGGAAGATATAGCCATCCCTGTGGGCCCTATAGGGGAAAACTCCATTTTCAAGGGGTCCATCAGGAAAAATGGACAAAAAATCGAAAAAATATTTTGTCTCAGGATTTTGATGCAGAATGGTGGGGAATTATACTATATAGATCAGCACTATATCCCGATTACCACGGCCATGGAGTATGGAGCGTTGCCAGATCGTTGTCAATTAGAGGTGTGCAGACAAACTTGCAAAAAAAAAGCTAGATTTCTTAAAAACTTTATACCTAATGAATTAATAATTTTGCTTGAAAATAATTATAATTAATATTATTTGTTACTTGAATATTGTTTATTAATTCTTGTGACTTATGTACTTATTAAAAACAGCTAAATAAAGCGGGAAAATAGCCAAGTGGGCAGCACTATATTCAAGTGACGTGGAACGCTAGCAATGCTCGAGCGTGTAAACTTCGCTGCTGGATTTGAATTAAATTGCTACTGCCGGATTGCTGGATAGCTGAAATGTTGGACTTTGTGGTGGTATTCACGAAGGGCGGCGTCGTACTGTGGAACTCCAAGTCCAATGGGAACACCACTAGCCCGCCGGAGAGCACTTTCTCTTCCTGCATCAATGGCCTGGTCCGTGGCGTGATCCTGGAGGTGAGTGTAACCTGTTATTGTTGACTGTGTGGCACCGAAATAATATATCCAACATACAGGAACGCAATACGGAGGCCAAGTACTATGAGGAGGACCATCTGGCTGTGCAGTTCAAGCTGGACAATGAACTGGATTTGGTGTATGCAGCCGTATTCCAAAAGGTCATTAAGCTCACCTACCTGGACAGTTTCCTGGCCGAAATGCAGGTGGCCTTCAGGGAGAAGTTCGGCGGCATCCCAGCCGCTGGACGTTTGTCGGAATCGTATGACTTTGATCGGGAATTCAAACGCGTCCTGAGTGCCGCCGAAGAGGCATCCGCCAAGCAGGTGAAGGCACCCAAGGCTATGCGCTCCTACAACGAATCACAAAAGTCTAAGAAGACCGTTGCCTCGATGATCCAGGACGATGGCAAGAAGCCAGTGACGGAGAAGCGGGTAAACATACAGGAGACGCAGCCACAGCAGCAGGCACCGTTGTCGCCGCGCTCCAAGGAGGAAATCATAGCCGAGAACAGGCGCAAGCTGAGGGAGAAGCTGACGCCCACCAAGAAGACCTCGCCGGGCGACACCAAAGCCAGCAAGCCCTCGGCCAGCGAAAAGGCGGGTAAGAAGCCACGCGTCTGGGATTTGGGCGGTAATTCCAAGGATGCTGTGCTGTTGGACCGGTCCAAAGATACTCCCGAGGATGTACAGTACCAGAGCATCAACAGCGATGTAAGCTACAGTCTATTTGTGCTCGTATAGTGGCCTAATCTCGGTTTTTTTCGGTTTTTTCAGCTGGTGGGCACCATGCAGGGCGTGATTCCTGACCTGGACGTGGAGAGCGAGGATGACGAGGCCAACGGCACCGAGTGTAGCGACGAGGAGGAGACTGAGGAGCTGGTGCAGTCAAAGAAGAACAAACGTGGCGGCGGCCTGCTATCGTACTTCAAGGGCATCGTTGGCGCCAAGACCATGACGCTGGCAGAGCTGCAGCCGGCGCTGGAGAAGATGCGCGACCATCTGATATCCAAGAACGTGGCCGCCGAGATAGCGGCCAAGCTGTGCGATTCGGTGGCCAGCAGTCTGGAGGGCAAACAAATGGGCACCTTCGACAGTGTCGCCGGACAGGTTAAGGAGGCGCTGACACAGTCGCTGGTCAGGATTCTGTCGCCCAAGCGGCGCATCGACATCATACGCGATGCCCTGGAATCGAAGCGGAACGGTCGACCCTACACCATCATCTTCTGCGGCGTGAACGGTGTGGGCAAGTCCACCAACCTGGCCAAGATATGCTTCTGGCTGATTGAGAACGACTTCAACGTACTGATCGCCGCCTGTGACACGTTCCGAGCCGGAGCTGTGGAGCAACTGCGCACCCATACCCGCCATCTAAATGCCCTGCATCCGGCCACCAAGCACAACGGCCGCACCATGGTCCAGCTGTACGAGAAGGGCTATGGCAAGGATGCGGCCGGCATCGCCATGGAGGCCATCAAGTTCGCTCACGACACCAAGGTCGATGTGGTGCTGGTGGACACTGCCGGACGGATGCAGGACAACGAGCCACTGATGCGTTCCCTTTCGAAGCTGATCAAGGTGAATAATCCGGATCTGGTGCTCTTTGTCGGTGAGGCTCTCGTGGGCAACGAGGCGGTGGATCAACTGGTCAAGTTCAATCAGTCCCTGGCCGACTACTCCTCCAACGAGAATCCGCACATCATTGACGGCATCGTTCTCACCAAGTTCGATACCATTGACGACAAAGTGGGCGCTGCCATCTCGATGACCTACATCACCGGCCAGCCCATTGTCTTTGTGGGCACCGGCCAGACGTATGCCGACCTGAAGGCCATCAACGTGACCGCGGTGGTCAACTCGCTGATGAAATAGGACGCAACTCATCCATCCTGTTAGGCTCCCCACTATTCCAATCTTTGTTTACATGCTCCCATCTAATCTACCCTAATCCCTTAGGGCAACAATTAAATATAGAGCACCTTTGTCCATTTTGTTTTGTTGGAAATATATCAGATTATATATATTATCGGGGTTTTATGTTCCATTTTATTTTTTTACAATTAAAATGATTTTTTTTATTAAAAAAAATATGGTTTCTATTATTTTTTAATGAGGGATCTATGATGACCAGCCCATAAACCCAATAAATCTCAAGAACTCCTCGAATACTTTCTCACAGACATGGAAATGCGAGTGATTTTATTAAATTTTTATAACTTTAGGTATACAAAGGGGGCGATTTTTGAGGGGGTATTGGGAAATGGGGTTGGGGTTAACTTTCAGGCTTAATCTATTTGTAGAACTCGTGCTCCTGCTCGTCCTTCTTGATGTTGTTCTTGTAGCCCTTCTCAAAGTCCTTGGCCAGTACAATATAACGATTCTCACGTACAGCATGCATACCGGCCTCCTGGCAGATGGCATTGATATCAGCGCCGGATATCTTGTCCGGTCGCGCCACAAACTCCTCCAGATCCACATCCTCGCTGAGGTTCATCTTCGAGGTGATCGTGGAGAAGACCAGTCGCTTCTGGCGACGATCGGGCAGTGGGAATTCAATCTTACGATCCAGACGGCCGGGACGCAACAGAGCTGGATCCAGGGTGTCGGCACGATTGGTGGCCATGATCACCTTGACGTTGGTGGTCTGATCGAAGCCGTCCATCTGGTTGAGTAGCTCCAAGAGGATACGCTGCACCTCACGATCGGCACCGGTCTGGGCGTCGAAACGCTTCGTGGCAATGGCATCGATCTCGTCAATGAAGATGATGGCCGGCGCGTTCTCCTTGGCCAGGCGGAAGACGTCGCGCACCATGCGCGGACCCTCGCCGAGGTATTTCTGGACAAACTCGGATCCCACTACGCGGATGAACGAGGCAGTGGTGTGATGGGCCACAGCCTTGGCCAGCATAGTCTTGCCGCATCCGGGGGGACCGTACATGAGGACACCGCGCGGCGGGTCGATACCGATCTGCTTGTAGAGCTCAAAGTGGGTCAGGGGCAGCTCGACTGCCTCGCGGATTTCCTGCTTCTGCATGTCCATACCACCGATGTCGGCATAGCTGACGTCCGGCTTCTCGTCCGGCTGCAGCATCGATATGGAGCTGTCCGCCTCTGGTGGCAATACATCGACCAAGGCGTTACTGTGCTTGTGCAGTGCCACCGAGGCCGAGGGCTTCAGAAGCTCCCGATCGATGGTGGACAAGATGCGAACGTAATAATTGCTGCCTGTGGTGGAGCCGACGATGCCAGTGTTCTGATCGACGGCTTCCAGGAACTGGCCGATTACCAGCGGCACCGACTGGATGCGTTTCACCTCCTCCTGGGCATGCAAATACTCCTTCTTCAGGTTCCTCTGCTCATCCTTGATGTACTCCTCCTGCACCTCGATGAATTCCAGGGTTTTTTGCAGTTTCTGCACCAAAATCAATGCTTTGTAAGTATTTCCTGGTAAGGGATTACCTGTCGCTGCTTACCTTGTACCGCACATACAGATCATCGATGTCCAGTTCATCGAGGGAGCTGTGGGCATCCTTCAGTTTCAAATCGGAGAGCTCATCCTGGATAATTGGACATGAAAGTGGAATAGTACTTGCTTTGGGATTCAATTAATTTACCTTCTCCGGCATCAGTACGTCCATGTTGTACGGCATTTCTTGCGTATCGCAGTGAGTTTGTGTTCTTTTTGTTTCAATTTGCGGCGGAGACGAGAAAATGACTCGTCAAAAACAAGCCAGTGTTATCGCTGGACGACAACCCTGTCGGTGGTATATATTAGCCACGGTGTGGTAACACTTGCGACCATGGATGGCACCTAGTGGTGCCACCTATGATAACTATCGCACTGCCATCACTAGCGACTATCGATGGCGTTGCTCCCATTTGTTGTTCCGCAGTGTGTACACACTGGCACCCGACCATTTTTAATTCTCATAAGAAAAACACATTTAACTCTCGAGTTCTGTTTTCTGCTTCGATTTTCGACGTGCGTGTGTACCGATACGAAATCCGCCACCCATGAGCTGGACAGTGCAATTGAATTAGTGTGCTATTGTCCAGTGCACGCCGCTGCCTGATGGATGAAAATGCTGCCTGCAGCCGCTTTAAAGTGTCAGTATCATTGTCCTGGGCTGCCCGAATACAGCCCCCCCCCATCCCCTCCTCTGTGCTCTGCCTCCCCCGCCCTTGTGTCCACCGTGCGACACCCTCTTCACCCCCCTCGCACCGTTGTACGCACGCATCGATTTGGGCTAAACGTTAGATACCTCCTAACGCAGTTGTTAGGGTGGAAAAAAATAATACGAGTATAGTAAATAAAAAAAAAAAATAACAGACCACAGAAAGAAAGAAAAACATAAAATAATGAATTAAACAGAAAATCCCGGTGTAGTTTTGTTTTCATTTTTATTTTGTTTTAATCGCGTGGGGGAGAAAATGCAGGGGCCCCCTCCAAAAAAAAAAAGAAAAAAAAAATGAAAGAAACAAAAAAAAGAAAAAAAGTGCAATACGAAGTGTGAAACGAAACGCTAACGATACCGATAATCAGAATTGGATATCAAAGCGAAAGGAATAAACTAAAAACGATCCGACGGGGTAAAAAAAACAACAAAAATGCAACAAGACACCCGATCATAACAAAAACAACACATAAAACTCCAATCGAAAATGTTTATTGTATAATTTTCCCCCACTAACGAGTGTGTGTGTGTGTGTGGTGTGTGTGTGTATGTAATACTGCCCCTCTTTGCAGGTGTGTGTGTGGCTCTGTATGTGTGTGTGTTTTTTTTATTTTATTTATTTTATGGCGGTTTTTTTTATTTGTCAACAAAATTGGAAAATAAAAACCGTTAACCCAATCATTCTCCCTTTCTCTCTCCCACACTATCTAACTCTCTCCCTCTCTCCGATTTGCAGGACAGGATTAGGAACTGTGGAAAGAGGATAAACTGAATTTGTGCAACGAACCGCTTGATCCAATAGTGGCCTCCACATGAAGACCATGTCGCGCTTCGGCCTGCGCCGCGGCTTCAAGCTCTCCGAGGAGCAGCAGCAGGTCAATGGCAAGAACAGCAGCGGTAGCGCCATGGCGGCCACGCCCCCCAATCCAACACAGTCGCGTAAGAAACGGCAATTGTTGGAGCCACCGGAACCTGAACCGCCAGTTGGAGATCATCACCATCACCAGCATCAGCCGGAGCAGCAGGATATGATGCAGGATTATCAGGAGCAGGAGCGTGAACCGTTATCCCTGATCTGTAGTCTACCGCTGGAACGATTGCCGCGTCTGGTGGAGAAGCTGCAGCTGCTCAACGAGGAAAGGCTGGAACGGGAACGGGAGCGAGAACGGGAACGGGAACGTGACGATGGCTCCTCCATCTATGGCCATTCGAAGGTCCTGTGTCTGTACTGTGATAGAAAGTTTGCGTCCAGCAAGCTGCAGGCCAAGCATGTGGACAAGTTCCATACGGAGCGGCAGGAGCGACGCTGCAGCGGACGCTCCACCAGCTCCACCAACACTCAGTGCACTAGCTCCTCCGGCTACCCCGGCTGCCAGATGTGCGGCCCGCCGGCGAATAGACGTTCCCAGGCCCAGCCCCAGCCCCAGATCTGTCTGCCGGCGAAGCATTTGGAGCAATTGTTCCAGCACCTCAGCGAACAGCATGCGGACAAGTACTTTGGCTGCCGGTCGTGTCGTCTGCGCTTCCAGGACGCCGATCACCTGGCCGGCCATCAGCGGCAGCAGCATCACCAGCATCTGCCCGCCACCATGGCCACGCCGGAGTCGGCCGGAGCTCAACACAAGCCGGGTCTGATGGGCGCCGATGAGCCGGTGCTCTTTCGTTTGGGTCTCACCCAGAATCGTTTGCCCGGCAATCGAAATCGTGGCCAGCGCAAGGAGGAGGAGCCACCGCCCCTGGCCACGCCCGCCAGCAAGTCGAGGAGCAGCAGTCGTGCGGCGGCCCAACGGCAGCAACAACAACAACAACAGCAGCAGCATCATCAGCAACAACAACATCAACAGCTACAACAACAACAACAGCAGCTCCAACAGCCATCCCTACAGACTATATCGTTGCCATCGCAGCAGGATTCCATGCATCCGGAGGCGATCTTTCGGCTGCCGAATATGGCGGCGACTGCCTCCGCCTTTGACGACAACTTCTATCGGGATGTGGTTAACAATGTGCGGCACAACCTGCAGAATCATCTGGACGGAAGGATATTCAGTTCGTCCATGACCACCACTACCACCACCACATCCACCAGCACCAGCACCAGTAAGCAGGAGCTATTCCTGCTGCACGGACCCAGTACCCAGTCGATGGGTGCCGGCGGAGCCACATATCCCACACTGCTGACCGCCGAGCAGTTTGGCGGCCATGGAGCCGGCAGTGAACTGCTGCCGATGGCCAAGTTCCGGCGGCGGCCGCACACAAAGCACAGCTGGAAGTGGAAGTGGGACTATGTGAAGAAGTTCACCCTGATCAACGAGGGCGGGCGGCTGGTGAAGAAGCCGAAGCAGCCCAGCTGCCTGGGCCAGCGCGATCTCTCCAAGCTGGACATGTGGACGCAGCTGACGATGCGCCAGAAGCACGATCTCTCGACGCTCTCCCTGACGCTGGCCGAGCAGGAGCTCGACCAGGAGCAGCGCCGTCTGCTGGAGCAGCTCAATCTGATCCTTGACCACCGCCTGTTGCCGCACATCATCCTGGAGCAGAACGAGCAGGCGGTGATTAAGTGCGAGCAGGACGATGACGGGGACGAGGACGACGAAGATGGTGTCGGGTCGAGACACCGGGATCCGGCGGATGATCTCCTCACCCAGGGATTCGCCGACGAGGGATTCCTCTCGCTGCTGCAGCTCCAGCCGAAGCCCAGTCGAAGCACTGCCACCAGTCACCTGGTGCGCAGCTCGGAGGCGGTGGGGCGGGGCGAGGAGCGGATCCGGAGCCGGCTGGTGCTGAGCGGGGAGTGGGCGCGACCGCGTCTGTACCTGTGTATCTGCTGCGGCGCCAAGTTCGATCAGCGCAAGTCCCTGGAGGAGCACAAGACCTTCCGCCACTCGCACATCTACGCCACCCACTACGAGGTGGTGGGCCGGGAGCTGCTGGCCGGGAATCTTCTGCGGCATCTGTTCATACCCAAGCGGGCGCTAGGGCGGTTCGCCTCTGCCACCAACTGCCTTCGGTGGCCGCAGGTTCAGGCCCAGTCGGGTGCCGGGTCGGCGGGGCAGCAGCCCAAGCAGGAGCCGGAACGCCTGCAGCCGGAGGAGGAGACCCGTTCGTCCGCCTCGTCGCGCTCCTCGTACGAAGTGTCCACCCCGACGCCCCTATCCGGACTGGAGCAGCAGCAGCCGTCTCCTGCCTCGGCCTCCGGCTCTGGCGGCTCCTCCTGTTCCCCCAGCTCATCGTCTGCCTCCACCCCCATGTCCAACTCCATGTCCATGTCCATGTCTATGTCGATGTCGATGTCCACTTGTACTAGCTCCACCAACACCTGCTCCGCCTCCTCGTCCTCTGCCTCCGCCCCGTCGAGCTGCACCAAGTGCGGGCGCAAGTGCAGCGGCCTCATGGATCTCTACCGGCACATGCTCGACTGCTCCGGCGACTATGTGTGGTCGCTGGCCAAGAAGCGCAAGTATCGTTACTACTGCGGCACCAAGAAGCGTCGCGCCTTCTCCAAGAAGCGACTCAAGCAGTTCTCCGCCCGCAAGAAGGAGAAGCTGGAGGTGGAGGTCGATGCGGAGGCGGAAGGAGAGGAGGAGGGCGATGTGGCCGAGGGGGAGGAGAGCGGCTCCGGGTCCTCCAAGTTGAAGAACTCCCCCCGCCAACGGCCCAGCGACGGTGAGTACTTTGAAATCCCAACCAGAGTTCCAGAGGTTCTAATGATTCCCCATTTTTCCCAGCGGAGTCCATTCGCAAGATGCTGGAGAACTTGCCCGCCAAACGCGTCTGCAAGAAGATCTTCCCGGTGGACAACAAGGCGAAGCGGAAGGCCAAGTCGATGGTCAAGTCGATGGCCAAGTCGCTGGCCAAGTCCAAGTCCAAGTCAAAGTCGAAATCCAAACAGCAGCGAAGCAGCACCAAGAGGATCTACAATCAGCATCTGTTGCGGACGACCCGCTCCCGGTCCAGATCCTCACTGGTGGCCACGGCGTCCGCGGGACGCAAGCAGAAGCAACAACAGCAGCAGCAGCAACAACAGAAGAAGCTCCAAAAACAGAAGCGACAACAGCAGCGACGTGCCAAGCTGGAGCGCACCTCCAAATCCCCGCCAGAAACGCCAGAACAAGGGGCTAGCAAGCAGGAGCCGGGAAAAATCAGTACCACCACCAACACCACCACCACTACCACCACTGCCATTGTCCAGACCAAGTCAAGATCTCCCGCTGTGGACAGGCCCCAGCCACTGGCGCTATCTCTTCCACTACCCGAGCCAGTTAATCCGCTACCGACCCCCAGCCAGGAGTCGGAGCCGGCCTCGCCCACGCCCAGCAAACAACTGATGCCCACGCCGCCCACAACACCGGCTCCGGCCACCAAGTCGCCGCCGGTTCTGGCCGCCACTGCGGCGGCGGGGACAGCGTCTACTCCACGCCTCGTCAATCTCAACCCGAATGTGAAGCGGAGTAAGAGGATCAGCGACTGCATCGCCATGCTCACCGGCAAACTGGAGGAGAAGCTCAAAACGGAACAGGTGCCGCCGCCAAAGGAGAAGCCGCCCAAGGAGAAGGAGAAACCGGAGGAGTCGCTGCCCTCCAAGGAGCTGCCGGAGCCGGCAAAAGCCCCACCAGAGGAGCCACTGCAGCCGAAGACACCGAAACGGAAGGCGGTTTCGCGACGAATCATCAAGATGGATGTGACGCCGGAAGCTCCGGTTGTGGAGAAGCCACCGGTGGTGGATGGGCGGGAGGCAGCTGAGAGGATTCCACAGCCACAACCGCAGGTCGAGGTTTCTGTTCCGGTTCTGCCCGCTGCTCCTCCGCCGCCCCTGCCACTGCCTACTGCTACCTCGGCCGCTCCTCCGCCTGCTCTGGCGGCCACTCCCGTTCCTATTCCGGTCGTGCCCGTGCCCGTGGAAGTGCCGCTTCCGGTTCCACCGGCCCTTCTGCCCCCCACCAGGCGTACGCCCACTAAAGCGGCTGCCAAGCAAATGGTGGCTCCACCTCCGCCGGCCAAACCATCCTCGCTGGCCGCCCTGAAGCAGTATCCGCCGCTGGAACCGCCATCGATGGCCCTGCCGGCGCAGGTACCGCTGCCCCCCGCCAATCCGGCACCTGTTCCTCTTCAGTTACCTTTGGGCATGCCCGGGATGCCGGCACCGTTGCCAGCTCCGCTGCCCGTTCCGGTCAAGATGCTGCCGAAGCTGCCGCTCTACATGCCCCAGTTGCCGGGCAATCCGGCCGCTCCGAATCCGATGCCCACGGCTGCCAATCCTCCGGCTGCTGCCACCATGTTCGTGATGGATTCCCAGCCCCTGAACCTGACCAGCCAGCGTGGTGTCCTTCAGAAGCCGTTGCTGGGAGTGGGCGTGTCGGGAGATCCCGGCCTGGTGGGAGCACCGCATCACCGGGCTGGTGGCATGCCGGCCAGGCGGCAGACGATCTGCGGATTCGAGGCGCGCAATCTGCTCAGCATGGAGATGGACATGGAGCCGCTGGATCTGTCCAAGAAGTCGAGCCGGAAGTCATCGCCCGTGCCGCCGACACGGATGCCACAAATGCCATTGCCCCTAGTCACCGGAGCTCCTCCTCCGCCAGCGTCGACTGCCGTTCCCGTACCCGTCCCGGTTCCAGTTCCAGTGGCTGCCGCTCCCCTGCCGCCTCTGCCGATCCCTCTGCCGGGAGCCGCTCTGGCGGCGCACTACTACTCCAATCTGGACCTGCTGAAGATACCACAGGTGCGCAACCCCGGCACCGGTGTGGTGGTGGCCTCTGCCGTGCCGCCTCCAGTTCCAGTGCCCGTGGCCGTTGCCACGCCCGCCCATCCCGTCAAGACCCCGAGCGGCAAGAAGCGTTCCCTGGAGAGCTCCGCCGGCACCAAGAAGGATCATGGAAAGAGCCAGATGAAGTCGTGTCCGCGGATGGACGAGGTGGTGAACAACCATATCGATGATGCCATCAATTCCGTCATTCTGGCTGGCCAGGCGAGTCTGCCGGACGAGGACGACGAGGAGGAGCAGAAGGAGAAGGAGCGCGAGCGGGAAAGGGATCTTGAGAGGGAGCGGGAGCGAGAACGAGATCTGGAGAAGGAAAAGGAGTTGGAGAAGCTGGAGAGACTCAGGAAACTGGAGGAGCCGTTCGCCAAGTCGGGCAACTGCATCCTGCCCCTGGCACCCGCTTCGGGATTACTGTTTCCGCCAGTTCTGGAGAAGCTACCTCTTGCTGCACCTCTGCCAGCACCTCTGGCCGCTGTTCCGGCCCTCCCATCGGTTGTGGTCGCTCCGGCTGTCCCGGCGACTCCCACTATTCCGGTAGCCGTCGCCGCCACAGTTCCCGCTGCTCTTCCGGCGCCAGCCACTGCTTCCATTCCTGTCCCGGCACCAGCTGCGGCTCCCGCCCCTGCTCTTGCTCCCGTTTTTACGCCAACTCCGGCTCCAGTGGTGGCCTCGCCTGCTCCTCCCAAGAACCTGACGCCCAAGAAGCGTTCCATGCGCTCCCGCACCATCGACTGTCGTTCGGCTCTGCTGCCCCTGGACGAGATTACCCCGGCGGCTGTTCCCATACTCCCGCTGGCCGTGAATGGTGATCTCAAGGAGGCTTCTCCTATGCCCAGCGCCAAGCGCAAGGATGCGGCTCCTCCACCCGCCCTAGTTGAAGACAAGAAGCTGGAGCCGATCCTGCCCGCCACACCACCGCCCGTGATAGAACCTGTGCCGGCCGAGGTCCCGCCACCCGCTCCTGTGCCCGTCTCCGTGATCTCGGTGGCGCCAGCGCTTCCCAGCCACCTGCCTCCTCGCAGTGCCACGCCCACCAGCACCCAGCATGAGACGAACTGCAGCTCCCTGCTGGAGGAGCAGAACAGCAGCAACATGAACAACAACACCTCGTCGGGCTTCCACAGCTTGGCGCAGTCGGAGCAGCCGGTGACCAACACGGCGCCGCCATCAGAAGAGCCCACGCCCATCGAACCGGAGGTCGGGGCCGCGAAGGAGCCGGAGGAGGAGATGCCCGTCAAGAAGAAGCAGCGGCGACGGCGGAAGAACGAGCTGGCCGCCATCGTGGCGGACCAGCTGCTGGAGAGCTTCAAGATCGACAACGCCCGCCGGGACAACCTCAAGAAGCTGGAGAACCTGGCGTACGAGAAGAGCGAGGACCTGCTGCTCACCGGAATGCTGCTGATGTCCAGTACGAAGCGCAACGCCGCCCTCGCGCCCGCCGCCAAGCTGGCCAAAAACGAAGCCGAGTCCGTGACGGATGCGACTCCAAATCCGCCGGCACGGGGCAGGCCGAAGCGGCGCCAGAGCTGTTACTATCGGCGGGGCAAGGCGGCGCTCGACGGCGGCAAGGGCACCGGCGGCGGAGGTACGGCCGGTGGGGTGACCAACGACAACATCAGCGCACTGAAATCCTCGCTGGAATCCTTCTCCATCGGCATCGAGAAGCAGCTGAAGCAGCGCGAGGCCAAGGAAGCCAAGGAGGCGAAGGAGTTGGGGGCGTCGGCGGCTCAGCTGCCGGTCAGCTCCATCCTGCGTCCCAGCATACTGAGCAGTGCCGCCGCCAGGGATCCGCGCGGCCAGCAGAAGCCTCCGACAGGCAAGGCCGGCCGGCAAGAGAAGCAGGAGAAGATTAGCGCACCCGCCGCGGCGGCACCACCCACCTACAGTCGGGATCCGCGCCTGAACAAGAACATCCACAAGACGGGACCCGCCGAGCAGCCGAAATCGGCGCATACCGGCGAGAATCCCAATCCCGAGGAGGAGGACAACTACCTGACGGAGATCGCCAAGAACGTGAACGAGAAGATCATGTCGGCCACCACCAACGAGGACTTTGAGTTCGCCAACGATGAGTTCGACGGGGACGGCGATCCGGATGGGGATCAGGACCAGGACAACGATCGCTACCGCCCGCCCACGTCCATGAGTGTGCGCAGCGCCCCCAACCTGAACGACGAGCACTCCAATTTCGGCTCCATGTGCGACGACAACACCAACACCGAGGTGATGGACATGGACCTGGACGACGAAATGAGCGTGTACACCAGCTACTCCCAGGATCTGGGCAGGGGCGGACGGGGCAGGCGGCGGCGACGACGCCGCAGTGTCCTGTTCACCCGCCGGCCCAAGAAGCGGGCGCAGCGCAGCGAACTGGACGCGGAGAAGTACGGGTGCCAGCTGTGCGGCAAGTCCTTCTTCACGGCCACCTCGCTCTCCAAGCACAACATGACCCTGGCCCATGTCTCCAAGCTGTCGGCCCAGGAGTACCTGCAGTCGCAGACGGCGCCCTCGAGTCCGCAGGATCATCGCGAACTGGAGCGGGAGAAGCACTCGATGGACGCCCAGCCACTAAGGCCAGTGGAAGCACCATCCCTGGCCGTGGCCCAGCAGCAGATGCGGGCCTCGGTTCTGATGCTGCCCTCCCAGATTGGTCAGTCGGAGCGAGAGCGGGAACGGGAAAGGGAGCGAGAACGCGACAGGGAACGGGAGCGGTTGCTGCTGGAGCAGGAACGGCAGCTGGAGCGGGAGGAGCAAGTGCATCATGTCATAACCGAAGCCAGTTTGAGGCTCCACGACAACCAGCACAGTCCCACCGCCCCCTCGGCAGCTCGCCTCAACCTCAATCCCGACGAGCGCCTCTTCTACGAGTGCTGCAACATCCTGAAGAGCGCCGAGCGCGGAGGCGGCAATGGAGGAGGAGGATCCTCGGCCGGGCCCACGGCCACCTCGGTGATTGTCACAGCTGGCAGGAAGCAGCCCCTGCCGCCGCCAGCATCGCCTTCGCCGTCGCCATCACCGTCGCCTTCGCCTCCGCCGCCGGCCTCTCCATCGCCCTCACCATCGCCATCGCCGCCGCCAATGCCAGTGGATCCCAGGACACCCCGTTCTCTAGTGGCGGCGCCGGCCCCTCCCCCGCCCGTCCCTCAGCCAGCAGCTCCGGCCGTCTGCCACCAGCCGGTGATCCAGCAGCTCTTCCGCAATCCTCCAGCCGTCACGCCCACCACCACGCCCACGTAAGTGCCCGAATCTGATCCCTAAGAGCTCCTTATTTTAGAATCCCTTCCCCCACCAGGAACCACCATCGGATGTCGCCCAGCTACTCGGCCGTCTCACAGTTCTCGGGCACCACCACCACCTCGCGCTTCAAGACGAAGGCCGCCATGAAGGGCTACGAGAATGTGCCCCTCCAGCTGGACATGCTGGACCTGCCCAAGTCCGGCCGGGTCCAGGTCTGCAAGCTCACGGAGCTGGCGGACATCGCCCTGGGCAGCGAGAAGCCGGGTGGGGACTTCCTTCCGCATCTGCCGCCTGCAAATGCGACACCGCCAGTGCCACCGGCAGCGCCCCCGCCGGCCGCGATGCAGCAGACCATGACGGTGACGCCTACGGGCACGCCCACCGTGACACCGACGGGGCCCATGGAGCAGCAGCAGAGCTCCACGTCCTCGAAGACCATCATGCACGCCTCGATCATCAAGGCGGCGGCGGGCGTGGCCAGCTCGGCAACCCTGCCGCCTGCCTCCGGACGGATCATCATTCCGGAGCGGCCGTTCAAGAACATCGGGCTGGAGGAGAAGGCGCCCATCACGTTCCAGAAGCCGAAGACGTGCGTCAACCTGCTCCAGGAGCAGGACAACAACAGCGTCTCCACGGCCAGCTACTCGGATCGGGATGACTACGACTTTGGAACGCTGAGCTGTGACGGAGATGTGGACCCGGAACCGGAGCCAGAGCCGCCGATCAGGCCGCCAGTGGGCGGAGAGGTGGGGCCGATAGTGGGCGGCGATGTGGGCCGAGTGGGGGCGCCACAAGGCGGCGGCCGTACCGTGTCCACGTCCAGTTCGTCGTCGTCGTCCTCCTCGTCGCCGGAGCACAGTCGCAGCCGGAGCCGGAGCAGCAGTAGCAGCAGCTCCAGCAGGGCCACCGCCAAGACCTTCGAGAACAAGTCCCTGATCATGGGCAGGATCTTCAAGCATGCCAGCAGCGCCAAACACACGGCCCCCGTAGTGACGCCTTCGGCTGCCGCGATGCCGCCAGCGGGAGCAGGCAATCCAGTGCCCAGTCTGGCCAAGATCAAGGCGCTGCCCAAGAACCAGGCGAATCTGGACCAGATCTTCGATGAACTGCGCGCCGGGGGAGCTGGAAAGGCGCCCGAGATGGATCCACCGCCGGCGGTCATTCAGGAGAACTGGCAGCACCAGCATCACCACCACCACCATCAGCACCACCACCACCACCAGGTGGAACCGATGGCGGCGCCAGCTGCTCCTGCCGCTCCGGCGGCCATGCCGGCGCCCAGTGCCCTGCCACCCGGCCGGAAGACCAAAACACCGGCCGGTAATGCTCGGAAGAAGCCACAAACAAAGCCACCTCCGCCGCCGCCGCCGCCGGCCACGGAGACCGCCTCCAGCCGAAAGCCACGCAAGGATCTGACCAAGCTGCAGTCGGAGCTGGGCATGAGTCACGAGGAGATCGAGCAGCTGATCGACGAGGGCCAGCGGAAGTCGAAGCGCAGATGCGCCACCAATCGACCAAAGAAACTGGTGGAGACCTGGAGCTCCGACGAGTACGAGGAGTTCCTCTCCACCAAGGACATCATAGCGCTGATCGAGCAGAAGGAGCAGCAGGAGCAGCGCCGCAAACGCAAGACCAGTGAAGCCAGCACCCAGCCAGAGCCGGTGGCCACTCCTCCGGCGGTGGTCCCCAAGAAGGCCACCACTCCGCAACGGAAAGGTCGTGACAAGAAGCCCGCGCCGACCGTGGAGGTGGAGCCAGAGGTGGAGCCGCCGCCTAAGCCACCGAGGGGTGCCAAGAGGAACCAGGCACTGCCACCACCACCTCCAGTCGATCCTCCAGCAGCTCCAGTCAAGGCCAAGAGCAAGCCAACAGCTCCCAAGGCGCCGAAATCCTCGGCAGCCACCAAAGCCAGCAACTCACGGAAGAGGAGAACCAACGAGAAGCTCAAGGAGAAGGAGGACTCGGAACCGGAAGAGGAGCCGGCGGAGAGAGAGGTCCTGAAGGAACCACCGACCAGGACGCGCAGCTCCCGGCAACCCAAAAAGGGCAAAATCAAGCCGGAGAGTGAACCGGAGCCGCTGCCGCCGAAGGAACGCCAGAAGGCTCGAAATAGCAACCAGACAGCCCCGAGGGCTCTCGTGCCCACACCTGAGCTGGCCGCTGTGCCAGTCCCAGTCTCCTCCAGTGCCAGGAGTAGCTCCTCCACCACCAACAACAATAACAACAGCACCAGCAGCAACAAGAATCTGAAAACAAAGCGGAAGTCGCAAACGAACCGCCAATCTCCTGCTCGTCGGAAGCGCCCGGCCAGCGAGAAGCAGCTCTACTACTGGAGCAGCTCCAGCGACGACGAGTTCGGGCGCCTGGAGGCCGACGGCGAGGGCAGTCGCACGGGTGACCGCGGCACCAGGGGCAGTACAGCCGGAGCGGGTGCGGGATCGGTGTCCGGTGGAGGCGGAGAGCGTCTGGACTTGGAGCCGGCGGAGGAGGAGGAGGCCTCGCCCTCGCCGGGCAAGCACTTTGAGGAGAGTGAGCCGTACCAGAAGCACGGCTGGATTGTGGGGGACTCGCACAAGAAGCTAGTGAAGCTACTGGCCATCGCCAAGGGCAGCAAGAAGGTGGACAACTGCGGCGTCAAGCGGCGGACGCCGAAGCGCAAGTGCTAGGAGTGGGAATCGGAGTCGGAGCACAAGAACGAATAGCCGGAATAGGAATAGGAGCATTATAGGATCACCTGGAAGAGTCAATAGCCATAGGCAGCTGACCACCCATCGCCATCGATCATAATACGATCACGTACGAGTACTGCCATTGTGTCATCGTTAATCGTTGAGGCCAGCGCCAGGAGAGGATCCGGGGGGTTATCATCATGTTGTGTAAAGGCGGAGGAAGGATGCAGGAGCTGGAGCTGGAGCTGGGCCGTCTCCTGGGCTGGTCCCATTAACCGTAATGCGGAGTATATGCAACGTATTTTTTTCTTTCTTTTAAACATCTAAGCGTTACATTATTTAGGTTTTTTTTTTATTAAATGTATTTATAATTAATAAACAAAACAAGCAAAAACAACAAAAAGCGAAAAAGAAACAAATATACATTTGAGCACAATTAATCAAGGATGTTTTAAGGGGTTACATGGGTTTAAAGGCCTTCAAAAAAGGGATATATTTTGGATTATATTTTTAATAGAAAAGGTGACTTAAGGTCGATTTTTTCATGAAGTTTTATTAAGCATATCTCCGAGTAGGAGCATTAGAATTAAAAATAATAAAAACTATATTTAGTTAATAGTTTAAACTCATGAAGGGTTAAAAGAAATAAGCAAAATAATTAAAACTGAATTATTGGTAGAGGTTTTTAAGAAAATAACCCCAAATTCATTCAAATTGGAGGTGTTTTTTGTTTTTTTAAATTAAAAGACCTATTTAAAAGCGTTAAAGCATCTTAAAAAATAAAATCTTTTATTTATTGAATAGCTTAACTTATCAAGAAGACCTGTTTAAAATGTTAGCAAGATCAGATAAGTAGTTTTCCAGAAATCTTCGTAAAAGTCAACCGATTAATAAAAAATAGTTTTCAGAAAAAAGCCTCTAAGTATTGAATGACAAGGTAGCTTTATGTAGGAATAAAATCGATTATTTCTTAAATAGTTCGCTAGTTTATTATTAATAGAACACCTGTTAAAAATTTCATTAAGATCGGTTAATTCGTTTTCGAGAAATCTTCAAGAGCGTGAAACCATTTTCAAGAAAGAAATGAAAAAAAAGCATCTAAAGTTTGGAAAACAAGGTAGTTTCCCTTTTTTCAAGGATATTTCTGAAACTATAGTTCAGAGCGACTTTAAATTTTAAGAAAACATTATTCACATATTCTAGTTTTAAATAAAAACAATTTTTTTTAATCGTGAGATCCATGTTACCCCCTAAATCCTAGTACCAACAAGGGTTGCTAGGCTAGTAGGAACTTAGTGTTGCTACACTCTCAAAAAAATAGAAAAGTTAAAAAATTTAGTCCTCAAAGTAACTTTTATTTTTATTTTATATTTTACAACTAACGGTAGCTTTACATATATAACATGTAAAAAGTAGAATTAAGGAATAGTTAAAAAAAAACGTAAAGCACCATGGAGCGGAGGACGCGAATGCGGGGAAGACGGACGCAGCCTGATCTTGGCGAGCGCTCATCCAGATGTGCCTGTTTAGTTCGATGTGTGTGTGAAGTGCGTCCTGCTTCCAAGGCAAAAAAACGAGGGATAAATGCGAAGCAGGATCATGTTCCATCAAGGATTAGAATGTATATGTGGGGGAGGGGGTAGGAGGAGGAGGCTGGCTGGATGCACCGACGTAAGAGATATTGGTGATGGCTCGCCGCGACTAGTTGGATGGATGTGGGTAGGTTGGTTAGCTGCGTACGTTTTGGTTCTCCGTCACGCCGCTCTTGTCAACATGGTGGCTTAAACAGAATCGTCATTGGGAGTGGCTTACATCATGCCACCCATGCCGCCCATACCACCCATACCGCCCATTCCACCCATGCCGCCCAGTCCCGGACCAGCATCCTCCTTGGGGATCTCGGTGACAACGGCCTCGGCGGTGGTCAGCAGAGAGGCGACACCAGAGGCATCGGTGATGGCAGTGCGCACCACCTTGGTGGGATCGATGATGCCCTTCTCGATCAGGTTGCCGTATTCGCCCTTCAGGGCATCGTAGCCGTAGTCGCCCTGCTGGGTCTCCACCTTGGCCACCACCATGGCGCCATCGACACCGGCGTTCTTGGCAATCGTCATGCAGGGCATGCGCAGGGCACGGCGCACGATCTCCACACCAAGGTTCTAAGTGGATGACAACAAGAGTTAGAGAAACTATGGTACAATTTTCATTGAAATCCCATCTCACCTGGTCCTCGTTCTGGGTCTCGACGCTATCCAGCTTCTCGATGCAGCGCAGCAGAGCAGTGCCGCCTCCGGGAACGATTCCCTCCTCGACGGCAGCCCGGGTAGCGTTCAGGGCATCGTGGACGCGGTCCTTCTTCTCGTTGACCTCCACCTCGCTGGAGCCACCGACGCGCAGCAGGGCAACACCGGAGGCCAGGCGGGCAAGACGCTCCTGCAGCTTCTCCTTTTCGTACTCGGATGTGGTCTCGGTGATCTGATCCTTGATCTGGTCGACGCGACGCGACACATCCTCCTTCTTGCCCTTGCCCTTCAGCAGCAGGGTGTCGTCCTTGGTGACCACCACTTCGCCCACCTGGCCCAGGTCGGAGATCTTTACGTCCTCCAGCTTGACCAAATCGGCATCATCGCCGAAGACAATACCGCCGGAGGCGATGGCCATGTCGGTGAGGGTGCTCTTGCGGTTGTCACCGAATCCGGGCGCCTTGACGGCGGCCACCTGCAGGCCGATCTTGAGACGGTTCACCACCAGTGTGCTGAGAGCCTCGCCATCGATGTCCTCGGCAATGATGACCAGGGGCTTGCGCTGGGCATTGGCCAGCTCCAGGGCGGGAATGATGCTCTGCACCGACGAGATCTTCTTCTCGGAGAGCAGCAGCAGGGCGTCCTGGAACTCGACCTTGGCGCCCTTGGTCGAGTTGATGAAGTAGGGCGAGATGTAGCCGCGATCGAACTTCATGCCCTCGATCACCTCCAGCTCGTCGGTGAGGGTCTTGCCGTCCTTGACGGTGATGACGCCGTCGCGTCCCACCTTCTTCATGGCGTCGCTGATCAGCTTGCCGATGGCCTGGTCGCCGTTGGCCGAGATGGTGGCCACCTGGGCGATCTCCTCGGGCGTCTTGACGGGGCGCGACATGGTCTTGAGGTTGTCCTTGACAGTCTCCACGGCCAGCATGACACCGCGACGAATCTCGACGGGATTGGCGCCCTTGGAGATCTTCTCGAAGCCCTCCTTGGCAATGGCGCGGGCCAGTACGGTGGCAGTGGTGGTGCCGTCACCAGCCTCCTCGTTGGTATTGTTGGCCACATCCTGGACGAGCTTGGCGCCAATGTTCTGGAACTTGTCCTTCAGCTCAATGGACTTGGCGACGGTGACACCGTCCTTGGTGATCTTGGGCGAGCCCCACGACTGCTCGATGATCACGTTACGGCCCTTGGGACCCATGGTGACGGCCACGGCATCGGCCAGAACATCCACGCCCTGGAGCATCATGGCGCGCACCTCGGGTCCGAACTTGACATCCTTGGCATAGCCGCGCATGGCCAGCTGGCGGCTGATGGAGGTGCGGGCCAGAGAAACGGGTAAACGGAACATCTACAGAGAGGTGGAGAGGGAATGCAATTACGGATGAGTATCGGTCAGGAGGTGGGGGGAGACTATGAAACACGTGCTCTCTTCTCTCATTATTTACCCCGGAGTCTGGTGCTATGGCTTCAAGGTCCAAAGTACAATACCCGCAAGGCTTGAGATATTTTTCAATTTTTCAAATACCACTCGTTGATAGAAAAATTTGGAAAATATTTAAAAAAAAAAGATGTTTAAAAATTCAGATGAAATTTTATTTCGGAAATACAGACGTGTGTTTGTGTCTCGAAATTCAGATGAAAACTGAGAGGCACTAGGAACGACTAGATGGGCTCAGGAATCTCACAATTTTTGACATTTAATTCCAATTTCAAAGCTTGCTTGGTTTCTTAAAATAATTATGAAATATTTAAGCAAAATTTTAAACAAGAAATTACATAAACACCAATTGGAAATTACATGGAAAGTTTCCCATTTGGAATAGTATTTAAAAATGCCAAAATAATATTACAAGCAAGTCTGTATCACGGTCGGGTCAGTCTTATCAGAGGGTTCACTGTGCCGGCCAGGCCCCCTCCCCCGACACCACACACTGGTAGCATCGCCTTTCCAGAAGAAACCATTTATGTAATCAAGTTGGGCCAGAAAATAGATACCCGCCAAGTTAGAAGAATGTCATCCAAGGGCCTGTTACGAAATCCCTCCCATTAGGGAGCATAGCGACAGGCAAGAGCACATGCAATTCTCCCGGTAAATGTGAAATAACTTTCGATTGCCGGCTGGTTGGGGCAGAAAACATGTGCGTTTGCTGCTCAAGTTTTTTTTTTTCATTAAATCCTCCTCCTATCTACGCCTAGTTGGTGTGTTTAATTAAATAATTTCTATTATCCAAAGGTAGTTGGCTACAATTAGTAAGGATATTACTTAATGATAGGTTAATCAATTAACCGAACCTTCTGGAAACACGATTTGCCGGCTATACCCCCAGATAGTTCCTTCTTATATAACTCACTCTCGCACGATATGGCACCTTGGCTTTTAACACGCGACTCGCATACACAATTGGTATAAATTAATTGAAAAATAGATATAAACTGCAACTTACTTTGAATAAAACTGATGCTGCAACGGCTTACAAGACAGTAAAATTAATGCTTCCGATTCTTTTTGACGTCAAATTCAACAAGGGAGCCACTTGCTTCCGAATTCGAAATGTGCCCACGGTAAGTGCTGTTAGAGGTGGAAGATCAGCGATGAAACCATCTGGGTATCGATTGAAAAAAGAGTATCGATATATCGATTGAGAGACAAGTCGATACAAACATTTTATTTTCTTATCGATATATCGATATTGCAATCAACTTTGAAATTTTAAAAAATAAAGATTTGTAAAATATTCAAAAGATTAACTTGCTAATGCTGTCTTTGAATTTTGGGAGGTTTTTATTAATTTTTAAAATTTTGGTTTTAAAACATTGGCCTGGATCTTTAAATACTTTTTTACTTAAAAAATAATAAGCGCGCGCTTTGCTGTGAGTTTATATTTCATTTAGCATTTAATACAAAATATAATAAGATCAAATACACTTAATATAGGAAAATTAAAGCCAATTAAAAAATATCACTGTGGCACTCCACAAATCACAATTATTGTCTCATTTCAAAATCTGAATCCTGTTCTCGATTCCCGTGGTAATGGGACCCACTGCATCCATATAGTCCTTAAAGGCATCCACATCTATTGGGCCCATCCTGCAATGATAATTAATTTAATTAGTTTCTAATATAATAGGAAAACTCACTCCAAATCTTCGGCATTTTCGCTAATCACTCCAAAGCCATTCATTCCACTCGCCAGATAAGACATGACCACCAGGCGGTATTGTTTCGTCAAATCAAGTGGCCTGTACTCGGGTACCTGGCACTCGGAGCACCGTACTCGGACACTGGTAATCCTCTGGCCAACCTCGGCCTTTAAATCGACGACGTACCGCAGCCCGGAAACCTGCAAAAGGCGCGAGGATCTGGGCGAAGCAGAGCTCGCATTCATTGGTGCCACACCGACTTCTAAAGTCTGAAGGATATGATGGCCATAAAGGTTAAGGGCAACCAGTTGATTTTGCCAGGGACACACGGTCACCAGTTGGCCATAGGTTATGTCTGAGGATTTCAAATATTAAGGTGTTTAATTATCCTTTTTGTTTAAAACTCACTGCCAGGATGAATGGGCACTCGAAAGGTTCCCTGGGTTGTCATGGCCATGGTGACGTTACTCCACTTTTCATTCGTAGTCACTGCATCCTTGACAAACTGCCAGACCATAAGGATTATAGGAAAATGAATAATCCCTTGATTATGAATCCAAACTCACCGAATAGACCATGGCATCTGTGAAAAAGTTACCCAGATTACATTCTCCATGGGAGCATTCACTTTGCTGAAGGTAAACCCGACTCTGGCCCACAACCTGCTTGGAAATAGATTCCATTTCATCCTGCCAGGGAAGCATGGCCTCCAAAACTTGTTCATCTTGAAAAATTATTTTAAAAACATTACAAACTTAAGAAACACACAAGAAAATGCTTTTATTTCTAGTGATTTTTAAATTAATTATTAGCTTAAAGAAAAACAATGTTTTTAACTTTTAAAAAGTTTTTACTGTTAAAAAAAAAAACTTTATGGCAGTACAGCTTATTTTTGATTCGTAGATCAGTTAAGAACAGTGATGCGTCCCTCCAGACCATGAATAATGGGACCAATATGGTTGCTGTACGAGATGAGGGCATTCAGATCGGTCATTCCTCGCCTTAAAAGTGGGTTGAAATATTTAATAATTTAACTATATTAAAGGTTATACTCCATAATCACTTACTGGATATCAGTGCCCTCGGCCAGCATGGTATATCCATCGCCGCCCTGCTGCAGGAAGTCCGGAGAGGTGAGCCTGTAGAGCTTATCGCTCACTAGGGTCTCATACTTGGGCACCTCGCAGTCGGCACAGCGTACCGACACAGAAATCACCCGGGATCCGACGGGCTTGGTGAAGTCATACTTCACCCGGATACCAGAGAACTGGAGATTAATATACGAGCCAGTTGTTTCGTTCTCCAAGTCCACTTTACTGACAGCATGCTCCATCGCCTCCACAATTTTGGTGCCAGGTAAGCTGTAGGCCACCAGGGTGTTCTCAAAGGGTGACATGCTGACCATATGGGCATAGGTGAGGTCTTTAATTAAAAGGATAATTAGTTTGTATGTTTATGATTAATATTCCCTTTCTAAACTTACTTCCCCTGGTGAGAGGTACTCGTAATCCTCCAATATTCATAAGTCCTGCGGAAACATTTGTCCAGGCCTTTTGCTCGTAAGAAGCCATTCCTACAAACTAATAGAATTAATTAATTAATGAATAATTTAATTTAAAAACTCTAGAAAAAGTCAAGAATTAAAGAACTTACGGAATGCACCATCGCATCGCAGAAGAAGTTCCCCAAATTGCACTCGCCCTCGGAACAGTCGTCCTTGGTGAGATCCACCTTGGTGCTGCCAATCACCTCCTTGCCCTTTTTGTCGATTTCCACTTGCCATGGTGCCATGGCCACCAGAACATCCTCATCTGCATATAGGATTGATCACAGCACTTAGACAAATAAGCCACTTGGTCACACTTAAAATGATAATAAAAACTAGGGTCACACTTAAAACGATCACAAACACAAAACTTTGGATAAAAAACGAAAACTTGAGGAAAAGTATGAGGAACTCAAGACAAGAATAAAGAAAGGAATTTACATAAAACCCGATTTTAAGTCAAAGCTTATAAAGTTTAAAACATAAATAAAAATTTTAATAGCTTACCCTGTGGTACATCTTGTCCCATGTAGAGAGGAGCTCCCTCAAAGTCCACCACATCGCCATTGTCATCGAAATAGACCACCAAGTTACCCACATACCGGGCATACGCCGATGCCTGGACAATAAGGACACGATGTCCGGTGCTGTGGACGACCTCCGTGGGGTAGGGACCCGCAGCATTGTGAGGACCAGGAGGAGTACCCGTGTAAAGGAATGTATGCGAGTGCGAGCCCACAATTACGTCGATCACATCACCGGCATTGGCGGCAATATCCTGGTCCACATCATAGCCGCAATGGGAGATCACGATGATGATGTTGGCTCCCTGGGCCTTCAGCAACGCCGCTTCTTCACGGATTGTGTCGCTCTCGTTCCGGAAGATCAGTTTCCCAGTATTGGCCAGTTCCTGAGGCAAATATTTAGGTAATTAGTATTAGAATGTAAGGATTATTTCCATAACCCTGTAAAATCCTGGATTTTCATATGTGGCCGAGAGCCATAGCTATATCTCGGCCAATTCTCATCCGATTCTCAAGCGGAATACCCCAAACGATTTGTGAATCGATTCTCTATTAATCTGCATAAAAATCTGAACACAAAATATTTTTTAAATTTTTTTCGAAATTTTGTGGGGCATCCCCTGCAAAATCCTGGATTTTCATATATGGCCCAGAGCCATAGCTATATCTCGGCCAATTCTCGTCCGATTCTCAAGCGGGATACCCCAAACGATTTGTGAATCGATTCTCTATTAATCTGCATAAAAATCTGAACACAAAATATTTTTTAAATTTTTTTCGAAATTTTGTGGGGCATCCCCTGCATAATCCTGGATTTTCATATATGGCCCAGAGCCATAGCTATATCTCGGCCAATTCTCGTCCGATTCTCAAGCGGGATACCCCAAACGATTTGTGAATCGATTCTCTATTAATCTGCATAAAAATCTGAACACAAAATATTTTTTAGATTTTTTTCGAAATTTTGTGGGGCATCCCCAGCAAATTCCTGGGTTTTCATGTATGGCCCAGAGCCATAGCTATATCTCGGCCAATTCTCATCCGATTCTCAAGCGGAATACCCCAAACGATTTGTGAATCGATTCTCTATTAATCTGCATAAAAATCTGAACACAAAATATTTTTTAAATTTTTTTCGAAATTTTGTGGGGCATCCCCTGCAAAATCCTGGATTTTCATATATGGCCCAGAGCCATAGCTATATCTCGGCCAATTCTCGTCCGATTCTCAAGCGGGATACCCCAAACGATTTGTGAATCGATTCTCTATTAATCTGCATAAAAATCTGAACACAAAATATTTTTTAAATTTTTTTCGAAATTTTGTGGGGCATCCCCTGCAAAATCCTGGATTTTCATATATGGCCCAGAGCCATAGCTATATCTCGGCCAATTCTCGTCCGATTCTCAAGCGGGATACCCCAAACGATTTGTGAATCGATTCTCTATTAATCTGCATAAAAATCTGAACACAAAATATTTTTTAAATTTTTTTCGAAATTTTGTGGGGCATCCCCTGCAAAATCCTGGATTTTCATATATGGCCCAGAGCCATAGCTATATCTCGGCCAATTCTCGTCCGATTCTCAAGCGGGATACCCCAAACGATTGGTGGATCGATTCTCTATTAATCTGCATCAAAATCTGAACACAAAATATTTTTTAGATTTTTTTCGAAATTTTGTGGGGCATCCCCTGCAAAATCCTGGATTTTCATATGAGGCCCAGAGCCATAGCTATATCTCAGCCAATTCTCATCCGATTCTCAAACGGAATACCCCAAACGATTTTTGAACCGATTCTCTATTAATCTGCATCAAAATCTGAACACAAAATATTTTTTAGATTTTTTTCGAAATTTTGTGGGGCATCCCCTGCAAAATCCTGGATTTTCATATATGGCCCAGAGCCATAGCTATATCTCGGCCAATTCTCGTCCGATTCTCAAGGGGATACCCCAAACGATTGGTGAATCGATTCTCTATTAATCTGCATCAAAATCTGAACACAAAATATTTTTTAGATTTTTTTCGAAATTTTGTGGGGCATCCCCTGCAAAATCCTGGATTTTCATATATGGCCCAGAGCCATAGCTATATCTCGGCCAATTCTCGTCCGATTCTCAAGCGGGATACCCCAAACGATTTGTGAACCGATTCTCTATTAATCTGCATCAAAATCTGAACACAAAATATTTTTTAGATTTTTTTCGAAATTTTGTGGGGCATCCCCTGCAAAATCCTGGATTTTCGTATGAGGCCCAGAGCCATAGCTATATCTCAGCCAATTCTCATCCGATTCTCAAACGGAATACCCCAAACGATTTTTGAACCGATTCTCTATTAATCTGCATCAAAATCTGAACACAAAATATTTTTTAGATTTTTTTCGAAATTTTGTGGGGCATCCCCTGCAAAATCCTGGATTTTCATATATGGCCCAGAGCCATAGCTATATCTCGGCCAATTCTCGTCCGATTCTCAAGCGGGATACCCCAAACGATTGGTGGATCGATTCTCTATTAATCTGCATCAAAATCTGAACACAAAATATTTTTTAGATTTTTTTCGAAATTTTGTGGGGCATCCCCTGCAAAATCCTGGATTTTCATATATGGCCCAGAGCCATAGCTATATCTCGGCCAATTCTCGTCCGATTCTCAAGCGGGATACCCCAAACGATTGGTGGATCGATTCTCTATTAATCTGCATCAAAATCTGAACACAAAATATTTTTTACATTTTTTTCGAAATTTTGTGGGGCATCCCCTGCAAAATCCTGGATTTTCATATGAGGCCCAGAGCCATAGCTATATCTCGGCCAATTCTTATCCGATTCTCAAGTGGAATACCCCAAACGATTTGTGAACCGATTCTCTCTTAATCTGCATCAAAATCTGAACCCAAAATATTTTTTAGATTTTTTTCGAAATTTTGTGGGGCATCCCCTGCAAAATCCTGGATTTTCATATATGGCCCAGAGCCATAGCTATATCTCGGCCAATTCTCGTCCGATTCTCAAGCGGGATACCCCAAACGATTTGTGAACCGATTCTCTATTAATCTGCATCAAAATCTGAACACAAAATATTTTTTAGATTTTTTTCGAAATTTTGTGGGGCATCCCCTGCAAAATCCTAGATTATCATATGAGGCCCATAGCCATAGCTATATCTCAGCCAATTCTCATCCGATTCTCAAGCGGAATACCCCAAACGATTTGTGGATCGATTTTCTGTTAATCTGCATCAAAATCTGAATACAAAATATTTTTGAGATACAAAAAATAAACTCACGTATGTGGTTTCCAGGATAACACCGATGAGACCGATTTTTCGACCGTTCCGTTCGATGATCTCGGATTTTTTGTACAAGCCGTCCATGGTGGGTTCGTGGGCGCAGTCCATGTTGGCCACCAACATGCTGGTGTTGATCGTCTGCAGGAAGGGCACCACACCCTCCACACCATTGTCGAACTCGTGGTTGCCCAGGGTCTGAAAATTAGGGCATTAAAGGTGGACTAATATTAAATTTTAGGAGTACTTACCATGGCATCGGCGGGCAGGATATTGAGCAGCTGCTGGGTGACATTCCAGCGCCCCAAGTTGTACCACAAGGTGCCCTGGAAACTGTCGCCCGCATTGATGTAGATGGGATTCAGTTCGGCCTGCTCGGCGAGGAGGCGGCGGATCGTGTAGACGGTACGGGGATAGCCTCCGATGCAGGTCTCGCCCTCGTCGCAGGTGCCACCAGAGGTGTCCGTGGCCTCGAACCTTTAAAAGCAAAAAAATCGTAATCGAAGCGGGGATTAGTGACCAAAATCCGGATTTGAAGTGGGCTCGTGTTTTGTAGATGGGGGTTGGGCGTCATCGTTATACGTTATCGGGATCACGGAATCGCGATAAGTCTGAGATAAAGCTGCTCAACGATTATGATGGCCATAAACCGAATGAATCTGATTACTCGGGTTGTTATTACTTTCCGCCTTACCTCGCGTGCAAGTCGTTGATGTGAATAATGGCCACCGGGAAGCCATCCTTGTCGGCAGCCTCACTGACATTTCCCTGCTGAATTACAATCCCAATGATTATAAAAATCAAAAAAATAAATTGATTTTTGTCGGCCATTTTTTGTTGTCGATTTCCGGAGAAAATAATGTATATATTTTTTACACCCTGCCGGATGGCCGTCGATAAGGCAACTGAATGGCCAAAATCGCCACCAGTTCGAGGTCTGCCAAATCTGGTGGGCTTCGGGTGCTGGGGGATACTCGTACTCGTTGCGATCGGATCGGTATAAACCCTCTACTTGTCACCTTATTGATTGGCTATTGATTTGTACACTAAAAGAAAAGATCTCTTGGTGTTTCATAAAGAGATTTTAAGGTTTTTTCAAAAAAAGATTTTCCAAAGGAAAGGATATATGTTTTAGAATCCATTAAATTCTAAAAATTTTTTTTTTAAATCTTTCAACAATTTTAGAAAAGGTTTTATGATCAGTGTTGGAACAGCTTGTTTTTGAACTTGATTTTTAGGTTTTTGTAACACCTCATAAGCATTATCTAAACCTGTTGTAAAACTTTACAAACCTTAGTCAAGATTACTAAAAACTAACCATATCTCTCGCCTCATTTCAAGCCTTCGGTTATAATTATACATTCTAACTGACAAACGTGTCGTATGAGTAATAAAAATAATGTAAAAAATGGAAAAATAAATAATAATTTAATTTTCTTAGTTAGATCTTGGTGAATACTATATTTATATCGGTCAGAGTTATTTTTATGATGCGATAAAAAAGCTGTTTATTAAATATTCATTCATTTGATCAAAATCTTATCTTAAACAAATGAGTGTTATGAGTCGGATACGGCGGGTACTACCAGTTCTATATAGTATATTTATTGAATGGACATGTGTTACACATGCTCTCCGCACTTAATGAAAAAATGTTTATTACGTTCTGGGCCCGAAAAATAAAATATATGAGCGTGGGAGCAGAACAGCTAACCTGATAGCTTCACACGAATCGATTTATTGCACCTTTGGCGAGTAAAAAAAAAAAAAAGAATAATATTGGCTTAGCTCCAAGTGCTCTATATCTCGGATCTACTATCTCTGAATGAATATACTCCATATTGGGAATATACAAACACTTAATAGCACCTGTGCGCCACTCAAAACAGTCATCGAAGGGTGGTACTTTTCAGTAATATCAGGTATCATAGTTATAAGAAAGGATAGATCATTATAAACTATTTAAAAGTGGGGTTTCCATAGGGAGGAATACTTTAAGTTGTACTATAAGGGCTTTATCTTCTAGGAATACCAGGAATCTTAGGATAGAAAGGAGAAGGATATCATCTCAGCTATCATCTTAGGGTATTACCTTATAGGATTACCAGGAATCTTAGGCGTGAATAAGATATATAAAGCATTCCTACAATCTGTGAATTAAGTACACCCTTGTGATAAGAAATCCAGATTTTAATCATTACTTCAACGATTATTTTGGGCTTTATGTAAGTCAAAGTACTTGAGACCTTACATTCCAATAACTTTTCGATGAAAAAACCCCACAAAGAATGAAAAAAAAGGGAGGGTTGAATGAAAATACTTTGGTTTTATTCTTGGGGTGTTCATCCATATGAAACGCATCGATGACCAGCGGGGTTGGTGCATCGATTGTGGCCACAGGATTGTACATATATATATATCTATATAAAATATAGTACAATTATTTATTCTTCACTCCCATTGACAATAGATTTAGAGCTCTTTGTGGATTACTCGTAGGTATAAAGCACATTATGCATGTAAGTATTTATGTTTGTCTGTATATAGAGATGTCAGCGCAAGTATCTGTATATATATACATATATATATGTATATATATATAATATAAATTGTATATAAATATAATGCATATGTCTGTGTATATATAAGTATCAATGTATTAAGTTAATTGCTTAGCGTAAAGCACAAAGAATTTTGATATGAGAATGACTGAGAATATTTCTGCAAGCGATGAGCGTTCCGATTCAGGCTTCAAGTTTTTGTCTTCAGATTCAGATTCAGATATCGATTCCGGATTTTGATTCCAACGCCCACTTCAATTCCCAATCCGTATGCAACTCCCACTCCTCTGGGATTAACGCAAAGGCAACAATGAGAGAACTACAACTGAAAAATCGAAAAACAAATGACTAGAATTGATGGGTTAACTCTCCCTGATTGAGCATAATGACTACTCCTCCGCCCCGACCTTGGCCACCTAGTGGAATACGTCCATGAAGGGGAAGTATGCCTCCTCCGGTTCGAGCAGATCCACCAGGTAGCAAACGGTGCCGGCAACGCCCTCGTACAGGCTGTGGGGGCGATCGGGTGTACGGGCACGCAACTTGAACTCCGCATTGGTCAGCAGCTCCATGAACTTGTGGGCCCGATACAGGTACTTCATCTCGTTGGTCAGCCGGAACAGCAGCAAGAAGACATAGCCGTTGCCCGCCACGCCATGACAGATGCCCGGTCCCTTGCGCAGGAAGCCCTTCTTCCACACCAAATCGGCGCAGCGTCGCAGCGAAGCCAGGTACTTCTCCTCCTTGAAGATTAGATAGGCCTTGGCCAGCACGTACACAACCCCGGGAGCTCCATGACACCAATGCACCAGACGCTTGTCCCGACCAGAGCGCAAATCCTCCAGAGCCACTGGGAAGTTACCTTCGCTATCCTGAAGCTCCAGAAAGAAGTCAATCGATCGCTTAATGTCGCGCAACTCGGGTGCCGGAGCTGAAATGGGCATGGTACGGAACCATGGGCTGTCCAGCAGCATGTGCAGGATGGCGCATAGGCCGTGGGCCGCGCCCAGATACTCGGTGCCATGGTACTGGTACATCAATGGCAGCGGTGAGCCATTCTGTCGACTGTACTCCCGTCCGCTGGTCACAATCTTCTGGCAAATGGAGATCAGATCGTCGTCGGTTATCTTCTTCTCCGGCAGAATATCGTTCAGCCAATAGCAGCCGGACAAGTAGCCGGCCCGACCCACCAGCACCTCGTCGCAGCCGTATTTGGTGTGGGTGAACTCCTTGCTGGACGGGATGCCCGACTTGAAGTTGGCCAGGTCATTGGACAGCTCTTCGGTGTCTTTGTTGGCCTGTGAGATGGCCGCCGATACGGCGTAGATGCCGGCATTTCCGCAAAGGAATGAGTATCGCTCTGCGGAACGTTTCTTGTAGCGCTTGGCATTCGCTTTGGCATTCCGGATGAAGGCTGTGGCGTGCTCCAATGCCGGATAGAGATCTCGGGTCTGTTCGCAGCTGGCCAGCTTCCAAAACATGAAGGCGATGCCGGCATTGCCCACATACAGATCCCCGCGATGGTCCTCCTCCTCGCTGCTGGGATGGCACGACTCCAAGATGGCATCTACATAGGTGCAGATGAGATTCTTGATGTGCTCCTCATCGCTGGCGAACGGAGTGTTCTCGCCGCCGGCAAAATCGGGAAATGGATTCTTAAGGTAGCGGCGCTCCATCTCGTCGTGGTCCTGCTCGTCTTCTTGGGGCTCCGCCTGCTGGCGAGTGTTGAGATAACCGCTCTGGCTAGCTATCCTCTGGTCTTCAGCAGGATTGGCAATAGCGGCTGTAACGAAACTCCTTCATATTAATACATCTGTATATATGTAGTCAGGTGGCAAATCGATTTGCCGGCTTTGAAGGGCGCGGTCTGCGGTCTGGCGTCTGCCCCGCCCCACACTCCCACACTCCTTGTCACAACTCACCTGTCTCAGGTGGAAACGGATGCTTAGCCTTCGAACAGTAACCCCTGGATGTATTGCGAACCTGCAAATCAGGCATATGGAAGTAGATATCACGTATTAATACTATAATTTTCACTTATTACCAAAAAAGGTCGTGTTTCAAGTGTCGAGCTCGCTGAGGAAGCTTATTTTTTGTGTTTATTCTTTTGAAAATCAATCACAACCTTTGCAGTCGGCCTGACACTTCTTTCAAAGCCAGCTATATTTTATTTCTATATTTTTTAAATACAACTTTACGATTGCCGAGCTTGTCGGCTAATATTCAAGGGTCCTGGCGGCTTGTTAAAAGTGTCCTGCAAAGTTTCTTAAAGCTGCGCGACTATCGAGTGCCGGCTATCGGCTGAAATATCGATAACAGCTACGGTAAATTCCGACTAAAATGTCTAAAGTTTATTATGTAAACAATTAACTATTAAATTAGAAGCTTAAAAAAAATATTTTCCTACTAAAAAAAAAACCAAGAACATATACTATAGATTAAGATTATCCCATTTTTTTAACTTAATAAGTGGTATTACAACATACGATAGTAGCAACTTTGCATTTTCATAAAAAATATAATTATTTAATTATCAAAACAACTAAAATAAAAGCCATATACTGAATACTAAAGTTAGCAACTAAAAACACTTAAAATTCATTTTTTAAACTAAAAAATACATTTATTTTTGAGATAGTCCTTTTTAAAACAAACTTTTATGATTTGCTTATCAACTCAATCGGTTTATTTTAACAAGAATATAAATTTATGTATACATGTAGGTTATTATCCCTGGATCACATTTGCATGGTTTACTTCCTGCGCTGACCACCACTCAGAATGGTGACGATGCGGATGAAGATGTTCAGTACATCCATATAGATGGACATCGATCTAAAATGAAACAAAAATCCTAGTTAGGAAAATATTCCATTGGTTGTGCCATGATAGATAGATACTTACGCGTTGATAGGATCATATGGGGCATAGGCATACTGTGGATAAACTTCAGCTTTGCGCACCATACGCTGGGTGTCGTAGAGAAGGAAACCACTGAACAGAACCAGACCTCCATACAAGGACATTGAGGCCAGACCTGGAAGAACAAACAAGTATAACACCATTCCCTACGAAAGGAATATATTTCGATAGGACTTACCAGCTCCCAGGGCTGTGGTGGGCGGCAGCCACATGGAGGCCAGCGAGGAAGCAAAGACCACTCCCAGACCAATGGCCAGGGGTCCACCCATAGCCAGGAACTTGTCGCTGGGGGCACACGCCGCGATCGTGGACAAGCCTCCGACAATGCCGCCAGTGTAGAGAGCGGCGCGCGTTAAAATCGGTCCGCCCATGAAGCAGATGGGAGCGATAACGGCTCCCAGAATGGCGCAGTGCACCGCCCAGGCCAGGTGCTTGGGCCCCAGACCCGGCTGGTAGTCAATTGACCTGGCCACGGCCCCGCTGCCGATAACAAGAGCTAGAGAAGCAATGGTTGCCTGTCCGGATGAAGTGTTTGGTTATGTTGTGTTTCATGTGTGTGCCGCCAACATGGGGTTTCGAATCAGACTTACCAAAATACCACCACGAGAGGTCAGCTCCAGGAGGCGAGGTGAACGGAAAACGGCTGCGGCAGCAGCTGCAGTCAGGACACAAGATCCTCCGAAAAAGGCATATGTACTCTGAATGCGATCCCTTACATATTCCGGCCACATTCTGTAATAAAAGAATGAAAGTTTATAAGCTTACTTCTACAAGACTATGGATGACTATCAGAATTTCACGAAAGAGATGATTCATGACATCAGATAGCATAAAAATGCATCTTTAGGGCCATCAGCTTATGGTAAACTCACATGGCATTGTCGGCAATGCTGGTGTGCTTGCCCAATCCCACGCCGTAGTAGCATAGAGCGCCCAGTCCCACAGCAGCGGCTCCAGCGGCAGCGCCCTTGCCCATGGAATAAGCTGAAAGAGGCGACCATAAGGAAAAATGTGATTACACAAGAACCCGAGTGATGTTACAGAGCCATCTCTTACCATTGGCGCTTGGCGGACCCATCAGTTTCTCCTTGAGCGAGGGAGCCCGCAATGTTTGCTGCTCCACGGGAGCCCGGGTACGGACCGGACCACGGGCGTAGTTGCGCACCACCGCCATGTTGGGCTTGGCGCGGAGCAGATGCTCCGGAGCCTGGTTAAGAAGATTGAGACTGCCGGCGGCAGGACGGACGGCCGAAAGTGCAAGGCGCAACATTTTGTTGTTGTGATGAAATACTCTGGATAATACGAATGTCACGTTTCACAGCTGTGCGATAATGTAGTCTTGCTGGGAATTTCGGTTGCCTTTGTATTCGTTTCTATTTTCCTCAAAATAACTGCGTTTATTCGTTTTTCGTGCAGCTTATATTTCTATTATTGTTGTTTCGTAGCAAGTTCTAGTAACTGTGTTTAGATATGTCACCTTCTGTGCGATACACATATGGCTGCTGTATATCGATATATTACCGATCGAAAAATCTTCCATCTCTATCAATGGTGCGATAAGTATCGAGGTGGCGGTGTTTTCAAAAATATTAAAGACGCCATGGCAAATAAAAAGCTTTAATATCTTATCTGTATCTATTATTTTAGGAAACTTATTACAATGTTTAAAATTTATATTCGTTTGTTTATTTTTATATTTTAAAATAGTTTTTTTTTCACCTAAGACACATCTTTGGTGTTGCATTTTTTGTTACATTTTTTAAGTTATGATGCTTTAATTACTAACTAGGCCTAATCTCACTCAATCACAGTGAAACAGAGAGCTACACCTGATACTTGCGCGGCGAGGGCGCTGCGGGATCCTCCACGTTCACTGGAGATCCCTTCTGGGGCCTGATCACAATCACCTCCGTGAGGTGGGACTTTCGTACAGTGCCGTAATGGTCGTAGGTGATGGTCTGCTCTACCCTACCCCCCGCATGTGACTGATAGGTTTTGCACTCGTACATTGGGCAGCATCGGGGATAATCCAGATTTTCCTCCTCGGGTTGAACTGGACGGCAGTCACCCTTAGAAAGTTTCGGCACAAGGCAACTGCAAATTAGAAATTAATTTGAAATATCATTATTTAATCTTTATATAATATTTTTAAAAATTGTAACTCACCTGTCCTCCCAGAGTTGCAGTGTCCCCAAACACTGAATCCGAATGCACTGACCCGGTCTGGTGAAGACCTCACCCACGTAAAGCTGTCTTCCAGTCACTGTATCCATGCAGAATTGATGCTCGTACACGTATGGTTCTTTTGAAATAGAAAATTATGTATTAAGGAATTAAAAATCAAAACATTCAATGTCTCAAAATTGATTTTTCATTAATTTTTTGTTAAAAGGATTTCCAAAAACCATTTATTAGTCAATGATCCTTTTATTCTTACGTCGATAAGGCACGCCCGCGTCAATTCCCACTACAACTAGGGATACGATCAGGAATATATATCTAAAAGTTTTGAGTAACTCCATTTTGGGGGGACGGATGGACAGAATTTCTGGCCCGACGTTTGCAAAGTTTACCGCACAACTGATCTCTGTACTAATCTTTCTTCATTTTTATAATGAGGAAACCAACAACAAAAAATTATACAAAGTACATTTTTGTCGATGTCTGGGTTTTGTCTATATATGTACATATATACATATATTTTAAATCACACACTTGCTACATTTGCGTGCTTTCTCTCTACAATGAATTTAACAATTTTTACTTGAATGTTTATATGTGTAAATGGCCCATTTACAGTGTGTTTCATAAATAAATTAATGGACAAAATTTCAATTTTTATAATGTTCCTAAAACTCTGAAAAACTGGTATTTTAACATGTAAATTTTATATATTTAACAGCAAAATTTATTTTTAAAAAGATTGTAAAGATACAATATCCTTATAGCTATGGAAAGCACTGTATAATGTTCTGCTTATCGCTTTGCCGCAATTAGATCCATAACAACAAGAACAATAGCAACATCAATATGCAAAATGAAACAAATATCGGCTCATGACTATATGTATGGGGTTTTTTTTCCATTTGACCTGTTCTCTATCAGTCCTGTAGACACTATACACATAAAAAATAGTAGAATCTATGCTTAACTGTTTTAAATTCATTTAAAAAAAAATAAATAAATAGTTTAAAAAACAAACCCTGCTTTCTTTCCAACTATACTTTTGCTTATGTATATTTTTTCTCCAGCGAAAATAAACATTTTTTCTGTGTATGTTTATTTATAAGCGGTTTGTTGATTTTCTGAAGTTCAATTTTACGAATTCGTTGTTTATATTTTGATTTGCTCAGCGCCATTATCTTCATTATGCAGACATTGGGGCACTGGGGCAACATTTGATGACTCATACTCCTTGATTTTGTTTCCAAAAATTTTTGTTTTCAAAAATTGCCAGTATAAAGTTTCCAGTTGAATGGATTTTTACGGGGAAATACCCTTTTTTTTTTTGAAAACACGGAAATCGATTGGTAGACCTGGTTAACTTTTTTCAATTCGTAACTAATCATCAGATTCATTCAGAATCTGTTCATGCGATAAGCCCTTCCAATCCCGAAACCAAATCACATTTTATACATATACTTTGTAATCAGTGGCGACGTCTAATCAATTCTGAAACGATTACAAGAAATGCGATGAACCCAGTGTGACCCCATCCGGCCGGAGAGGGCAGAAGAAGATGAAGAAGTACCGTAATGTTCGCACGACTGCAGTTGCAAATTTTTTTGTGGACAGCATTTCCGGCGGAAGCTGTCAACGTGACAGTTTAGCCGTTTACTTTCGACGCTAGGCAATTTTTCACTTAAGTCTGTAAAGATGAAAGCCAAGTTGGTTATTGGCTAAAATCGTTGCCTATTTTTAGGAATTTCGCAAGCCAATTATTGGCATATTTTTTAGCTAAACAACAATTAATTATTATACATTTTAAATATAATAATTTGACTAGTCTAGACTTGACTTGTGCTTAGTACTATTGTTAACCTTAATGTATAATAATGCCATAAAAATTAAGCTGCGTAAGACTGACTTTTAAGGTTTTAATCAATTAAACTTGAATCAATTAATTGACACAAAAAAGTGTCTTGTAAGCGTCTAGACTTGGTTTGTTTGTGGAATTAGTATTTAATTTCTTGAAGACTCCATTGATATTAATTATCAATTTAAAAGTTATTTCTTAAAATAAAAACCTCTATGTCATGTTAATTTAATGGGAAATAAAATGGCAAAAAGAGGCCAAATAACTTGATTTGTCCTTTCCAAGGGCATTGCTTATTTTTATCCAATGAGGAAAGGTTTAAAAATGTCTTAAAAAAAGGCATTTAAAAATATTTTATTCAATTTTTACAAAAGTAAAGCGCATTTGCTTAAAGGCTTTTGCTTAAATCCAGTTCTACTGATCTTTGACCCACAAGGGGTTGCTGAGAGTCCAAGTGCGAGTCTGAAGTGAGAAACTTAAATGAGAATCCAGTTTAGGGGTTACCCTTGTCCATGACGCCACAGTTAATGCGTCATTATGATCACCACAAAAAAATACAACTAAAAATATATATAAGGAATAAAAAAACGCAACGAAAGAAGATCAATGAATGGATCGTCTCGGTTTTCAGACAAGGTTTCGGTTTCAGACAAGGTTTCGATTTTCGTATTCGTCAAGTATTTGAATGTTTGCAGTTTGTTTCGTGTTCGTCGGGGGCTTTTGGGGTTCTCGGCTTTCTCGATTCTCCATTCTGAGGCCTAGGCCGTGGGGTTGGACTTGGACTTGGGGCTTGGTCTGTTACTTGCTGCTCGCCGGCGAATCAGTTTTGTTCCGATCGCGCCACAGCGCACTTCGCACCACCACCGGCCGGCCGACCAATTCGAGAAAACCGGGTTTCACGAGAAATTAAGAATTACGTGAATACGAGTATCCGTGCGTTTCGCGAGCTCCAGAGTCCGGCAATTTCATGCGACATTTCGCCGAGTGAGTTTCTACTCTCTTCTCTAATTTCTTTTATTTTTATTTCATTTTTTTTCAAAGTGTATGTGAGTGTGAAGTAGGCAGTGCACTGTAAAAAAAATTTATAATAAACAAGGAAATATGTTAAGAATACAAGACAAATTTTAAGATTAAGAACCTTAAGGTTTACGGTTTTTTTTAAGTAACTATACTATAAAAGCTATAACTTTACAGTAGAGTTTACTGTATAAATTAATATTAAATTTATGATAATATATGTTTTTAGTAAAGTAAATTAAAGTAATAATTTATGAATTTATAAACTACAATTTTCTTAAGCCAAATATTTGTTTTGTACTTTTAAAAGCCAAATTCTCACATTCTAAACAACTTTTCTTCCTTAAAAAGTATGAATCTACTCAATTATTATTCACAGTGTATTAAGTTAAGGCAACAACTGCAACAATAAAATGCAATTAAGCTGCTCAAATCAACAATAAATTGAATTAAACCGCGTCAACACGACAAAAAAAAAACAACAAAACCAGCCAAAGACTCGATTGAAATGTGGGTGAGACAACTCTCCGGGTATTGTAACTCCAGCATCCCGGAATCCGGTATTCTAGTTACTGGACTCAGAGACCCGTGTAGTCGACACCCTTTATTTTCTGGACCAATTAATGCTAATTTTTTTTTAATAACTTTTTGATGTAATTAATCGGCTGTGATCTTTAATGTTTCCACAATTTTACGCGAATATTGAATTTTATTTTGCAATTTATTTTCCAGTTTGAACAATTTAATTAACATTCCCTCTATGGCTGATAAATATGAAATTAAAGTGTAATTAACTATTATTACTTCTCTTTTTGTTGTTGCTGTTGTTTGGTTTATGGTTTTTGTGGGTTAAAAGGGATTTCCGTTTCAAAGAGCCACACTCGCCGGATCGATGGATGTTTTTGCATCTTAATGAGGATAAATTTGTTATTGTCCAAACGATGTACTATATATGTACTATAGTATGTATAGGGGATGCCTACCGGGATGTTTGGGTAGTGGGCGGGGCGGGGCATCCATGGAGTGTGACTTATTGGCCCAATGCATTATGCCATATTAATTGAAACTTGTCGCTTGGCTAGCTAATTATGCAGACTCGATATTAATTAGTGTAGTTCCAAATGTTCAAGGGGCTAGGCGTTTAATTGGCTTTTCATGGCGATTAAGAGGTTTATTTCTTGGTATTTGTACAGTTTAAATTTTAATAAATATAATTGAGTATGGCTTGGACTACTTTAAGACTAAAAAGTAGGAATAAAGACTCTTTAAAGATTAAAGAGAGTTTAATTGGTATTTTTTTGATATTTTTCATTAGCTGTAACCTATGAGAAGCGAGGAGAAGAGCTCTGCCATTGGAAATAGTATTTTAAAAGTATTTTTCAGTACCTTAATTTAGTATTTATAGTCCCTATTTTTAAGCAGCTCTATATATTTTATTTTTAAAACAAAAAAAAGAGTATCAAAGCCAATGACTTGATGATTGGCTTTGCTTTCTCATTCTTTTTTGCTTAAATTAACATAACTTTGGAATTAACTTATGCACTTTACATTCTCCATTGAATACGGTTTTTGACTTTTAAATTTGATTTTTTAATGTTCTCTCTTGCTAATTAATTAATTTTATTTTCAGTTAAATGCGGCAGCTAAAATGTAAATTCGACAGTGCCCGCGAAGCAAGCAAAAAAATAAAACCGAAACTTAATTAATTAATAAAATCGATTAAAAGTTAAACAGCCGGTTTTGCGGAGAGTCTCTCCATTTCAGCGCTTTGATGATTATGTTTTGGCAACAAAATGTAGATCAAGAATCCAAGCAGAAGAATCCTGAAAGCCCTGCGGGTTCTAAGAGTCCTTCGCGGCGTTTTAACATCAGTTTTAATGTGAAAATAGCCGTGAATGTGAACACCAGGATGTGCAATAGCCACCTCAGCCAGCAGGCCTCGTCGTCCTGCGAGAATATCGTCCAGGAACGCCGCAATACCTTCGATCTCCGCCAGAAACTCACCCGGTTGGGTCGCCAACTTACCAGCGGCCAGGACGGGCATGGTGGCATCTCCACGATTCTGATCATCAATCTCCTGCTTCTCATCCTGCTCTCCATCTGCTGCGATGTGTGCCGTTCCCACGATGGCCGAGCCTTCAACTACACGGCTCCTCGCAGTCCCGAACCACTCAAGGACCTCAAGCAGATGGGCCTGCTCCGACCGAAACTGGATAGCGATGTAGTGGAAAAGGTGGCCATTTGGCACAAACACGCGGCAGCCGATCCTCCCAGCATTGTCGAAGGCATAGCCATAAGTAGTCCGGCTGCAGGGTCGCCGGATTTGGTTAGCCCTAACAAGGATTCGCCGGAGCTGGAGCCGGAGCATGGTCAGGATCAGGAGCAGAGTGTGGATGAGAGAGTGGTACTGGAACGGGTCACCCGGGATTGTGTGCAGCGTTGTATTGTGGAGGTGAGTTAACAAATATATAAATATTATCTGGTTTTACGTTCATAACTCTTATATAACTCTTTATACTTGGCTCTCACCTTGTTTATAGTTTCGAGTATCATATAGGGAAATGTTATAGAACTCCGAAAAATAGATTTTCTATAACTTCCACCATAATTCATGTATATTCAGAAGCTCAGCACAAACTCTACTCAGTTTACTTGAAAAAGCCCTTAAATGTTATCTTTAAGAAATATTAAACCTAATGAGCAAAAAAAGGTGAAAAAAGTGAAGTACTTTTTGTTGAATGAAATGTTTATTTCTAGTTTTGCATATGTCAACAGTAGAATCAGCACAACAAGCCAAACTCCAATGCCATTTAAATGTTAAACAACAAAACGTTTAAATTGTAGTTTATCATTTAACAAAAAAAAAAAAGAAAATAATAAAAAAAAAGCCAACAGAGAGTAGAGTTTTTTTTTTGTATATAAATGGGTTAAATGGGATTTACTGATTGCTACATAGAGTGGCAGTTAATCGGTTTAATCTCTGGCCTGTAACATCTAATTAAGTGATATGTGTGTGTACTAGATAATGGAGGATCGTCGGATATTAAATTCCAAGCATTTTGCAGTTTTGTGGGCGGATGATGAAAGCAAATTCCGTGTCCGTGCCAGAGTTGACATTTCAATTTTGTCCAACAGATCGAGATTAAAAGATTTTCCGAGACCAAAAACTATATATGTATGATATGATTGTATGTTCATATATTATTTGGGTTACTCGAAAGCTTTATTGCAATTTGCATACTAGAACGGTTGGTAATGTAGGTGGGTGGGTGGTTTTGGATGGGATGAGTACTGATGGTGCGATGTCGCCTGCTCGTACAGCCCTCGTTTCAATAGAATATTTAATTTGACATTTAATTCAGTTTACTTGCATATTTGTTCTTTACATTTGCATATGATTATAACACAATAATTTCTATGGAAAGTGGCTTTAATTATAACTTTAAATTATATTTTGATTTTATTTCTTTAGATAATATTTCAACAAAATTGCCTTGAGTTTCTAGAAAAGCAACCAAGCATTTTGCCAGAATATATGCATCAGCATCTAAATTATATTGACCAAAGTCCTAAATATACATTCTCATATCCACCTTGATAACCACATCCCTGCCAATGCCAATGGGCATTCGTATGATTCGTAATTAGTATATTATTATCAGAGCGTGTGTAATAGGAGTAAGCTGCATGTTAATCAGTGGTTCGACTTGCACTTCATTCATTAGCCAAACGCCATTGTTGTAATCCCTTCTGGTGCACAGAACAGACCACCTCCACCTCCCCACCCTGTCAATGCCTACGCCCCTGGCTGCCAATTAAAATTAATGATAACCGAACGATTCTCTCTGATTGGTAATATGAATGAGATATGGCTGAATGAGCGAAAGGATTTTCACAGATTATGGATGAAATTAATGCGCTCTGCTCTATTCATAAATTGAGCCATTGTTTTAGCAAACTTTAATGTATTTCTAGGTTTATTCTACAATTAAATGCTATATAACCCGTTTGTATTTTATCTGTTTTTTGTTCTTAAATTATAGCTTTATTTTCTATCAAGAATTTTCTTATAACCTAGAAACCTAGAGTTTCGAACAAAAGAGATGCCATTAAGATTTTTCGCCTTGTTCGCATCGTCAGTGAGCAAAATGTTTAGCCAATTTATGTGAGAGTGTATTTTCTGGGGGACATGTTCATAGATTTTATTTACATTCTAGGTTATTTCTATAGAACCTTTTAAAGTTAAAAAAATAACGTTATATCAGCTTAAATTATAGATTATATCACTGTATATTTAAGAGAATAGAAGTTACAAAATCTTTTTAAATTTAAATAAGCTGTTTCTGTACATATTCTTTAAAGTTTTTTAATACTACTTTTAGGTTATGAGATTCAAGTACAGTTCTTTGTTTTCTCAAAAGCAAGTAGAGGTGGGGAAACATCGAAGTTCTATCGATGATTTTTGCGATGATTCATATGTTGTTTTGTTTGAAACTATCAAACTTTCAAGTTTTTTTAGAAACGTACTCCTTTTTCCAATTTTAATTAAAAATGCCTTTTTTTTAATAGAATATATTACACACATTATAATTTCTAGTTTAAAATATATTTAAAGGAGAGGCTTTTATATTTTATCTCTTTTTTTTTATAAATATCTGCTCCTATTATTGTCACCTTGGGTATACTTCACCCTGTGCCTGTATATTTTCTTTGGCTTTGCTTTTCCAGAGCCTGACGGCAGCGGCACCGCCAGCAACAACAATGCCACAATAATGGTGTCAATAACACACCAGCCCAGTCTGCCTTGCCACGCCCCCTTCCCGCCCTGTTTGTGTGTGTGAGTAGGTCTCCAAGTTAATGTAATAGAAATTGTACAACAAAAGATGAGCAATGACGACATGAAAACCCCCAATGCCAATTAGTCGTAGAACTCTGGGGCCTCTGGCTCTTCTCAATTCTCCACTCAGTTCTCACTTTGGATTCCCCCGTCCACGTTTTTGGAAGAAATAGGGCAGGAGACTGCTCTCGAATGCTATTTCTCTTTGTGAAAAAGCCAATCAAGCTAAATTAATAAAATATTACGTAGAATTCTAAATTAAATTGAAGCATGTGCGAAAAAAAAACAAAATATATACACACAATTTTCTCAAAACGTGTGTGTGTTTTGTGAGGGGGGGAGTGGAAAAAAAAGAAGAAATCCATGTGAGGGGGAAATCCCTTGGTAATTACTAGTCCATTTAGTAAGCCAAGGCAACACACACAATTAACAAAGTTTGCCATTTTAAGGAGTTTGTAATTGGCGCAGGGGGCACTTCCAAATGGTCTAAATCGGGTTTTAAGTGCCAGCTTTCCGTTTCCATTTCCTTTTTCTTTTTACTTTTTTTTTTTTTGTATGTTTTCTTTGTCAGGGAACTGTGAGCCATGGCTAAAAGGATTTTCTGACTTTCAAGGCTAAAACAGAGTATTTTATGCCTTTGGGAAAACATAAAAGTCATTGTTGCCAAGGGGTTTTTTTAATAATTATCTTGAACTATGTTGGGTGTGCTAATTTTAACATTTTATTTGATTAGGAAATAGGTATGGTTCTTTATTGTTTACTTTTCTTTATTTATATAATTTTATTGGTGACCCCGTTTAACTGAATTAATGTTTAAATAGTAATTTATATAATATAAATCAAACTAAATATATTTATAATAATAATTTTCAATGAAAACATTTTAAAGACAGTCTTAGTTTTATTCGCTTTTAAAATCTTGTTCTTATCACTTTTGGTGACCCCGATTTTTGCGGATATATATTTAACCCTTTGTTGACCAAAGTCCAGGCCATTCAAATCGGCAAACTCAACTTGTTCAACTCAAAACTTGTTTCTCTCAAAAAAGCAACAAATTTTAACTCAAATTTATGCAAAAATTCTCGGAAATCTTAAACTCAATGCAAAATTAAACTAGTTTTTATAGCATAGGCTTAGATTTGTTGTTTCAAAATAAATTTTCGATTTTAAAATTAATTTCTTAAGAAACAAAAGTCAACAGTAATTAAAAAAAATTAATTAAAAGACTTTTTTCAGTGGTTTCTTTAAAAGTCACTCCCTTATTGTTTTAAAATGTTTCCCACGACATCAAAAACCCCACAATTTCCGTTCTCAGGACCCACAATATACTAATTGTTTACACTTTTACTTTATTTTTGTTGAATTTCCAGGAGGATCTGTTTCTGGACGAGTTCGGCATTCAATGCGAAAAAGCCGACAACAGCGACAAGTGCTACAAGACACGAGTAAGTATTTAGATTTCAACTGGACACCATGTAATGGGATATGGGTTTTAAGGGACGAGTAATGAATGGTGTTCCAGGGTAGCCACAAAGGGTGATCTGTAATCCGACACCCACCTGTTGACCGCATTTAACAACAATAAAAAAAAAAAAGAAAGAAAGAAAGACCAGTTAGTTGGAGAAGAACTCAAAGTGCATGATTCTTTCCCAATCGTTTTCTTTTTCCAAAAAGCACAGGAAACCATTTAGAAGAATTTGTAGCCGATTCGGTTTTGGTTTGGACCTGTTCCAGGATTCAGGTTTTCTTAACGCTGACAAGGACATCCTTGTCCTAGTCTTCGGTTATATATGGTCTTGAGTTAAAAACTTTAAATTTTGGAAAACTGTACAATTCAAAACACACATAATTTAATAAAGCAAGTTTGGCTTTTAAAGCAAAGGTTTCGGACAGGATTTATGGATTCTATGACTAACAACAAAATGTTATCCCTTTCAGTGCACCAAGGGCTGTTCTCAGTGGTATCGCGCTCTCAAGGAACTGGAACCCTGCCAGGAGGCCTGCGTAAGTGAGCTCCCAAATCCCAGAACGCACTCTCCCATTCTCTCCACCACTGCCACAAACATCCCCAGACCCCAGATCTTCACCAGAATGATCCTCCACCACGTTGTTTCCTGTTGTACAGTCCTCACTGCAGTTCTACCCCCACGATATGCCCTGCATCGCCGCCTGCGAGATGGCCCAGCGGGACTACTGGCATCTCCAGCGCCTGGCTATGACCCAGCTGGTGGAACGGACCCAGCCCCAGTTGGAGCGTTCGCCGCGTTCAGATGGACAGCCGGCTCCCCTCACAATACGCTGGGCGATGCATTTTCCGGAGCACTATCTGGCCAGTCAACCCTTCAATATCCAGTATCAGTTTCTCGATCATCATGGCATCGAACAGGATGTGGAAGAGGACGAGGATGAGCAGGTTGTAGAGGGGCATCAGTCGGCTGAGGATGAGCGGTCGAGCACTTGGTTGAATCTGGTGGACTATGATTGTGATGAGTACTATGTGTGCGAGATATTGGAGACTCTGATGCCATACACTCAGTATAGGGTGAGTTGGACTCCAGGATTCCAAGATACCAAATTTGACCAAACCTCTATAGTTTCGTTTCGAGCTACCTTTCGGGGAGAGCAGCGAGGATGTCCTTTATTCGCCACCCACTCCGGCCTATCAGACTCCGCCCGAAGAAGCTCCCATCTCTGCGCCGGTTATCGACCATCTAGTGGCTCTGGACGAAAGCCATCTGGCCGTCCACTGGCATCCGGGACGCTTCACCAATGGACCCGTTGAGGGCTATCGCCTGCGTTTAGGATCAGGGTCAGAAAACATGACAGAACAGGTGGGTCTTGATCTTATATCCTTTAAGGAGTTACTAAAGTTCTATATCCTGTCTCTGGTATCCAGTTAATGCCTTCGATGCGGGGTAGCTATGTCTTCTCCAAACTCCAACCGGCTACCAACTATAGTCTGGAGATCACGACGATCAATAAACATGGTGAGGGTCCGGCCGGAAGGGCTTATATAGCCACTCTTCCGGCGCGAAATGAAAAGCCCGTTAAGGATCTAACCGAGGCTGTGCTCCTGGCCGGAAAGAGGACTATCGTTTGGCAATCTCTGGAGCCGGGTGGCGAGAGTTCGATGATCTATCAGTCGCAGGCGGAGCTACTGGACATAGCCTGGTCACAGCAGCATCAGCAGCTGTGGCTACTGGACACCTACGGGGAATTGAGAAGGTAAGGATGAGATACCAGGGTGGACCAACTTTATAGTTCTTTTCCGGGCAGTCTCCAGATATCCTCCGGACAGTTGAAGGCTCCCGCCGAGAAGCTTCAATTGGAGCTGAGGAATGCAACCAATGGAGACCAGTGGACGCCAAGGAAACTGAGCTACGACTGGCTACAGCACCGCTTGTACTTCGCCATGGAGATCCTGGGAAGGGATTCCCCTCCGAAGTACCAATTTGTGTCCACGGATGTCAAGGGTGAAGCTGTTGCGGTGTTGGGAAGTCCTTTCGAGTTGCCAGTTCTCCAGATGGAAGTTGATGCCCTAAACGGTTGGGTCTTCTGGACGGATGAGCAGGATCTGTGGCGTCGGGATATGAGTGGTGGGGACCGATTGCGTCTCGCCAGGATCCGGCAACCAGGATGGTTTGTCCTGCAGCCGAGGAACTGGCTGCTCCGCTTGCACTTGCCGCAGGAGGAGAAGATGCTGGAGCTGAGCTACGACGGAGAGTTCAAACAGCCACTGGCCGCTGGAGGAGTTGCCTCCGCCTTCGCCCTGCTGGGTCGCCACCTTCTCTTGGCCAAGGATCTGAAGCAATTGAACCTGATGGACCAAGGAACACAGGCAGTGGCCGCCACGTGGCCCCTAAGGAACGTTCCCGATTGCTGTTACTCGATGATACTCTTGGATGCGGATCTCCAGCCGCCGAGCAGCTCCGGAGGAAGACCGCGTCGTCTTAAGGCCCTCCTGGGATCGCAGGCAGCCAAGATCTCGTGGCTGGAACCGGAGCACAATCCATACCAGTCTCCGAAGGTCTTTCGCAGCTGGAGCTACGAACTGGAGGTCCTGGACGTGGCCAGTCAGAGTGTCTTCAATATCAGGAACATCCGGGTGCCCTTCTTCGGCCTGCAACGCCTTCAGCCGGACAATCTCTACCAGCTCCGGGTGCGGGCCGTCACAGCGGAGGGCGAGCCTCGGGAGTGGACGCCCTACCTCTCGGCCCGGACGTGGCCACTGGGACCGCATCGGCTGCGCTGGTCCAGCCAGCAGGGAAGGCTCTATGTCACGGACGAGCTGGGCGAGGGCTTGGAGGAGCAGACGGGATTTCCCGCTCTGGCCCAGCAGCCAGGACCCATGACAATGGTCAACGAGAGTACGGGATATTATGTCACCGAAAGCGGACAGATGCACTGCATCAATCTGAGGCATCAGCCGGGGACATGCCCGATGCCCGAGCCCGCCAATCATGTGGGATCCGTGACGTATGACTGGCGGGGAGGGCGTCTCTACTGGACGGATCTCGCGCGGCACTGTGTGATTCGCATGGATCCCAGGAGTGGGAAGCGTGAACTGTTGCCCATCTTCGATGCCCGCTCCCTGGCCGCAGACTCCCGTCAGGGTCACCTCTACTACTCCACCAGGTCCCGCATATCCCGACTAGGTGGTACTCCGGAGGAGTCATTGGACTACATTCGTATGACTGGACTGGAGGGCATCATCGTCTCCTTTGTCTTGGACACCCAGCAGGATCTGCTTTATGGGCTAACCTCGGGATCCTCCATCCTTCGGCTATACAGGACGACGATGACTTTCTCCGAAGAGGAGCCCCAGATGGTCTGGGAAATGAAACGGCAGCACAACCTGCCGCGGAGTCTCCAACTGGTGCGTCCTTTGGGGGCCCTGACTTGGCTGGAACGAGGTGGCCAGAGGGCCCGGTTGTTTCGCCTCACCTCCCCGGAAACCAGTGCCATGGTCTTGAAAACCCCGTCGGAAGCTTCTCCGGCTACGGCGTTGCAGTTGCAGGGAGATGAGGTGCCCCCCATGCCGGACGATGGAGTAATTCCCCAGCCAGTGTCCGCCGAGAGTGTGCGTCTGGATGACGGACACTGGGACGACTTCCATGTCCGCTGGCAGCCCTCCACCTCTGGCGGAAACCACAGCATTTCCTACCGGCTGCTCCTGGAGTTTGGCCAGAGGATCCAGGCCCTGGATCTGAGCACCCCGTTCGCCCGGCTCACTCAGCTCCCCCAGGCCCAGCTGCAGCTGAAGATCAGCATCACACCGCGCACGGCATGGCGAAGTGGTCCCACCACCAGAGTGGTCCTGACGACACCGCAGGCGGCGCCCACCCAGCCCCGGAGACTGCGCGTCTTTGTGGAACGCCTGGCAGCTCCGCTCAGGGATCCGAATGTGAGTGCCCTGCTCCGATGGGACTCCCCGGAACAGGGACAAGATGGGGGCGCCAGTGCCGTGCAGGCCTTGGAGTATCATATCAGTTGCTGGCTGGGATCGGAGCTGCACACCGAGCTCCGGCTGAATCAGAGTGCTCTGGAGGCGCGCGTGGAGGGCCTGCAGCCGGACGAAACGTATCACTTCCAGGTGGAGGCCCGGGTGGCTGCCACTGGAGCGGCAGCCGGAGCGGCCAGTCATGCTCTGCACGTGGCGCCTGAGGTTCAGGCCGTGCCCCGCCTGCTCTACGCCAACGCGGAGTTTATCGGAGAACTCGACCTGGACACCCGGAGCCGCAGGCGTCTCGTGCACACGGCCAGTCCCGTGGAGCACCTGGCGGTGATCGAGGGCGAGCAGCGACTCCTGTGGGTCAATGAGCACGTGGAACTGATGACCCACGTGCCGGGCACCACGCCGGCCAAACTGGCACGGATGCGGGCCGAGGTCCTAGCCCTGGCCGTGGACTGGGTCCAGCGGACGGTCTACTGGGCGGAGCTGGACGCCGCTGGCGGTGGTCCGAAGTCGGCGGTGATCTACCGCCTGGATCTGTGCCGGTTCGAGGGCAAAATCCTGCAGGGCGAGCGCATGTGGAGCACTCCGCGCGGTCGCCTGCTCCGGGATCTGGTGGCTCTGCCACATGCCAGTTCCCTTGTCTGGCTGGAGTTCAACGAGACATCCCCGAGGGAGGGTACCCTCAGAGGCAGGAACCTGACGGATGGATCCGCTTTGGAGCTCACCACCCAGCAGCAGGTGATCCGACTGTACAGCGGCAGCTTGGAACCGGGAGCCGAGACCCTCAACCTGGTGGATCAGCAGGGCAAGCTGTGCGTCTACGACGTGGCCCGGCAGCTGTGCACGGCCAGCGCTTTGCGGGCTCAGCTGAGCCTCCTCGGCGAGGACTACTCCACCGGACAACTGGCCCAGGATTCGGGCTACCTCTACGCCCTGAGGAACGCCAGTATTCGGGCCTACGGCCGGCGGCGCCAGCAGATGGAGTACTTGGTGGAACTGGAGCCAGAGGAAGTGCGTCTGCTTCAAGCTCACAACTACCAGGCTTATCCGCCAAAGAGCTGCATGTTCCTGCCCGCAACGGGAGGAGTGTCCGTGATGAACGAAGATCTCGAGTGCCGGGAAGAGGAGTGCCACATCCGGTTGCCGTGGGTGCGGGCCGGAAAGGAGTGCTCCCTCCCAGTGCCCGGTGTCAGGTACCAGCTGAACCTCACGCTGGCCAAGGATTCCGAGGAAGTGGCGCCCCTGGGGCAGTGGCTACTGAATGCAGGGGATGCCCTGAACATCACAGATCTCCAGCCCTTCACCCGATACACCCTGAAGGGTGTCCTCAGTAGCTTCTACCAAACGAAGCTGGCGCTGCCCACCCTGGAGCTATCCCCCACCGAGCTTCTAACCGCTCCGGCCACCCCCTCGGCGCCCAGGAACTTCAGCGCCCGGGTCCTGAGCCCCACGGAGCTGGAGGTCAGCTGGCTGCCACCGGAGCAGCTACGCAGCGAGAGTGTCTACTACATGCTCTACTGGCAGCAGGAGCCGGACGACGAGAACTCCGTGCAGGATCTCAGGGAGCAGCGCCTGGAGGTGGCGGGGAGTCATCGCTTGGCGGGCGTGAAGCCCGGATCTGGGTATCGTCTCTGGGTCCTGGCCCATGCCACCCCCACCAAGGCCAACAGCAGCGGTCGCGTCCATGTGCGCAGCTTTCGGAGCTCCCGGAGCTGCAGCTACTCGAACTGGGGCCCTACTCGCTCACCCTCACATGGGCGGGTACGCCGGATCCCCTGAGCTCCCTCCATCTGGAGTGCCGTTCGCCGGGCGAGCAGCTCCGCCGGAACGTGGCCGGGAATCACACTCGCATGGTGGTGGAGCCACTGCAGCCCCGAACCCGCTACCAGTGCCGTCTCCTTCTCGGCTATGCCACCACGCCGGGATCACCGCCGTACAACGGGCCGATCGAGGAGTACGAGACCCTAGGGGATGCTCCCAGCCAGCCGGGGCGGCCCCAGTTGGAGCACATAGCTGGGGAGGTCTTCCGCGTCACCTGGACTCCGGCGAGGGGCAACGGAGCCGCCGTTGTGCTCTACAATCTGGAGGCGCTCCAGGCCAGGAACAGTCGGAGGCGAAGACGTCGTCGGCGAAGGAATGCGGAGAGCGGGGGATCCGTGGAGCAGCTGCCGTGGGCGGAGGAGCCGACGGTGATGGAGGATCAGTGGCTGGACTACTGCAACACCACCGAGCTGAGCTGCATAGTCCGGAGTCTGCATTCCAGTCGCCTGCTCCTGTTCCGGGTGAGGGCGAGGAGTCAGGAGCACGGCTGGGGTCCGTACAGTGAGGAGAGCGAGCGGGTGGCGGAGCCGTTCGTTTCCCCGGAGAAGAGGGGCTCCCTGGTCCTGGCCATCATTGCCCCCGCCGCCATTGTCTCCAGCTGTGTCCTCGCCCTCTTCCTGGTGCGGAAGGGTAAGTGACCCCACATTTCCTTCTCCGATTGTCCTTAAAAGTAACGCCTCTAATTCCAGTCCAAAAGCGTCGTCTTCGCGCCAAGAAACTCCTCCAGCAGAGTCGTCCCAGCATCTGGAGCAATCTGTCCACCCTCCAGACCCAACAACAGCTCATGGCCGCCCGGAACCGTGCCTTCTCCACAACCCTGAGTGACGCGGACATCGCCCTCCTGCCGCAGATCAGTTGGAGTCAGCTGAAGCTGTTGAGATTCCTGGGCAGTGGAGCTTTTGGTGAAGTCTACGAAGGACACCTGCAAACCGAGGACTCCAAGGAGCCGCAACGTGTCGCCATCAAGGTGAGTCACTGAATATAAAATATTATTTCAAATTTTTTAGTGAAGATCCCTGCAAAAAGTGGGATTTTGGGGTATGACCCCTTGGGAGGGCTATATCTTGGCCAATTTTCATCCGATTCTTGCGGGGAATACCTTAATCGATTTGCCACAATTCTGCATCAAAATCTGGATGCAAAATATTTTTTCAATTTTTTTCATATTTTTCCTGGGGAGACCCATGCAAAAAGTGGGATTTCGGGGTATGACCCCTTGGGAGGGCTAAATCTTGGCCAAATTATATCCGATTCTTGCGGGGAATACCTTAATCGATTTGTATATCGATTTGCCACAATTCTGCATCAAAATCTGGATGCAAAATATTTTTTCAATTTTTTTCATATTTTTCCTGGGGAGACCCTGCTAAAAGTGGGATTTTGGGTTATGAGCCCTTGGAATGGCTATATCTTGGCCAAATTGTATCCGATTCTTGCGGGGAATACCTTTATCGATTTGTATATCGATTTGCCACAATTCTGCATCAAAATCTGGATGCAAAATATTTTTTCAATTTTTTTCATATTTTTCCTGGGGAGACCCATGCAAAAAGTGGGATTTCGGGGTATGACCCCTTGGGAGGGCCATATCTTGGCCAATTTCCACCCGATTCTTGCGGGGAATACCTTTATCGATTTGTATATCGATTTGCCACAATTCTGCATCAAAATCTGGATGCAAAATATTTTTTCAATTTTTTTCATATTTTTCCTGGGGAGACCCATGCAAAAAGTGGGATTTTGGGGTATGAGCCCTTGGGAGTGCTATATCTTGGCCAATTTTCATCCGATTCTTGCGGGGAATACCTTAAACGATTTGTATGTCGATTTGCCACAATTCTGCATCAAAATCTGGATGCAAAATATTTTTTCAATTTTTTTCATATTTTTCCTGGGGAGACCCATGCAAAAAGTGGGATTTCGGGGTATGACCCCTTGGGAGGGCCATATCTTGGCCAATTTCCACCCGATTCTTGCGGGGAATACCTTTATCGATTTGTATATCGATTTGCCACAATTCTGCATCAAAATCTGGATGCAAAATATTTTTTCAATTTTTTTCATATTTTTCCTGGGGAGACCCATGCAAAAAGTGGGATTTCGGGGTATGACCCCTTGGGAGGGCCATATCTTGGCCAAATTCCACCCGATTCTTGGTGGGGAATACCTTTATCGATTTGTATATCGATTTGCCACAATTCTGCATCAAAATCTGGATGCAAAATATTTTTTCAATTTTTTTCATATTTTTCCTGGGGAGACCCATGCAAAAAGTGGGATTTCGGGGTATGACCCCTTGGGAGGGCCATATCTTGGCCAAATTCCACCCGATTCTTGCGGGGAATACCTTAATCGATTTGTATATCGATTTGCCACAATTCTGCATCAAAATCTGGATGCAAAATATTTTTTCAATTTTTTTCATATTTTTCCTGGGGAGACCCATGCAAAAAGTGGGATTTTGGGGTATGAGCCCTTGGGAGTGCTATATCTTGGCCAATTTTCATCCGATTCTTGCGGGGAATACCTTAAACGATTTGTATGTCGATTTGCCACAATTCTGCATCAAAATCTGGATGCAAAATATTTTTTCAATTTTTTTCATATTTTTCCTGGGGAGACCCATGCAAAAGTGGGATTTCGGGGTATGACCCCTTGGGAGGGCCATATCTTGGCCAATTTCCACCCGATTCTTGTGGGGAATACCTTTATCGATTTGTATATCGATTTGCCACAATTCTGCATCAAAATCTGGATGCAAAATATTTTTTCAATTTTTTCATATTTTTCCTGGGGAGACCCATGCAAAAAGTGGGATTTCGGGGTATGACCCCTTGGGAGGGCCATATCTTGGCCAATTTCCACCCGATTCTTGGGGGGAATACCTTTATCGATTTGTATATCGATTTGCCACAATTCTGCATCAAAATCTGGATGCAAAATATTTTTTCAATTTTTTTCATATTTTTCCTGGGGAGACCCATGCAAAAAGTGGGATTTTGGGGTATGAGCCCTTGGGAGTGCTATATCTTGGCCAATTTTCATCCGATTCTTGCGGGGAATACCTTAAACGATTTGTATGTCGATTTGCCACAATTCTGCATCAAAATCTGGATGCAAAATATTTTTTCAATTTTTTTCATATTTTTCCTGGGGAGACCCTGCTAAAAGTGGGATTTTGGGTTATGAGCCCTTGGAATGGCTATATCTTGGCCAAATTGTATCCGATTCTTGCGGGGAATACCTTTATCGATTTGTATATCGATTTGCCACAATTCTGCATCAAAATCTGGATGCAAAATATTTTTTCAATTTTTTTCATATTTTTCCTGGGGAGACCCATGCAAAAAGTGGGATTTCGGGGTATGACCCCTTGGGAGGGCTATATCTTGGCCAATTTTTATCCGATTCTTGCGGGGAATACCTTAAACGATTTGTATATCAAGCTCTGGGAAGAAAAGATTTTTTATATTTGTTGTAAGTCCACCTAGCTAATGTAGTGTTTCCTTTTCAGAGCCTGCGGAAAGGAGCCAGCGAGTTTGCGGAACTCCTCCAGGAGGCCCAGCTGATGAGCAATTTCAAGCACGAGAACATCGTGTGCCTGGTGGGGATTTGTTTCGATACGGAGTCCATATCCTTGATAATGGAGCACATGGAGGCTGGGGATCTATTGAGTTATTTGCGATCCGCCAGGACTAATACCAGTCAGGTGGGTTGAAAGGACTAAGGACTAACTTATGCACGAGAAGACCTAACACTTTAAAAATAATTTGCAGGACTCCCAGCCTGGTCAGGGCTTGTCGCTCTCCGAGCTTCTCGCCATGTGCCTGGACGTGGCCAATGGCTGTAGCTATCTGGAGGACATGCACTTTGTCCATCGGGATCTGGCCTGCCGGAACTGCCTAGTTACGGAAGCCACAGGCGGCACAGGATCAGATCGCCGGCGAACGGTGAAGATTGGAGACTTTGGACTGGCGAGGGACATCTACAAGAGCGATTACTATCGGAAGGAGGGCGAGGGATTGCTTCCAGTTCGCTGGATGTCGCCGGAAAGCCTGGTGGATGGCCTGTTCACCACCCAGTCGGATGTGTGGGCCTTTGGAGTCCTGTGCTGGGAGATCCTGACGCTGGGCCAGCAACCGTATGCGGCGCGGAACAACTTCGAGGTGCTGGCTCACGTCAAGGACGGAGGTCGATTGCAGCAGCCGCCCATTTGTCCGGATAGGCTGTGGGTGTTACTTCCATAATATATATCTGTGCTATATCCTAATTCTGTATCCTTTTTAGTTACTCCTTGCTTATCTTGTGCTGGCGCACAGACCCTTGGGAGCGGCCTAGTTTCCGGCGTTGCTATAATACTCTTCATGCCATTGGCACGGATCTCCGTCGGAGTCAGATGGCGGGATCCGGCCAGGAGACGGTGGTCATCTCCCGGACGGAGCCAAAAGTGCGTTTCGATGAGGAGCCGTCAAGGAAGGAAAAGACAAAGGAGGAGCCGGACACGGCAGATGATGGTCTGTCCCTGCAAGAGGTAGCCGCTGGAGATGCGAGTCCGTTGAAGGAGAAGCAGCTGTACGCCAACGAAGGCGTCTCCAGGCTGTAGGGATCTATTTTTCTCACAACGTAATACACAAACAAATGTGGTCACAAATTAGCTTTCCATTTAAATTTTAAGATTTATTTTTAAGTCACAATCCTTTGCAAACATTTTTAGTAAATAATAAAAATTTATAAAAAAAAAAAACATAAAAAGTAAAGCCCCTTAAATCAAACTTTAAGTTTTGAACTTTTTCTTCTGAGCTTTCTTCGGTTTCTTATAATTCGCAACTGGTTCAGGTGCATTTCTTACCAACACCCCAAACTTTTCAGCTGAAAATCAGTTCTTGTTGTGGTAATAGACGCACCAAATCCACCGTTGAGTGGAAGAGCATCTTTTTTGGTTGCCTTCAAACACAACTGCACACACTCTTGCAGTGGTAATAGACGCACCACGCGCCACTGGTTGGTTTTCGTAAAATATTATAGTGCGGTCGCTCTTGCTTCCGCCAATTGAAAAATAAATATAAAACCCAAAAAAAATATTCTTGCAGTGGAAATAGACTCTCCAAAAAAAAGTGGTTTTAACCATTTTAAGCAGTTCCTCTGCGTTTTGCGCTTCTGTTTTCTTTGGCGCCAAAAATCCAAAAAAATATTCTTGCAGCGGTAATAAGTGAACCTCGTCCACGACCACGTCCACTGTTGATTGCTAGAATTTTGAAGAATTAGATATTCGACTTGACTTCAATGGGTTGAAGCTAAAGGCTGTATTGCGGTCGCTACTGCTTCCGCAGGAAGAATTTTTCTTCAATTCTAAATAGATTGACTACGTTCTTTACAAAATTTCAAGAATATCCGTTTCCGTAAAAATCGGTCGAAAACTGGGATTTCATTTTTTTTCATCCTATGTTACTCTTCCATGTGGCCTCTTATAATTTATACATATTCATATGTACATATATGTTCCCATTTCGAATAAATGATGTATTTTCTGCATAGATGGATTCTTTTCTTTATAAAAGTTCAAGTATATCCGTTTCCGTAAAAATCTCTCGAAAACTGGGAATACTAAAGTTTGGAATATAGCATTTGTCAGCTAATTTTCTGTTTTTTTTTTTCATCCTATATTACTTTTCCATGTGGTCTCTTATAATTTGTTATATACATATTCATATATGTTCCCATTCCGAATAGATGGATTTTTTTCTTTAAAAAATTTCAAGTATATCTAAGAAATGAAACAAAAAACGTGGACTTGTCTTTACAAAATTTCAAGAATATTAAAGCTAGAAAAGTAATATTTTTCTCCAATATTTTCATATTTATTCTCAGAGTTCTTATCAGAGGATTCAAAAGCGTAAAATCGAAGTTGAAAAGCCATGTGAATTCTGATTTTTTCCGCCGTTTTAGTCTGCCGCCATTATTTGGCGCCAAAAAAAAAAAATACTCTCAGTGGTAATATACCTCGGTTAAGATTGGCGTCAAAGAGCTTGGAGGTTCTTATTAATTCTTTAGTTAAAATGGTTTTATTTTATTAGAAGTTGGTGGTTTATGTACTATGGTTTATGTGGACTCTTATTTCCCCCTTTAATTTAAAGTGGTTTTAACCATTTTAAGCAGTTCCTCTGCGTTTTGCGCTTCTGTTCTTTTGGCGCCAAAAATCCAAAAAAATATTCTTGCAGCGGTAATAAGTGAACCTCGTCCACGACCACTACCACTGTTGATTGCTAGAATTTTGAAGAATTAGATATTCGACTTGACTTCAATGGGTTGAAGCTAAAGGCTGTATTGCGGTCGCTACTGCTTCCGCAGAAAGAATTTTTCTTCAATTCTAAATAGATTGTAATAGTGGTAATAAGTGAACCTCGTCCACGACCACTACCACTGTTGATTGCTAGAATTTTGAAGAATTAGATATTCGACTTGACTTCAATGGGTTGAAGCTAAAGGCTGTATTGCGGTCGCTACTGCTTCCGCAGAAAGAATTTTTCTTCAATTCTAAATAGATTGACTACGTTCTTTACAAAATTTCAAGAATATCCGTTTCCGTAAAAATCTCGAAAACTGGGATTTCATATTTTATCATCCTATATTACTCTTCCATGTGGCCTATTACAATTTATTATATACATATTCATATGTATATGTTCCCATTCCGAATAAATGATGTATTTTCCGCATAGATGGATTCTTTTCTTTATAAAATTTCAAGTATATCTAAGAAATGAAAAAAAAACGTGGACTTTTGTCTTTACAAAACTTCAAGAATATTAAAGCTAGAAAAGTAATATTTTCCTCCTATATTTTCATATTTAATTTCAGAGTTCTTATCAGAGGATTCAAAAGCGTTAAATCAATTTTTTTTTTATACATACTTAGTTTGGAAGTTGAAAAGCCATGTGAATTCTGATTTTTCCCGCCGTTTTAATCTGCCGCCATTATTTGGCGCCAAAAAAAAAATACTCTCAGTGGTAATATACCTCGGTTAAGATTGGCGTCAAAGAGCTTGGAGGTTCTTATTAATTCTTTAGTTAAAATGGTTTTATTTTATTAGAAGTTGGTGGTTTATGTACTATGGTTTATGTGGACTCTTATTTCCTCCTTTAATTTAAAGTGGTTTTAACCATTTTAAGCAGTTCCTCTGCGTTTTGCGCTTCAGTTCTTTTGGCGCCAAAAATTCAAAAAAATATTCTTGCAGCGGTAATAAGTGAACCTCGTCCACGACCACTGTTGATTGCTAGAATTTTGAAGAATTAGATATTCGACTTGACTTCAATGGGTTGAAGCTAAAGGCTGTATTGCGGTCGCTCCTACTTCCGCAGGAAGAATTTTTCTTCAATTCTAAATAGATGGACTACGTTCTTTACAAAATTTCAAGAATATCCGTTTCCGTAAAAATCGGTCGAAAACTGGGATTTCATTTTTTTTCATCCTATATTACTCTTCCATGTGGCCTCTTATAATTTATACATATTCATATGTACATATATGTTCCCATTTCGAATAAATGATGTATTTTCCGCATAGATGGATTCTTTTCTTTATAAAAGTTCAAGTATATCCGTTTCCGTAAAAATCTCTCGAAAACTGGGAATACTAAAGTTTGGAATATAGCATTTGTCAGCTAATTTTCTGTTTTTTTTTTCATCCTATATTACTTTTTCATGTGGTCTCTTATAATTTGTTATATACATATTCATATATGTTCCCATTCCGAATAGATGGATTTTTTTCTTTACAAAATTTCAAGTATATCTAAGAAATGAAACAAAAAACGTGGACTTTTGTCTTTACAAAACTTCAAGAATATTAAAGCTAGAAAAGTAATATTTTCCTCTAATATTTTCATATTTATTCTCAGAGTTCTTATCAGAGGATTCAAAAGCGTAAAATCCATTTTTTTTATACATACATAGTTCGGAAGTTGAAAAGCCATGTGAATTCTGATTTTTTCCGCCGTTTTAGTCTGCCGCCATTATTTGGCGCCAAAAAAAAAAATACTCTCAGTGGTAATATATGTACCTCGGTTAAGATTGGCGTCAAAGAGCTTCGAGGTTCTTATTAATTCTTTAGTTAAAATGGTGTTATTTTATTAGAAGTTGGTGGTTTATGTACTATGGTTTATGTGGACTCTTATTTCCTCCTTTAATTTAAAGTGGTTTTAACCATTTTAAGCAGTTCCTCTGCGTTTTGCGCTTCTGTTCTTTTGGCGCCAAAAATCCAAAAAAATATTCTTGCAGCGGTAATAAGTGAAACTCGTCCACGTCCACTGTTGATTGCTAGAATTTTGAAGAATTACATATTCGACTTGACTTCAAGTGGTTTAGCCAAAGGCTGCTTCCGCAGGAAGAATTTTTTTCAATTTTAAATAATGGACTATGTTCTTTACAAAATTTCAAGAATATCCGTTTCCGTAAAAATCATTTGAAAACTGGGAATACTAACTCTGACACTGAAATACAGAATTGTACTTGTAAGCTAATTTTCTTTTTTATTCATCCTATATTACTTTTCCATGTGGCCTCTTATAATTTGTTATATACATATTCATATGTATATGTTCCCATTCCGAATAGATGGATTTTTTTCTTTATAAAGTTTCAAGTATATCTGTTTCAGTAGAAATCTCTTACGAAAAACATATATAATATAGTATTTGTAAGCTTATTTTCATTTTTTTTCATCCTATATTACTCTTCCATGTGGCCTCTTATAATTTGTTTTATACATATTCATATATGTTCCCATTCCGAATAGGTGGATTTTTTTCTTTATAAAATTTCAAGTATATCTGTTTCAGTAGAAATCTCTGACGAAAACTGAGAATACATTTTGGAACACAAGACGCATTAGTGGCGCACTTGTAAGCCTATTTTCTTTATTTTTTCCGTTCAATATCAATCTTTCATGATGTCCTATAATTTTATTTTATCGTTAAATAATATAAGAAATGAAAAAAAATATATTGATTTTTGTCTTTACAAAATTTCAAGAATATTACAAATTGCAGTAACGAAAACCAGGAATTCCTATCGCTGGAAAAGTAATATTCTCCTATATATATTTTCCTGCTAAATTTTAATTTTTATTCTCAATATTAGAGTATTTCTGGAATTCTCTATTTAAATTTCAACCCAAAAATTCTATTAGAACTTTTTCGTTTTTGCGTGACGAGAAACGGCAACTGGCTTTCAAGCTGACTTCAAGGTGACTTGGCCATTGATTTTGCTTACTTATTACGGCTGAATTTTTCTTTTGGCTTTACTGAGTGTATTTTTATTCTTATTCCTATAACGTATGTATGTACATACATATACATATATATATTTTTTTTATGGGGTTACAAAAGCGCGGCGGCAAGGATTTAATTTTATTGCCCGCCTCTCCACCTGCTCGTGCCACGTTGACTTATTGTGCTGATATGATTAAGTGGTTCGCTGAACTCGGGGCTCCTTCCACGACGATTTTTTGCTTTCCTCCCCAATTTCTGAGTTTATGACAAGTGCAGGGAGTTAATCCGGGTCTTGATTCTGGCCCTATTCCGGTTGAGTCGTCTCCAGATTGCTTGACTTTTTGCCATTTTTGCCAGTTGATGGTGCATGTGATCCGTTGTCTAATTTCATTTTCCGTTTCTCGCCCTTTAAGGTATCTCTTTAAATTTCCGTTTCCTACCCGACACACAATTGATTGAAATTAGATGAGCTTTTCATAATACACGGACCTGAGCCGCAGTATATATATAAAAATATATATATTTTTTTCTCAGACCTCCCCCTCGTAAAAGCCACTACAAACATTGTGAGTCTGTGCCAAGGTAGAAAGTTTTGCGGGACTGCCAGACTGGGGAGTCCGGACTGCGGAGCAACGCTAATATCCCTCAAGTTGCCACCGACTTTGTGCCAAATTGGTTATTAAAAGAGTCAACTAGTACAAGCCAGAAATAAATTGAGTAGCAACAACAGGGCTAGGGAATGATTCTGCACTTTCTCACACACGGAGAATAATAATAAACGACAACGTTCCAGACAAGGTCTTTGGTCGTGTGTGTATATGTTGCAAGTTGCAATTGCCTTGAGAATGGAAAAGAAAATTAAATTTTTATATAACCATAAGGTGCAAGTGGTTTTCTCAATATTTTTACACGAAAAAATCGATTTATTTCGATGTAAGGACAACATGGCTAATCAGCAATCGGGCAGAAGGTTAAAGAAATATTTTTTTAAATATATTTTCTATTTTAATACCAAAAAAAAAATTCCAAAAGTTTTCCCCCAAGATTCTTTTAAAACCGAAAGAGATGGTCTGCTTTTAATCCCACACCTCTCTTTCTAATCAATTGCTGCGGAAGAAGGTCATTAGCAGCTTTCGAACTAATTGAGTAATTTGCTCACCTTGATTGCTTTCGTTAGGAAAGTGGAGTTAGTTGTCACACAGAACTTGCAACACGTGCAAGAGTTCTCCTCCCCCTTCCCCATTCTCAGACATGCACACAACCCCAGACACACACATACACACAGAGAGACTCCCTAGATACACACACACATGTTCAGGTTAAATTTCTCCGCCATTTTCTCGTTCATTATTGCGCACTAATTAACGTTTTCGCGACAAAAGGTGGCGTTTTATTTTTACAACTGCAACTGGTGCTGCCTTTCTGGTACTGCAACTGTTGAGGCACTGAAACCGAAGTTAGTTTACTTCTTAAAGAGGAAAGTTTCCCAAAAAAAATATGGTTAAGAATATTGATATATTTTTTTTAGGCTATGATGCCAATGCACAACTATCGATAACATTTTTTAAGGTTATGATGCAGATTCATAGGGGACTGTACTACAAAACCATGTTAGGACCTGATTAAAAGCAATTTAATCATTTTATTATTCAGTAAAAAATGTATTAATTAATTATCAAAAAACAGAAATCTTTTACAGTGTTTCTGTTGGTCTTGCCACGGCAGTACCGCCACTGGAGGGCCACTCGAGGGGGCAGGATCCGCCCTAATTGCTGTTTATGAGCGAGTTGGCCCAGTAATTAAACAATTTCTTCTGGCTCGACACAAAATATATATATAAAAAAAAAACCATTCAGCACACAACCAGATGTCAAAAAAAAAAAAACACTCACACGCGCGAAAAAAAGAAACATATGGTTTTCATTAGAAATACATAAAAAAAAAAAACAACAAAACTTATTGAGATGTACAAGTTGAAAAATAAATTAGAAAATTAATGAAAGGGATTTTAGATCTCCTTGGCACTCCGTCCGGACCAACTTCTGGCTAATTCCGGTCAATCCTGGCATTTGTGGCAGCATCCCAGTCGATATAGTCCGGAGCAGCTCCGGGTTTCTTGCACTTGAATCTCAGTTTGCAGCAATCCGGGAATGGTTCGCCGGGATTTAAGCGCTCGCCGCGGTTGCAGTCCACAAAACGTGGCTTGCCACATCTAAAAGATAAAATTATTCTTATTATTCAAATTATAATTAAACGAATATTACTTTTTCTACTCAATTTAAGAAAATTAAATAAACAAAACTGGTGGAGAAACTTTTTCGCTTTCCACTTAAAACCATAACTTTGTGTCTAAAAAGATTTTCGAAGGGCTCTCCCTTCTAAAAAACTCTGTCAAAGCACAAAAAAAAAAATAATAATATATATTTTATAAAAATAAAACCTAAAGTGCAAATCCCATTTCTGGATCTGGGGCAAAACTTTCAGTTTCCCTCAATTGAGTTTTGTCTCCTTCTTCTTGAAAAGCCGCAACCTAAACCGAGTTTCCCGCCCTCCAGAGCATTTCATTTGGCTCCATCTCTCTCTTGGCTTGACCTACAAATTAGAGATCCCCACATCTAGGGGGGTACGGCTTCCTTGGGGGAATGAAATAAAAAAAAAAAAAAGTCGCAAGTTCTTGACATCTCGCGTCATCTTTGGCGTCACGTTAAAAGCACAAGTATGAATGAGCGTGTGTGTTCAAAGTGAGTCTGTCTTATCAGCAACAAACATTTTGCTACAAAAAGCACTTAGAGAAAATTTGTATATTATAAAATTTAATTTACAAAAAAATAAAGGTTGAAATAATCAAAAACAGTGAAGAAATGAAGTCTAGTAGCTTTTCTTCTTTGATTTTCGATATTTTCAAGGTAAGAGTTCGAAATCTTGAATAAAAATATTTATTTTTTAAATATTTTTTTGGAAGTTTAGAAACTAGTCTCAAAATCAAATCTATTAGAGTTTTCTTTTAATTTTAAATATTTTCAAGCTTTAACTTCCACTTAGCAAGCCAATAATCTTTTTTAATATATTTTAATAAAAGCTCTTTAGATTTTTTCTAAGTTAGTTCTCTATTCTATTTATTTTAAACCTCAGTACCCAATACTCACCCCTCTATAAGAATGGAACCATCTTCATAGCAGGTCAACCGCTGGCAGGGCGAGATGCCATTGTTGACTCCCAGTTCCAGGGTGTCCCCACGGTAGATGCACTTTCCGGGATTAGCTGATGATTCACATGGTTTGAAATGGAATATAAAATGGGAATACTTTCCCAGGGGAGATGAGTCACTTACCTTCATCGGCTGGTATCAGACCCGAGTAGCCGGCAACCTGGTCTAGAGAGAATACAAACAGGAGTAGGACTACGGTGATACCGTAACCAAAATTTTCGTAACGTTCCGGAGACATTGCGAACGCGTTGGTGTTCCAAGCTGCACTGACTCGGATCCGGACTCCGATCGGCGATATTTGCTCCGTACATAGGGCATATATGCCTAGAAAAGAAAAAAATACGGAGAGTTAATCATCAAGTTGTTATTTGATACCCTGTAAATAAATTTTAAAGAAAAAGTATAGGTTTTTAAATGATGTTCCAAGACCAATAATAAAATCTTATAATATCTTTAAAATTTATAGAAACAATAACTCTTATGTGTAGGTCTTGTATTATTTTATAAAATCTAAAATTTAATTTATTATAAGGTATCTTAAAGTCGAGGTTCTTTCGGTGTTATTTTGTGTTTTTTTTTGTTTTCGGCTCCGTTGATTATTGTGTATTACTATTTAATTGAAGACGCCACTCTCTCGGGTCAGGCGGTTTATCTGCTTTTTGGGGCGTCGGCGTCCATTTCTCATTTACAGCACTTTGTTGCCTCAAATTGTTCTAGAATGTTTGCACAATTAATGCCAAAAGCATCATACATATTAATGTTTAATTGAAAGAGACAAATAAAAGACAGAAAGAAAGAGCGATAGAGAGGGAGAAGGGTTCCGTTACCATACGGTAATCTAGGGCTGTAGGAATAGATTATAAAGGAACTAGTAAAAGCTTATAAAGGTATTAAAAGAACTAGTTTAAATACTAAAATAGGTAAGCCCTACCTTTTGTAAAGAAACCTCTGATATTTTAAATTAATTTCTTAATAAAAATACCATTCTTGGGTGATTTTAAGTACAGAACTAATTGAGAATTCTAAAAAAAAATACCTCAAAAAGGGATTATTGCCCTAAAAACTGGAAAGTTATTATATCTTTTACATCAAAAGCTTAAAATTCTCTTCCTTTTTTATTAAATTATTAAGTCTCGTAATCAACAAACAAAAACACAGTTCCGTAATACATTTACTTGAATTGAGATATATTTTGTAAACGCTTTTTATTCAATTAAGCCAAAAACGACATCGAAAATTGAATTTTTGGTAATTTTTAAAATGAAAATGTCAGATGGCAGAAGGTTTGGTGGCAAATCTTAATGAAATGCATTCGTTAGCTTAACCCGACAGACGGATAGAGAGACAGGATATGTTGTGGCAACTTGTGCAATCCAATTGAGACGAATCCAGGACTCTTTACCCCTTAACCCCTTGAACCCCCCGTATTTTGCCAGCAATGGTACAATGTTTGCCCTGCTGGCTATTAAATTTTTAATCAAGTTAAAGTGTTGTCAAACACTTCATTCAACCAGTTCTCCGTTTTAACCCCACCGAGTCACCCCAAATACCCCATTCCACACAAAAACCTAAGGATATCATAAGAGGAACATGTAACGTGTCACACCCATACACCTCCATACATCCTCCATACACCCCTCTTGGCAGGACGACCTTCTTTTTCCGTTCATTTTTGTGTCGTGTTAGTTATGCATGCATTCATCCATTCGTTCATTCAGCGACATTCATTTCGTTTCATTGCATTTTCTTACAAGTTGCCACCAGCACCACCACCATCACCACTGCATGTGCTCCCCACCAACCATTTTCTGCACCACAGTGGCATAACCACATTGTAGGAGTGTCACCGCATTTCTCACCCACCATCGCTTCCTTTCCTTGGTGGCTATACCCCCATCATACCTCATACCCATTCCCAATGCCAATCCCTGTGGACACTTGTTCCTGTGCTTTCCCTTTATGATGTAAGGCTTTCTTTGCTGGCTTCTTTTTCCTTTTGCTACCTATTAGCTTGACAGGGTATATTGGTTTTTTACAAATCAATAAAACATTAATTCTTTGCCTCTTTATATTTCTATTTAATATTATCCTGTATTTCGTTTAGCTTTATTTTAATTATAATTCTCAATTGGTTTTTAAGTCTTTAGGTCTTTATCTTCTTCAAAACCTTTTATTAGAATAATTTTTCATGTCTAGACATGTCTTTCTTCATTGCAATTCTCAACTGGTTCTAGCAAATAAAGTCTTAAGAGCTCTTTTTAACCTTTTTTTTTAAGCTACATCTTCCTCCAACCATAAAAAATAGTCGTAACTCTTAATTTCTCATATAACATCGTTTTTAATTTTTTTTCGTGTTCTGTACTTTTCTTGCTGGCTCGCTTTTGTCGTAAATGAAATGCAAATAAATTGTCAACTGCAGCTAAATAAAATTTTAATTTATAGCCGCTTTGACTAGCTGGCTCATTGTCCCAGGTTTCTGGCTGGAGAAAGGTGAATGTAGTTGGAAATCATTTTAAAAGAAAATCTATATTCTCGAAAAGACTCTAATGCCACTGATTTTATTAATTAGAAACTTGAAAAATAATAAAAAGTCGGGGAATCCCAAAATATTTTCTAAAAATGCTCTACATACATTTTTTCGAAGAGAGAGAGAAGAGTTACTCACCTACATAGATGGGCACAAGAGTCACAACTGGATGCACAATGCCCCTTTAGTTTTCGGCATGTTATTACCCCCAACCGAACCCAGCTAATTCACATTTGATTATTTAAATTAGGAAAATGAGTGACAAACGGACAGATGGACAGACGGATACAAGAGGAGCATATACGCGCTGAAATTGATGGTGTCCGTTGTCCAAAAAGATGGATGGATGAATCCAATCCAATCTGAAAATAAACACACACATTGTGTGGACTAGTGGACTGGTTGGTGGACTGGTGGACTGATGGACTAGTGGACCGGAGCGACCTGAAGCCAAATCGGAGGCAGTTTGCTTTGGGAGACCGACCGACGAACCGACGAGTCGACGAGATCCGACAAAAGATTTAAGCGACAAATTCGTATTATTTTTTGGAAAATGTATTCAGTGCAGGGGCGACATTCGCATTTGCGGCAACGAAACCAACAGCCATAGCGACAGCCCAACACACACTCGCACACCCACTCGCCACTATCATTCACACACCATCATTCGGCACCGGCACCACCACCACCGTTTAGCTGGCCAAACAAAGCCTTGCACTTACCCGGAGAAAGCAGGCGAAAGTGGAAAGTGCAGTCGAAAGTGCAAGCCAAGGCGCACAGCAAAAACAAAAAAAAGAGGAAAACCCCTCTTTAGAGACACAAACAAAAACTACGAGGCTTGTGTCAGTGAGAATGCCAAAATTAGTGACTTACATCTTCATCGTCAGCTCGCTGGTGCTCTGGTATTTGCTGCTCTTCGGGGGCGGCACTAGGGGCGGGGCCGGTGGCTGGGGTGTGGGCGTGGCGGCCACCAATGGCCACGGGGGTCAGATGGAGGGAAGAGACTTTCACCATCACGGCGGCAGTCATCATATAAGGCGTAAGTAATCAATAGGAATTTCATAAATATATCGACAAAAATCGATAAAATTAGATTAAAGGTTTAGGTATTCGATTAAAAAAAGCTATCTGGAAAGTGAAATTTATCGAATAAAATAATAGTTAGAGTTTAAACTTCATACAAATAGAAGAAATACTTACAAAGAAAGAATCTTAAAGAGTTTAAAATAAAATAGATCTATCTAAAACATCGACAAAAACTGAATAAAAACACGGAAATGTATCGATAAATATTTCTAAAATTTAAATTTGAAATTTGATTTCCTCAAGGAGACCATTTGGATTATCTTTGGAGTTCATTAAACATTTTAAGACTCATTCTAAAGCATAATACTTTATAAGCCTTAAACAAACTATAAGCTGGCTATCGGAAAGTAAAAAAAATTAGTGAAATTTATCGAAAAAAATCGAAATCTTAGTTTAAACATATCGAATTGGATCTTTTTAATACTTAGATTTTTTACAAAGCATTAGAGAATATCAAAAGCCTTAAAACCATCGGTTATCGAGCAGATAACCATGTTGTTTGATCAGAATATTTAATTTTAAACTTTAATAATAAATATAATTATTTTTAAATACATTTTTTTAGGCAACATTAACCACTGCTGGCGTCGCTATGATGGCTACAATCTGCAGAACACAGTCGTCAATAAAAAGGAACAACTGAAGAAGCCCTACGGCATATTGTGCAATTTCAAGTGCACCTGGTTCTTCACCACCAGGTGAGTGAGAGTGTGTTTTATCCAATTCTTCGAGTTCTTAATAATTTGTTTTTTTTCTCTTTTTGTATCCTTTTATAAATGTAGTTTTCCCACTTGCGAGTTCATCTACGATTATAAGTTATCCTGCGTGCTGTTCACTTCACTACCCGACTGCACCAACGTCAAGTGTACGCTCTTGAATTACTTTGAGTAAACTAAGTGTATTTATTTTCAGTGCAGTTTTAAGCTATTTTTTTTTATTCTCTGTTATTTGTTTTTTTTTTTTTTTTTTTTATATAGCATAAGTCTGATTATTTGGTAAATTTTATATCATGTCTGGGGGAGTAATTATGATGATAAAAGAAAAAATTTAATTTATGAAAATATTTGTGGTTTTATTTGTGGCTTTGGGGAGATTAAAAAATAAATACAATAATAAACTAAATAAATAATTAAAGAATATCCACGAACATTTCCTATTAATGTGAAAAAATAAACAGGTAAAAGTTTCTGTAACAATTTCGAACCTCATCTGTGTCTTATATTTTGTGAACCACTTTGATTTTATTTTCCCCTAAATTCCCATTTGGTAAGTAGTGTGAAATAGTAGTTTCTTAGAGCAAAATATATAGACTTTTTTGTTCAGAAAGGGCCAAAGTTCATGGCAATTGTCTACTTAAAGTTACTGGAAAAGCCAAAGAGTCAACAACGCTCCTGTTCGCACTCCATTTGATGGCAAAGTTGAAAAGCCACAAAAGCTATCAATGGACCATCCTCCTCCTTTCTCTCTCTCTTTTTTTTTTGGTAAGAGGTTTGGGGCGGGCCACGCCCAATTACCTGGCCACATACCTGAGCTGAGCTGGGCCAAAAAGCAATCCACTTTTTGCAGTAAACAAATTTGAAACACTTTGTTACCAACGTTTATGTTTCTTTTCTTTTTTTTTGGTATTTTTTTCCGGTTAAAAGCTATATATCCGTTCCAAGTTGATGGCCAAAATGGTGGTGTGGGGATTTTTGGTAGCTTGAGGGGGATGGGAGGGGGAGTTAACCAAACTTGTATAGTCTACAACCAAATGGTTATACCTGAACTTTTTGCTTCGCGCCAAACAGCCGCAAATAAATCGTTGGACATTTATAAGCCCGTCAAAGTTATGCCAAAGCGTTTCCTTGCAAAAATTTGTATACTCCCACACTGCTCCACCTCCTCCACCCTGATATTTTGGCCATTATTTGGATGGTGTGGGTGAGTTTTTCCAGGGTGTCTAAAAATAAGATAAATTATGTGGCTGTAGTCAATGGAGCTGTTAACTGACGCGCGCACCTGGGTCAGAAGAAGGGTTCCTCTTTTGGCTTTTTGGATTGGTATTCAAACAAAATGAAATAAAAATTATTTGACTTTGGGGGTCGAACCTGAGAAGTAGCTTTAATTTTGGATACTCTTAGTAAAGGGTTTTCAAGTTTTGGTTAAAGTTTTAAAGTAAGGCCTTTCTAAGCAAAGGAAGCTTTAACTCCAAGACTTCGTGAGGGTTTTAATAATATTTAAGTTTTTATTTTTTTTTGTTGACGTACTCTTATTTATTTTGATGTTTGGCCAGATGGGGCCCGCACTTTAATGGAATCAAACGAAATGACATTGATCGCTGAAGGCCAACGGACCCGCAACAGAAGATCAAGCAATTTTAACTCAAATCAACTCGATTCTCGGTTTGGTTTGTTTCGGATCCGTCTGTTTGTATTCATAACTGGGATTTGGGTCGTGGTCGTTGTGCGTTTAAAATGCCATATAAAAAAAAAAAATACCATATATATATATGCGCACAGACATACATATATGTACATAGATATATATTAATGGGGATCTGGGAAAAAGATCGTAGTGCGTAGTTTGCTGGCATGTGGATGGTATATGGGTTCTATATGGGTGCGTTGAGTGCGTTGGCGTTTGTCGTTCTCGTTGGTGGCTTCTATTTCAATGTTGATTGGCAAATTACGGCAATTTCTCGGGGGCTGGGAATTAGATTATTTTGAAATAGTTATAAACAAATTAATTGCGTATTACGACAATATATGCTGTCGTGGTGCAGTCACAATTGCAATGCCAATTTTTAAGTGTCCATGTAATGAATTATGTTTTATAAATAGTTGCATACCATAGATACCTTTAGCTGCAAGAGGAAAAATGAAACCGAAATAAATCATTCAAAAGCATCCTTTAGTACTTGATATGATTCATCATACATATATTCGAATTTCAGTCTGAATATTTGGCATTCCATTGCAATGATTATGACTGATTACCCGACCAGTTAGATGGATCAAATATTTTCACACTGAAAATGCAGTTTACATTCCCAGAATGCAATCTATTCCGGCCACCCAATCATCCTTCTGCACCACCCTCCCCCCCACATTTTTCAAAAGGTGTCAACAACAGTGGCAGATACAGATACGGATAAAGATACAGATGCACCTACTACGATTACAGATACAGATGCATGGATTCCGAAATGAATGCCGAAACTGAAACCGAAATGGAAACCAAAACGTTCAACTGAGTATTCAAAAGCTGAGAAACGTAGGGGTGATTACACGGAGAAAGGTATTAATTTATAATATTATTTTGTTTTTTTTTTAATTAAGGGGAAATATATTTTTTATTAATTAAATAAAATACTTTCTATTTATGAACAATTTATATTAAAGAAGACTAAGGAAAAAAAATAAATGATACCCGGTACTCTTCTGGCCTTTTATTTTATATAGAAGCTAAGGCCCTAGGTATCTCTTTTTAAATTAAAAATTGTTTGACTTAAATTTAAGTGTTCCTTTATCCTCTCAATAACTTGTAAGCCTCAAGACCCACAATATTTTTCTTCCAGTGCAGTAATTACATTAGCAATACGCTGAGGTGGCAAATACCCATAAAAAAAACCAAAAGGAAGAAAGGCATGATGGGCTGGCTACCCACACAGTTGCATGCGATAATTTATCAATTGGCATCAATTTAAATACAGAGAACCCAGACAGAAGCCCGTGGCATTTCTTTGCCCGTTTTGGCTTGTTTATATTATTTTTGATTTGCTCGTTTCGCTAGCGTTTTTCGGTACGGCACACTCGCGGTTAAAACCGCGCCGAGACATATCCACGCAGCGCAAATCCAAACAAAAAATAAAAACCCCAAAATTCCGTAAACAGTTATACGTAAAATTCAAAAATCCATAATTTCGAAAAGCCTTTTTTGAAAAAAGTCACTTTCATGGCAGTTTCAGAATCATTTAAGAGTCAAAAATCGGTTTCCGATATCGATTCCGATTGTGTTTACGATTGTTGTGAAATGGAAACATCGAGAACATCGAAACCTACAGTGATCACTCCGATATATACACGCAAAACAACAGCAACAACAGTGGCATTTATTTTGCTTTTAATTCTTTGTTGTTTATGTGATTACAATTATGGAAGTATGTCTTGTTTTTCTCTTTAAAAATTCCTTTTCTTTTTTTTTTATTGTGTGTTTTTTGTTGTATTTGGAACATTTAATTTTTTTTAAGTGGGTGTTTGTGTTTTTTTTATTGGATATAATAATAGTATAGAATTGACGTCATCAATTGAAGTATACTTGACAATTATATGGTTATAAGTATATAAGTATAAGAAATTAATGAAATTAATCTTTCTGTCTAATTGATATAGTTTTAAGTAAATATTTTAAAAAGAATATTATACACAGGCTTACAAAATGAGCCTTCTCATTTAATTTTACAATGTATTGGATATTTTATATATTTTTATTTAATAATCAAAGTAAATAGCTATAAAATGAATTCAGAAAATAATAAATAGTGAAAAACATTCTTAAAACCTCCTAAAAACTTGTAGTAGAGTCTTAGAGCAATTTCTTTAAAAAGAAAGATATCTAGAAATAAATCCTGGATATCTATAAAAAGTACTTATAAAAATATACTTTGTATTGAAAACATTTACAGGTTGGGCATCACAATGCTGGAAGAAACAGAATACCGGTTCGATTCAAACGCCAGATGGCCAATTTAAGCGACCCTTTGGTATACTCTGCACATATCGTTGCTTTCTCTGGTTTCCGCCAATGTAAGTTATGTAATCACTCAACCACCCATTCTATGAAGCCCCCAAAACTAAACCCAATCCATACAAACCATACAATACTCCCATTGCAATTTGCAATTTATGCATGCCTGTTATTTTGTAGTGTGAATTGCATTTTAAAATAAACTTGTTTGGCTTTAGCTTTGGGGTTCTTGGCCATTTTGGACTTGAGCTTTGGGGGCTAACAAGCAAACACTCTCTCATACCAACACGTCTCCTCTATGCGAGTACTATATAGTATTTGAATTGCATAACAATTAAAATGGCTGGCAGCAAAGTTGGCTTTTTGTGTTGGCTTCTTTTTATACTGCCATCGCCATCGCCATTGGAATAAATATTTTATCGGGGTAGCTCGTACGTTTTCTTGCCCGTGGTGGGTGTTGGTGCCACCCATGTAGTAGTATTCCATTCAATTTTCAGTGCATCGAAAAATGGCTTCTGGTGTTTGTTCAGTATATTTTTGGTTCAACGTTTATTTTTTTGATACTCTATCAAAGGGTATTATGGTTTTGGGGTATGATATGAATCGTAAAGGGATTATCTTCAATTTTTTGGTTACAAGATCATGTTTTAGAGAAGATAAAGCTTTGTTCTTTAATTATATCGATAGTTTAACCGATAATTTGGTGCGATAGTTTGTTTTTCGATACTTTAATTGGTATTTTATTTTTGATAGTTTATCCTTTGGCGTTTTCCCGCCTATTTAAGGACCTATTGTCTTCGTTTATCCAATAGTTTGTCCGTAATACTGTTGCCTGATTGTCCTCTTCGGTATTTGCCTGTTTTCATTTCCGATAGTTTTCTCTAGTTTATTCGATAGTTTATCTTAAAGCTATGTCCTTGGTTGTCTGCCTACTGGTCTTCCCCTATTTTTTTCCATTTTCATATCCCTCTACCTATGTATATGTTTCTTAAATCCTTAAACCTTAAGTAATTTTAAGTATCCCCATGAAATCCATATGTTTAACTTCATAATTCCAAGACCTTTGTTTTTAAATTCCCAAAACCATTAAGGGTATCAAAGTTGAGGTTCTAAACAAACCTTTCTCTTGAATTGTATTTTTTATTATTTTTTTCTCCATTTTTTTGTTTTGATTGCAGTTATCCGTACTGCGAATTCATATTCGATCTGCGATTGTCGAGGCACTTCACCTCCTTCCCGGACTGCTACGAAATCCGCTGCAACGAGACCTTCTCCTTTTTCGGCAAGGAGCCCAACCTCTGACGTCATCCGGGAAATGTTATCCTCCAGCCACGCCTCCTTCTCAAGCAACGCCTTCACCTGAGCCACCTGCTTCGTTTTTTTTTTTGTTAATCGAGTATTTTTCATGACTATGAGATGTATGCTTCAATAAAAAGAGGTTTACTGCCTTAAACAAAGTTTGTTTTGTTGTTTTAAAGAATTGATTAATTAATAAATTTTTAATAATAATATTTAAATATTTTAGAATTAAGTTTAAACATTTTGTATTTAAAAACAACCCCTTTGAAGTAAAAACAAATCATTTAGTTTTAGTCTTTTAAAGCCAATCGGCTTTCTTGAAGAACTTTCTCAAGGAGTCTATGATGAATTGTGTCTGCCAGTGTTCTCCACTTGTCATTTGCCACTTACCACTTGCCACTTGCCACTTGAGGCACTTGGGGAGCCACGGCGAGAGGTTGCCAGAGAGAGGTGTTTATGGAATTGGTGGCCGGTGGCTGCAGGCAATTTCCTTCACTTTCCTTTTCGGCTGGCTTTTAGTTTATTTCCGGTTCCGTAATAAACGACAAACAAACAAATAAACAAAGGGACACAATCCTGAATCCTGAAACACCCACACACACACACATACAAAGAGACACCCAAATACCTAGATAGATAGACAGGATAGCCTAACCTCATTCAATTCGCAAATATTTGCATATAAATTAGCATTCTAATTGACTCGAGCCCAAAAATAAAGTAACCAGCCTGAAGCCCTGGGGGTCCTGAATCTGGTAACTCCCCAACTCCCCCAATTGTTGGCAAAAGCACCAGATCGCCTTCATTGTTGTCCTAAAGGTCCTGGCTGCATTTGTATTTTGGCCAAAAGCCTCTCTCGCGATACTGGCCATTGTCTTGGCGAATGGCAAAAACATTTCATGGCCTTTTCATTCTGCCAATAAAATTACTAACTTAACACTGGGAGAAACTTGTTTGAAGCTTGGGTTTATGAAAGTGTGAGTCAAAAAGTGTTTCTTAAATTTATTTTGGATTTTTTTGGTGAAAGATTACTATTTTAGAAACCATAGTTTAGGTACATTATCTAGTTATTTTGGGGAGAATATTTTTTTTTTTTGAATAATCTATTATTGTAGACGATCATAGAATAATCTAAAATTTCTTTAATTATTTTTGTTTCCAGTGTATTTGTCTCACTTTCGTAATGCTTAGCCGCTCGAGTTAATTGTTTGCTTAGTGTCATAAAAATACAGTTTACGCCTTTCGCAACAACACGTACAGATGTCTCTCACGCCCCACCGAATGTCTCGCGGCCACCACCCACACCCATACCACCATCACTCCTTCCCCTGAAGAGCCCTTTTGTAGCCGCGGCAGGTGGTCTCTGGACTGCAGACATGGCCTGGCATCTCTGGTATCAGTGGATGTGGCTTAGTGGAATTGGCCAAGCGGAAGGGGGATTTTGGCCCTTTTTTGTGGGGTGGGGGTGGGGTGTTTTATAGCAGCCACGTGTAAACAAAAGGTCGTCGCAGACAATGTTGTCACTGGAAAACTTTTAACTTTTACAAACTTAATTGTTGCCGGCTCTAAATATAACACAGACCAGTGTCTTTCCAAAGCTTTTGAAATCGCCGAGTTTTCAATGGCTGCTCGAGCTGGACGGGGTAGATGGTTGGGTGGTGGTTAGTGGGTGGTTTTGGTTTCTGTTTCATAACCAAACCATAGCCATTGTCTTGCAAGTTAAACAATATATTTAATAAAATTTCAAAATGTGAAATTAATAGAGATTATACAAGATTTTTATTAAGATTTTAATAATTAAAACAGACAACACGTACCACACGGCGTATACGTGATTTAAAAATTGCGAAAAACAAAGTTAGAAAATATGATTAATGCCAAGAAACCGCCAAGAACAAAGGAAAAGTCCTAATAAATTAAATTAAAGCGTCTCCCTGGTGATTTTGTACCGGGCTAACGGCTGAGACTTACTTTTGGCCAACAAAATTTTCTAGCTTTTGTCGGTTTAACCATATTACGTATACGTCAGGTGGTACGTTGCGAGATGGGATGAGTGAGTGAGTGTTTCAAGTGTGCGCTGTGCAACTTCAACTTCAACTCTGTCGAATAAATATTCAGAATGCAATTACGCATAGAATTCTCTGGCACTTATCGTGTCGCTAGCTACCCGCTGAAAACTTATTTAACTTTTTACGATGTCATTTGGGAAAGTTTGTAATCATTTTCTTTGCGCTGTATGCGCTTCAAAAAATGCTTCAGCAGAAGAGAAAAGATGCCATGAAATTATTTATACGATTTTCCGACGACAGTTGAAACTGTACGCGAGTGTAGGCGAAGTGAGTACAAATAAAACTGGTTGGCTGATGTTGCTCCTTTCGATTTGTGGTGGCAGGAGGCGGCACTTTCTCACACTTTCTCCACAATTTTCCATCATCATCGCGAAGTTTTGGTAAGAAAACTCCAACTCCCAGAGAGTCCTTCAAAACTGCCAGTCGAAGTTTTCAAAAATTTTGTTTTTCACTTCCCTTGCGTTTACTCGCACTCTCTGTAGTTTAGTGTACTATACTCTTTTTTTATGAAAGGGTATTTGTGTTTGTCTGTCCGTATTAAAATTATCCTATTGTCCATCTGTCCGAAAGCTTGGCCTTTAGTTATTCTAGCCATAATATAATATTTCCTGAAGACTTTTGATCTTGAAGCTCTAGAAACATTGGGTGTCTTGTATTTCTTAAAATTTCGAACAAAAACCCTCTTTTGCTTAGTATTTCATTAATAACTATTATTAAGTGTATATAATTTTTGTCTCTACCGTAAGTCATTTCCAGACCCTCTTCTATTTATTTCCTTATTTTTTTTCGTGGCTCTCAGTCAAAGTTTTTTGGAGTATTAGTGCGTGCAGCGATTCGAGAAGGCCGAGAAGATGAAACTTTTACTTTCCATTCCGCCGCTGCTAGTGGCATTTTGCGTCGAATCCCGTCAGTTTACCCAGAACGTGGATGCAGTTTAGTTTTTGTTTTCCTTGTTTTTTTTTTTTTTTGTTTTTTGGTATTTATCCATTTACAGGTTCCCAGCCGCAGACCAACTCTGGCAAAACTTTAAAGCTAATCCCCTGTCCTCCAACATATTTCCCAGAACTCTATAAACTTAAAATAATTATTTTATATCCTCTGGATAATTTATCAACATTTTTTTTTTTGTTTCTTTACAAAGAAATTGTCCTTTACAGTAGTTGGTTTAAGAAAAAAATCTTGGCCAGGGTTTAAGAAACTATTTTTAGCTACAAAGATGCTGTTCTGGAAAAAAGCTTTTAAGCTACTTAGTTACAACAAGGGGGCAACTAATGAGTTGACAGACCACGCCCACTTTTTCCTCCTAAACAATGTTGCAACAAAAAAAATGGGAAGAAATCTATAGAAAAAAAAGGAAAATAGGAAACTGGAGAATGGCAAAGAAAAACTAACAGATGGGTTTAGAAAGTAATGTCTTTAGGGGTTCATCTTATAAAGCTATTTATAAAAATAAAGCAACCTTCATTTAGTAAATTTTTGTTGAACTTTTGAATGGGAAATGTGATGATTTGTTTTTTATTGCCATTCATATAACTTGCACTTGACATTATTGTGTATTTTTTTGTTCTTTCTTTTTTTTGGTTTTGTTTTGCGCAAAAAATAAACTATTATTATTATGATAAACTGTTGCCGTTCTCATCACCTCGCCAACTGTTTGGTTGGACTCGTATCTGAGATGTGAGGATCCAAAAAGAGGGGCATTGGGGCGAGTGTGGCATTAATCATGGGTTATGACTTGGGGCATGGACTTGGACGACATCATGGACATCCACATCCATGGGTGGAACGCAAAAATTTTCATTGCAATTTTATTCTTAATTTAATCAAGTGCCGTGGCACAAACGCCAATTCAACGAAAAAAAAAATAGCAAAAAAAAAAAGAAGAAAACACAAACGAACCATTGAAACACTGAACGACCGAACAACGGCCGTCATACGTTGCGTATACGTAATACGGACTAAATAATAACTTTTGTTGTGTTCTGGTCTGGGCTGTATTGTGTTGTGTTGTTCGGTGGTGTGAGCTTAGCGCGTAGTTTGCACCCGCCAGTCACCGAGTCACCAAGTCCCCACCGAGATGTTGCAGCTGGAGAAGATCGGTATCCTGCTCGGCCTCACCCTTGTGGCCATTGGCGGTGTTCACAGTTTTGGCCAGTTTCATATGAAACACTATCAACTGCAAAGGAACTATAATACCCAAGAGGATTCCAGCGAAAATGATAATAGTGTTTTACGTAAGTTTTTCGGGTGGAAAATTATTAAATGGTTTTAAAAAAGATACCTAAGATTTTGAAAGCTAATTATATTTTTTTTCTTTCACTGCAGGCACCTTCCGGCGTTGCATGTGGGAGCAATCGAAGTTCCTGCCCCGCCGGCTCGTCCTCCTCAGCCTGTGCTCCAATCTGTTCTGCGAGAACAATCACATTATGTCGCGTTCCAGGTCTATTTTCGTAGTGGAAAAAGTTTCTAGGCCGAATGAGTAGTTGCAATTTTTATGTTCACTGTAGTTAAGCATGTGCACTTACCCAGTCCTAGCTCCTGCTCCCCCAAATCTCCCAAATGCATGCCGATATATCCATTTGAATTCCCAGAAGAAAACCCAGAACTAATGCCACTATATGGCCTGTTTTCGATCGATCTCCTCTAGCTGCCTGGACATTCTGCCCGACCAGTGTGAACAGGGCGACGAGGAGGAGCTGATGTACAAGCCATTCCCAGACTGCTGTCCGGTCTATTGCAATCTGAAGCGACGGATGCAGCGCCTCCGCACCATGCACTTCCGGCATCGCCTGCTGCGGAATATGCAGGACGGTTCGTCCGGCGGCTCCTCTGGCAGTTCCTCGTCCTCCGGCGGCGAAGGTCCCACCAACTCCCTGCTTAGCGAATTTGTCTACAACAACTACTAGGCTATGGATTGGAGATGTATGGAAGGACATCCGGGAGGTCCGGAAAAGAGGCAAGAGGCACTTGGGGCCAATCAAATTATGCGGTGATTTGTGAACTTGTCCACTTGTATTCCTCAATTATAGGCATTCTGTCGCCAGTACACTGAGCCAAAAAACCATAGCATCACATCACGCCCCTCAAAGATGTTTACAAAACTGGATGATAGCTTAGAATCTTGAAAAGTATATCGTATCTTAATATTATAATATTAAAACTGTTAGTATAAGTTCAAAAAAAAACGTACATAAAATAGTAATGAACAAGGAATTCTCAAGATAAACAAAGGTTTCTTAACTAAACTTTATGAGAAGCGTGGAGGAGAGTCCTTAAAACTATAATTTTGTTTTCGGTGCATTAACTTTGAACTCCTGCCTGTCACTCTATTTTTTTTTTGGGTTTCTGTCTAGACAGCCTCTCGAAAGGGTCCAAGTTTGGGGACGTTTTTTATATTTTTCTCTTTTTTATTTTTTTTTATTTTCTAACTCCTTAGGTGGTCGTGTCCAAGTATAGAAAACGACAGAGATAGAGAGCTCTTGTAGTTGCCCCAATCTACAGTTATTCTCATTAGGGGTTTTTTGTGGGTATGTGTGTGTGGCATGTATCCTGCTAGTCAGCTTCCTGTTTCCGCTTATCGTTTTAACACTTTTATGTAGCAGATGCAACTGCAGCTGCTGTGCTGCTGTGGTGCTTCGGTGCTTTTCTGTCTTCATTTTTATCTGCAAACAAGCAATAAATTTTATTTTAATAAGCAACACTTTTGATAGCCCGAGCAAGCCAGAGAGCATTCTCCTTGGAGTTGCTTCCTGTCTCCAGCTCTGCTACTGATGCTCCTCCTGTCTCCTGTCTCCCGTCTCCTGTCTCTGACTTCTTTTCCTTATCCTTGTCCTGGACCCGGACTGGCATCCTTTCTTTGGCTCTGCAGTAAATACAAAAGATACTCGGCATCATCGGCTCACCGTTGCCTGCCATAATGTTGCGCCAAAAAACAGAGGCGTCGACTTTTCAAAAAAAAGGGTTTTGGTTTAAAAAATTTGTTTATTTTTTTTTACAATTAAATTTTTAAAGTGTAAGAGAAAATAATAGAGATAATAGAGAGAAGAATAATATATAAAATATCCACTAAGTGATTAAACATTTATAATTCTTTCTTAAACATGTTTTAGCCAAAAAAGTATAATAGTTTTATGAATTCATCCTAAAACTATAATTTTCAATATTAAAATATTTACAATTTCTTTAAAAGCTTCTCCCCCAAATATTTCAATAAAAATAACCAAAAGCTATATAATATCCGGTACTCTTAGTCACTTTCAAGGACATTCCTTCACAAACTTTCTCAAGTTATAATTAAAAAACTTTTGTAAAATAAAGTAGCAACTTGAAAGTCCACTCCTATTGATACTTTGTGTCCATTTTTTGGGGGAAATAGGAAGTAAAACTGATTGCCCAGCCATTGATGGACACAACTGTACCTGGTCCTGGGCATCAGGATCTGCAATAACAGGTGAAATCACAATCAGAGCGAATGGGGGAAATTGCAAACAATTACGAGTCATTTGCCGGCACTTTTTCGAGACTCCCCAAGCTGCTTGCCACGTCAATGTCTTTGGCTTTGTGGCAACAGCTCCCTTGCCCCCCATGTCCCTTTCTTATCCTTTAGTTTTTAGCCCACCTCGTTTACTTTGTGTGGCTACATCCTGGAACTGGAACTGGGCTTCCTTTTGGGCTCCGTTCCACTCCTTCTGCTTCCGACCATCGTCTTATTTTTTATGTGGCTTTATGCCGCAACATCTCATTGTGCCTCATGCTGTTGCATGTGTGTATCTGTGTGTGTTGTGTTTGTGTTGGTGTGGCGCCTTGTAGTCATGTCTTGTTGTTGTTTTTATGTCCTTTTTTTTTTTACTTTGTTGCACTTTGAAGATTATTGCACAATGCAATTTATATTTATCGTACGCTTTTAGTTCTAGACGCTTTTTGTTAGTTTTGGCCCTAAAAAATGGGGTATTTGCAGTTTTCTAGATTGCAATTTTAATTAAAATTAAAATTTTTCATCAGATAGATAATTTATTAATAAAATATTAAAGGTTAGGTACTTTAAGAAAATGAGATAAAGAAAATAACTCTGTAGCCTTCCAATGAAAGCTTTGGTCTTCTTGAAACATCTTTAAAAATCTTTAAAAAAATATTATGAATTAATTATCAATTCGTAAATATTACTCAAATAATTTTAATAAATATCAGTTATATATTTTTCTAAAAAAAGGACCCCTTACTACCCCAAAAAGGACATCAAATCTTCGTTGTTTTGTTTATCTTGGCCATATGTTTTTGTTTCATTTATGTCCTTGGTGATGCCATATACTTGGCTATATACGATGCCACATATCCTTACACACCCATACATATCCCGGATGATATGTGGGGCGTGTCGCAGCCCCTTTTGTCGTCATGCTACCTGCAACATGCGGCAGCGAAAAGTGCAGTTGTATCTTAGTATCAGTATCTTTGTATCTACCATTGTGTGTGCGTGTGTGTTGATGTATAATATACTTTATCTGCATGTGGCCACACAATGTGAGTATGATTATAAAAATTCAATGCATTCATAATAGTGTTTTTGCTTTGCCAAAGCCAACTTAGGCATGCCTTACTTAAACCCTTCCAGGAAGGATAAAAAGGAAGATTTTCCCAGAATTTAAGTAGAGAGTTTTATGAAAAATTAAAGTTTTCATCATTTTTTTTGTTGTTGGGTGTCATGACGACAACGACCTTTTATTGAGAAGAAAAATGCCGAAATGTTCATTAATTAACATCGGGTTGGCGAAACTTTTTTTTTGGAGAAACTCTCAGCCCAGTGGATAAATGGATTCCGTCCGGACTTTTGCCGCCGACTTTTCCGGGGGCACACAATTAGGCGGAGTCGGAGTTGAGTTTGTCGCAGAAGCACTTTGACTTTTTCCTTATTGACATTCTTCAACAATAAACGAGAGAAAATCAAAATAGAAATAAAAATTGGGAATAACTTTTGAATAAAGTTGAAGTTTTAGGATCAATAATGACGAGACAGTTTGTCTGAGAAGGGTTTCTGAAGTGCTTTGGATTGAATAACAAGTTTAAAACTTAAGTTCAAGCTTAAAATAAGCCAAAAGTTCATTTTCAATACACCATTTTATTAATTACTATTAAAAAAAAAACAGTTTTTATATTAATTTTCAGTCAATATAAATTAGCAACCCATTTTGCTGAGAGCATCGGCGGCTGCCTTGCCCATTTCATGCTCATTGGATCCTTCAGGCTCCAGGCAAAGGATGTCCTTGCTGTGCTGCAGCAGCCGGATTACTTCCTTGAGGCGGCGCTGGAACTCCTGCCGCGAGATCTTTCCAGTCTGGAGAGCCAATTGGGCCAAGACCATCACAGGAGCATGCAGTTCATACATAATGAGACCTAAACAGGATAATTGATTAAAGGATAATAATGATAATTGAGTAAATAGGAAAACTAACCTCTTAATCTTGTTAGTCCTGGCTCTAGGAGATCAACAACTTCCAAGAACTCACGGCAATATCTCTCCTTTCGTGCAATATCCTCCGGCGACATTTGTGGCAACAAGTATCCTTCTATCCGGCCGTAGATCTGACACAACGAGTACTTGGCTGAGAGCAGGAGGTAATGGTTCGGACGCAGGACCTCTTGATAACTAAATATAATCAAATAGATTAAATATAAATATGTATTCCATTGATACTATCTCTAAGTTCTCATAATGGCCTAAACTTAGGGCTTATAGTCACCATTTAGATACTTTTGGTTAGGCTGTTGAAAATGAAATTAATTAGAGCTTGAGAAAAGGTAAAGCCATAGTGATTTGTGAAGTTATATCTTTTAAATTCTCTTAAGATCTTAAGATTTCCTAGAAATACCCACCGTATTAGAAAGTTTTCGAGTCCAGGTATATCATGGACATCTATGGCCTCTAGATCATTGTTGATGCGGTCGAGGCGACTTTCCAGATCCTTGGCCAACATTTTGTGATCACATTTATCGCAGCTGTAAAAAAATTAAAAGTTTTTAAGCAAAATTTTATGGTTTTATTAAAATAAGTTTAAAGAACTAGTTCTAAATCATGGAACCTACCATGGAAGTAGTGCGGACAAGTATTTAGGAAAGAACTAGTTCGTATATAAAAGTTTACTGACAAGAGAACAAAATGGCGGCCAATTGAAGACTTTTTTTATGAATTTTTATATTAAAACTAATAAGTTTAGGTAGAGTTTATATTTTAGTTTATTTCTTTTTTAGGAAAAAATTATTAAAAATCGTATTCCGATCTGTACTTACCCCCAACTGCCGTCCTGATTCAATGGCTCTTGGGCTCGCAGCGACCCCTGGCGGCAAATGGGGCAAACGAGAGCACTGCAATCGGAGCCGAGCTCCCGGGGATCGGAGCAGCGCCGGCAGACGCACCAGAAGAGCTTGCCCTCGTACATAAAGGAGCGCCGCTTGAGGGTGCCCTGGAGCGTGTACGCATAGCTGAGCGTGAGGGCTTCCCGCTCGCGCACGCGCCGCGATGTCCTTAGAATGATGGCGTAGGACTCCGGGTGATCGGTGTGCGCCGTATTCGGGGAGCAGTCGTGCGCGAGCAGGAAGGCGCTCGGATATAACGTCCGCGCTTTGGCTCCATTCTGTCCGATCTCGAAGCAGTTGACGTCCAATATGCCGCACACTTCATGGATCTGTTCCGGCTGGAGGTCCTCCAACTGCCACACCTCCCGCAACCGTTGCACCACCTTCTGTTCGTAGTGCTGCCAGAGAACCTGGTTCTTGCGACGCTCCTCGGTGTGGGATTCCATTCGTTCGATGGCCGCAAACTGCTCCGGATCACGCTGGCGGAGCAGAAGGATGCGGACAATCATTACCAGCTCGTAGAGATCACGCACTTCCGCCGGACCGGTGCGATCCGTGAGCAGTCCGCCGGCCACCGCTCTCCTCGCGCCGTACAGTTCGCACTCCTCCGCCGTATGGCCATGGGGTTTATGGATTCCGGGACAGCTGTCGCGGCACAAGGGCCACTGGCAACCAGGACAACGGTACTGCGTGGCCTCCAAGGACACGGGCTGGTAGCAGCCCAGGCATACAGGATCTCCGCTTACACAGGGCCCGATGGCCAGGGGCTCCTCTGTGATGAGAAGCTCCCCCGCCTCCAGCTGACGACTGGCCACCAAGTACCTTCCATAAATATCCGATTGTTCAATCCGGTAAGGTGACTCCTGTTCCTGTTCCTCCTCCTCCTGGCCCTGCTCCTTGTCGGGGTTTCGTTCTTTGTGGTGCGACTTCTGGTGCTTTTTGTTCTTGTGATGGTGATTCTGGAGAAGATTCGGGGTACAAGCAAGAGATTCTCATTAGTGGCCACTGCTTCTCCTGCTAATTGTATTCTAATTGCTTCCTGTCCCTGGGCATTTTGTCATTAATCACCGGCCTGCTCCGGGGGCCAGAACATCCTCACGCCCGTTGTCACCAGAGTGGCCATTAAATGGCATTCAGGCCACCGCAACAGGTGCCCCCATGCCACGCCCACAAACATGTACACCAGCCCACATCGCCCCCGGCATGTACAAGTATTTCACAGAATCTGTCGATCAGGCGGCTGGGATTAATGGATTTGCGGTTCAAAGGCACACTTTAAAATTCATTTTTAAATATTTAACACAAATAAAAAATAAAATAAAAACATAAGCAAAGAAGGTTGTTTAATATTTGATATGAAATTTATTAAATTTTTATAAAATTTTCACTTTTTTGGCTAATTTTAGATTTTAAAATGTCTTTATTATGTTGTGGTTTTCAGATTTGTTTTGTTTGGATTTTAGTTTCTTGGCAGCTTTCCAACTTTAATTTTAATAATGCATTTGATCTGAAAAATCTGTTTTAATTACTATATTCTATTTTTGAAAATTATCATTAAATGTTTTTAATATCTTTAGAGGAAACTGACTACAAAGTATTAAATAATTAAGTATTTTTATGATAGTTTATTGAAGAGGCTTATAAAAGGGGCTTGGTACCTTTATTATATTATTTAGTTTATATATATTCGATATTTCAAATAGGATAATAATATAGTTAAATAGACAATTAGGCTAATATACTTTTAGGCTCTATAAATAATTCTTTTAATTTTTATTTGTATAGTTCTTTATCCGAAAAAGGCTTCATCTTCAAAAGATATCTAAAAAACTTTACTTTTCTAATGTTTTCTTTTTGATAAATATTTGGTTAATAAATAAGCTAATTTGTTTCAAAACATGATCTTTCTAAGACTTCTAAAAACTTAAATTAGCCTTCCAACTTTGTATACCACACTACTTTTCATAATAATCTCTCCAACAAATATGTGTTTCCAATAAACCCTCTCATAAATCTCATTTCTCATTTAATTTATGCATAAATATTTAGCAATTTTCGTAACATTTTTGCGGTTCTAACGGACACACATATATCATTTTCGGAGCGATCAGAACGGATAATGATTCACGGGGCTGTGAGAGCGTGGCGTTTGGAAAATCAATTTCCATATTCCGGGGGTCTTTCGACGCCTGCATATCGGATTCATTCATATCCGATTTATTTATAGGCGGCGACGCTTTTGAATATCGCTGTGCACACACATCGAGCGTCCCGCTCCCGTTATAAATAAAACAAAACACAACAATGCGGCAGAGAACCGCCCAACCACCCAACCACCCAGCCGCCCAGCCGCCCAGTCGCCCAATCATCCAACCACCGGGCCACGAGCCACCGCCCAGTCAATGCACAGTGGTTCCATGTTTTTTTTGTTTCTTAAAACTTAAAATAGAACTAAAGAACTCGATGTTTTGTTGGATGTTTGGAATTTTAGTACAATGTGTATTTTATTTTTTCATTTCCATTTAAAGTCGATATATATAAAGATATATATTTTTTTTAAATTAAATTGTATTGCACTTTTTAGTATCAATTTTTTTTATAGTGTCTCTCATGCGCTGTGTGTGGTAAATTAATTTTTAATTATGCAGCCAAACTGGCGCGCTACCTGCGGTGTTTACATTTTTTTTTCTGCCAGGCATTCTCGATTTTTATTTTATTTGTATTTGTATTTAAATTTAAATTTGATTTTATTTTATTTATTTGGCCTGGTGCAACGTTAATTGATTTTAATTGATAATTTTAACGCGACAGTGGACGGAGACGGAGACGGAGAGACGTGAAGAGTTATTTAAAGGTATGGTCGCTATTTAATAGATATGTTTAACAACTTGTCAATTAATTACGCTTGTAAATGGCGCTGCGAGAATCAAATTGTGTCAGTGCGATGGAGGAGGGGAGGGGAAATCGGAAAATGGAAAATCGGAAAATACGATGAAAAAATGCGGGAAAAATCGGAAAACAAAGCCAATGAATTCTGGCCACGCGTTGTTCGAACCACACGACGCACAAATTGCAACTGTCGAGTTGTCGTCGAACGTTCAACGTTGAAAAATTTCGAACAAAAACCGCCGGAGACGGACACGGAGACGTAGACTCTTGGCACACATTCAAATTCAACGGACCCGGCCAAAAAATACAAGAACACATACACACCCTCAAAGCATCTTGTCTAGACACAGACTTCTCAAATGTATGGGTTGATATTTTTAAAAAATTTATGATATTGAAGGCATTTTGGCCACATTTGATTAAACGTCTGACGGCCACTTCAATGCCACTGTCAAGATGAACCGATCGAAATCTCAAAACTATTAAAGGAATGAGATGATTTTTGTTTTTGAATTTAATATTTCAGACCATAAGGCTTAGTGAGAAATATTCTATAAAATGAAATATGAATGGAGGCCTGTTACAAAGTATCCAAGAATTTAAAGTGAAACCAAACCAAGGCAGAAACAAAATATCCTTAAACCCAGGCAATAAATAATTTATTTGCCAAAATATACACAAAAGCCAACATATTTCACCTGAACCGCTTAAAGGGACATCAGTTCATATTGCAAGTATCCTTCTCTCTCCGGTCTGATAGCAAGTTTCATTTCAAAAGTGGCCAATAATAAATAAAATTGCCTTTTGGCCCAAAAAATTTCAGCTGTCAACGGCAAGTTAAGCCGACTTAGCAAGCTTTTCAAATTTTCCAACGAAAACAAAAAAAACCTTTGCATTTTCTGCAATATTTGTCTCTCAAAAATATACTTCAGAGCCGTCATCCCATTTTAATTCCATTTCCCCACACCCGGACACATATGCATTTTCATCTTCAGGACAATTTGCGTCCTTATGTGCGAGGGCATTTCAATTAGTTTTGAAAATGTGCCACAGGGTTGAAAATCTCAGTTGCTTCTATTTGCTTTTGAATTTAATTGTTTTTATTTCAATTGCCCCAGGGGCGAGCGAGAACATAATGAATATACCGGGCAGTCGTAGAGTACAAGGAATATACCCTTACCCTGTATTTGTAGAAGTGAAACTAAGGAAAAAAAATTAGGAGAAAATATGCTTTTATCTTTTGTGATTAATCCGAAATCAATCTACAAATCATTATATCTAAAATCGATTTTTCCACTTGAAAATCGGATGAGAATTGGCCGAGATATAGCTCTGCGCCTCATATGGAAATCCAGGATTTTGCAGGGGATGCCCCACAAAATTTTGAAAAAAATCTAAAAAATATTTTGTGTTCAGATTTTGATGCAGATTCATAGAGAATCGATCCACAAACCATTTGGTGTATCCCGCTTGAGAATCGGATGAGAATTGGCCGAGATATAGCTTTGGCTCTGCGCCTCATATGGAAATCCAGGATTTTGCAGGGGATGCCCCACAAAATTTTGAAAAAAATCTAAAAAATATTTTGTGTTTAGATTTTGATGCAGATTCATAGAGAATCGATCCACAAATCATTTGGTGTATCCCGCTTGAGAATCGGATGAGAATTGGCCGAGATATAGCTATGGCTCTGGGCCTCATTTGGAAATCCAGGATTTTGCAGGGGATGCCCCACAAAATTTTGAAAAAAATCTAAAAAATATTTTGTGTTCAGATTTTGATGCAGATTCATAGAGAATCGATCCACAAATCATTTGGTGTATCCCGCTTGAGAATCGGATGAGAATTGGCCGAGATATAGCTATGGCTCTGGGCCTCATTTGGAAATCCAGGATTTTGCAGGGGATGCCCCACAAAATTTTGAAAAAAATCTAAAAAATATTTTGTGTTCAGATTTTGATGCAGATTCATAGAGAATCGATCCACAAATCATTTGGTGTATCCCGCTTGAGAATCGGATGAGAATTGGCCGAGATATAGCTATGGCTCTGGGCCTCATTTGGAAATCCAGGATTTTGCAGGGGATGCCCCACAAAATTTTGAACAAAATCTAAAAAATATTTGGTGTTCAGATTTTGATGCAGATTAATAGAGAATCGATCCACAAATCATTTGATGTATTTCGTTTGAGAATCAGTTGGGAATTGGCTGAGATATAGCTATGGCTCTGGGCCTCATATGGAAATCCAGGATTTTGGTGCATATTATTGAGAAACCAATATAAAATCAGTGAATGTACTTCGGTTATAAGTCATATTTGAACTTGGAGAGTTATAGCTTTAGAGAGCTTTATATCCAGAGAAGAGAATCCCCATTATAGTCTTTCTTGTTTTGGTTTAAGAATATTTTATATTTCTAGTAATTAAATTTGACTTTTTAGGCAGACTTGTGTTTTGTGATTTATTGATTTTTGCAAATTGCCAGTTCATAATATAGTTATGTTTGCATTTACATATTTTAATTAAATGTACATAAAACTTAAAAAAGAGTACTGATATAACAGAATAAAACAAAAAACTGGTTTGTCAGCGAAAAGTTAATGATTTTTTTGATTAAATAAATTTAAAGTGTGAAAAGTGTGTGTGTTTTTGTTTGGCTTGCGTTTGTTTGACTAATTGCTTTTGCTTTTTTATTTTTTATTTTTTTTGCTTAGTTTAATTAAAATTAACTTTCAAAAAAGACCAAAACAGTGTCAGACAAAAACGGAGGAAAGAAACATTTTGGCAAGAAAAGTGCCTGTTGCAGCCAAAAAGTATGCAATGCTAAATGGCCGCGGGTATTGTGATACCTGATGAAGGATACAAAAAGTGGGTGGAGTGGTGGTACTCTAGGGCAGTTGTGGGAGTGTGGGCCACTACACCTCGGGCACTATATCGGTGACTTTGGTTCACACACACACTTGGAGAGAGAGAGTGACATCAAATTTGCATGTATTTATGTACATAACCCCGCACGCGCTCGCTTTGTTTATGATCTGGAGCGGAAACGATACGTACAGAGTACACGACGAATCGTTTCTCCCATCCGGATGCCCCCTTTGGAACATCACGCCCCTTATATCGCACCCGGAGGCGCTTCAAATTCGCGCGACACCCAAACAAAGCGAAACCTTCGGCCCACGGAGGAGAGTTGGTGCCCCGCCTCGGTGCCTTGATGCCTTGGTGCCTGGGTGGAGGCGGATGCCCAGGGGCAGTGGCACAAGTTTGCCTATGCGGCAAATATTTGCCAGTCAGCAAGGCGAGAGGATTCAAGCTGCTGTTGCCACACTTGGAGAAATTATATTTAAATGAAAGGATATCACAAAAAATGGTATTATATAATAGTTTAGTATTTTGTAGTATAAAGATTTTCCAGGCTACTTTAAAGTCTTTAATAAGAAAGTCCTTTTCCAACAAATCCCTCTCTCTCTCTGTAACTCTCTGCTGAAACTGTATATTGTTGTTGATGACTTTCGGTGTCAGCATAAACGTCACTCCACTTCAGCCGTAGGAACTGCCACCTCCCGATTCAGTGCCTCCAAATCCATGCAAGTATGTCAACTTGAATCCATTGTCTGGCCCAGGCCCAGTTAACTGCATTTTCCGCCCACTCGCCAGTTATTCATACGCACACACACACACACACACATCTCCCAGGGAGGAAGGACGAGAGTGCCAAGTCCAACGTTAAGTTGACTGTAATTGAGGCAGGTAACTGCATTCGACTCCGCCCGCTGCCATCCCCCTCCGCCCACATTACACATGTTCCCAAAATTTTGCCAGGCGGGCTTCCAGGTGGTCTCTTTATTTGGATTTATTCGTCTGCTGACTCATCCTGGTCTGGTCGGGGGGTCAGGGAGTCGGTTGGTTGGGGGCTTAGGACTCTAATTATTTCATTAGGAGTGCAGCTTAGCAGTTGTTTGGTTTTAGTTTAGTTAAGTAATTAACTTTTCAGCCGTTTTAGCTTAAAACAATAAGATCGCTGCCCTAAAAGCAGGCACCAAAGAGCTTTCAAGAGTCTCCATGAGCTTGCACTGGATCCTCATTCCAATAAGCTCTTCTTCTAGTTTATTTAAAACATTGCTCCGCTCTCTCTCTCTCTCTCTCTCTTTCCCCAAAATCTTCTCTCCCCATCTTCTGTGATGCTCGGACTTGGATCACAGGAATAACCGTTTCTTCTCTATTAATTTTGTATTTTTTGTCTTTCTTTTTCGTCCTTTTACAGTAGAAAAAATACTTTATTTTAATATATTAAAGTCCTTTATTACTAGTTTTTAATTTAAAAAATATAATCCTTAGTTTAATTTATTTTATTTGTATTTGGTTTATATTTTAAATATTTATTTGATTTACTTTAATTGTTCGATTTTTGTTTAAGTGTGCATGGAAAGTCCTTCCACTCGCTCTCTCATTCCAACACTCCAGCTACTCCATCTTTGAAATGAGACGCTCACCGTGACGCTTAGTTGGAAGAGATCTTCAAAAGGAAGAAGACCTTTTATTTAATTGCTTAATATATAACTTAGTGCTAATACTAAAAATATAAAATAATTGTTAATTAATCCGAGTGCTGTTGAATGATATTCGAGCCTTAAGCCAGTGGCAAGAGCAACGCGAACTCTCGAATAGAACTCACCACCACAGCCATGTGGACGCGGATGCGGACGTGGACGCATGCAACTGATTTCGGTGGCATGTGGCAAGCAGCTAGCAGCTAACATCTAACAGCTAACAGCTAGCAGCGAGCGGTAAGCGGCAAGTGGCAAGTGGCAAGTGCCAAGTGCCAACTGGCCCCAAATGGATGTTGGTGGGGCGCAACCGGCTTTTGTCCGATGCGGTGCGGTGGCGCCACGACGAAATCGTCATCGCACGACGACACGAGCCACGATTCGGGTGGGGGAGCCCGAAAGGCTCTCTGCCGGCGTCGACAGCTCTGCCGCCAGTGCCTTTATAACTCACCACGCGCCGTCCGAAACGGAATAGTCGTCGACCGGCATCCGTAGCGTGCGCATCTCCTTATCCTCCTTACGGTAATATCGTGTCGTATATCGGCGTGAGCGTAAACGTAACAGTAACGGTATAACGGTGGAGCAATAGTGAGAGAAACGTAAGGCAGCAGTGTGTCAACACGTGTGGGGATTTAACGTTACGTGACAAGGATCAGTCCGATTTCGGCGCGAATTATTGGATTTTGATACGTCCAGGACATGCACAAGCACCAAGGACACACCGACAGGACATAGCCTACCTACCGAGGATGTTTTTTGTTATTTTTTCTTTTTTTTGTTAAGTGAAACGATTTAAAATAGCGCGACTTGTGAGCGCAAAAAATATAAAACCTCCCAAAAAAAAGGAGTGAAAAGTTATTAATCATTAAAGGACATTTATGTCACACACACACACATACACAGAGACAGCGTCACACACATGTGGCCCAGGACCGTGGGCAAATATTTGCCGCAAAATGTAGTTTGTTTTGTTTTTATTTTGTTCTGCGGGCTGCCGACGAACGACAACGCTTACAAAATAATTTATTTGCCCTCATGCAGACAAGCAGCGTCGCATAATATTTATTTTGGACCAGTCCCCAAGCCCCAAGCCCAGGCCCCCTAAAAATCCAAGGCCAACTCATCAAAGTCCTGCGCCAAAACAATGCCCATTTCCGCGAGTCCTTTTTTTTTATATGTGAACTGAAGTGGTTGTCTTGTAAATGAGTGAGAGTCCTTTGTCCTTTGCGGGGCCAAATGATTGACACGGGAAGCTCTCCCCAAAATAGTTTCAATTGAAATGCACTCTTCTGGAAACAAAGGCTACAAAATCCCATAAAATATTTCTCTTAAAATATATGCCACTTCTTTTTTTAGTCAAAAAAAGTATTAAGACCTTCATGTCTTTGGAGAATCACTTGGCTCTCCACTTTTCTGGCCATAAACTCGATCGAATCCTGGCCCGGATTGAGTGCCTCCTCGGACTCCTCCTCGTTCTGGTGTTTAAATCACCGGAGCACACACACACACACACGGGGACCCAGTGGAGCGCCACTTTACGAGTGGATTGAATCAACCGGGTCACGTGGAGACGTGAAGGACTTATGTGAAGGGCCACCAGGCGACATTCCGCGGATCTAATGCACCTCTCAAAAAAAAAAGATACAATTTATAAGATATTTTATCTCTCCAAATAAAAGATACAAGTTTTCAAGTTTTTAATATTATTCTCCAACCAAAGGACTTTCAAAAACTCAATTTTAAACCCAAATTCAATTATCCAAGACTTGTTTTTTTCGGTGTGTGGAGGGGGGAGTGGGACGGTGGGGTGGTGGATTGGATTTGGATGCCCCCGCGATGTCCCTGACACAGCTGTTAATATAAATTCTCGCTGTCTGTTGCGATTCGCTTTGGCAACGATTTATGAAAATTGAAGTCTTTGTTTTATTATCCCGGACACCGGGGGGATGGTAAGGGTCCTGGGTCCTGGGTCCTGGGAGTGCGCCTGGAGAGACGCGAGGTAGCTTCTCACACTTGCCACAATATTTTATGCAAAGTAGAGAGTAGAGTAGTAGAGTAGCCCTTCCGCCCAAAAATTCCACGGCATTGATTTACAGTCATAAGGTAGACCCGCCCACACCAAGGACTCCAAGGACTCCAAGGACCTGCTCCAAACAAGCCAAGCGACCTACTTTGATTTCGTTTGCCGTGTTTGTCGTGTTTAGAGTTCATATTTGTGCGTTTGTGTCGATTTTTCGTGTAATACGGCCCTTCGTCCTTTTTTTTCGAGCTTTTGTTTGCCTTTTGTTGGCTTCGATTTGCCAGGACTCTTTGGAGGGCAGGAGGAGGAGGACCAGGAGCAGGAGGACCCAGAACAGGCACACAATTGCCATAATTCAATTTTAGTTTTAATTTCCGCTCTGGGGCATAAATTGCATTTGCATACTAATACTGGGTGGTTATCCTGTTGGAGAAGGATAACAGTGTGAGTGTGTGTGTGTGACATAGACTGAAGTTCGCTTAAATCATTTAGGCTATAATACGAACGATATAGTACGAACGATTCCACTAACCAAAATGTCGGAGGTGAAGCCAGCGATGTTGGTGTCGTGGTGCCAGGTTATCCTACTCCTGGTTAGTTGTCAGCCCGGCCTGCTCCTCGTTTCGGCCGGTTCCTGTCGGGAGGCGCAGCTCTGTTGCACCGGACGCGATTCGTCCTGTGTGGTGCAGAAGGCGCCCATCAATGCCATCATCGAGGACCTCAGCGACAAGCCCTGCTACTGCGACCATGCCTGTTTAAAGCTCGGCGATTGCTGTGACGATTTCAAGGATCATTGTGGGGGTAAGTTGACTTTTCTTTTAAAAATTATTTTAGATTTTAAGTTAAATATTTAAGTCTTTAAAAATATATAATAAAATAATTAATTGGATAAAGTGTGGGAGGATTGAAAGGGGAAAAAAGGCCCATCTCCCATACCTATCATATGAGTAGGTGACGAACTGTATGCTATAATGTTCTTAATAAAATATGTAGGGCTCTTAAAAAGAAGCCTAAAGACCCTTATAGGCTTTTTTTATATTATCTTTTTTAAGATATATAGTTTATTTTGAATAATTCGTGACGAAAGCCATATATTGACTATATTTTTATTCAAATATACAATTTTTTGGGGTAGCTGGATATTATTATAAGGTTGTAGTTAAAAAATTGCAAAAAATAACTTACAGAAAAGTTTAATTCTTGGAAAAGTCTGCAAACTAAGTAGAAGACGAGCAGCAAGCCATAGAAAGTCCTTAATCATATAACCAAGACTAAGAGTTTATTAGGAAACCATCCTAAAGACCCTTTAAAACCATTTTCAATTTCAAATATATTTTATTTCTAATAATTCGTGACGAATGTAAAACATTTTCTTATATTTTAGTCAATAAACCGTAACCCTTGACAAGCAGAGCATTACTATAAGCCTATATTTTAAAAACCCCCTCATAAAAGTGTAATACTTTTCCACAAAATAATTATATTTACTCGAAAAACACCACGAAAATATTTATTAACGAAAAATATGAAAGCGTGTGCGATCCCAAAATTCAATGCAAATTAAAAGCGATATTATTTTTACGCTTAAACAAACTTCAAATATAACTGACGTGGCAATTTCCCAAAAATAAAGTTTTGTGCAAAATATTTTGATGATTGTGTGGCATCGGTTCTAAACTCGATGAGTTCAAAATTAATTTCACAAATTACCAAACAAATAGGAATATATATATGTATATATACTCTCCAACCAATTTGTGAGATGAGAGAAACCTCCCGAACAATTTGCCAACATGATTCATTGCCAGTTGCTAAGGGTATTAAGTGGCAAACTTGTTGGCAATGTTCTGGCCACTTTTTTAAACGCAAAACTCAAGCTAGTAGGAGCTAGGAGCTGGGAGCTAGGAGTGAGTTCATTACCTAAAGCCTAAACTTAAGTGATGGCCAAAACTTGGCAGACACGCATATTTAGTAGACGAGCGGTTATGGGATATGCAGAGTGGGATTGAACGCCAAATCCTGACATGACTGCATCGTTGAAACTACATACATACATACATAACTACTACTAGTATGGGTCGTAAAAAGGCCAACTTAATGGCCATATCCCGGGCTAAGAGTCTGCATTCATGGCTCGTTGGGTCCACATGGCTATTGTCTGTATATATGTTTGCTTGCTTTTTCTACAGATACAATTTGTTCTTCATCCTTCTTGGGGGTTTTTTTTTGTTTCGTTGTGGAAAATACAATAGCTAAAGGGCTTTAATTTTATTACATACAGCAAATAAAGTCAACGAACATGCTACACCACCGGCCTTCCAAATTAAATAAGACGCAGACTGTGGGTGGCTTAGAGATATGGTATGGGCCATCTTCTCCTAAAGTTGGAATTTTTGCGTACCAGCTGCGGCTACAAGTTGCCAAAAAAAAAAAAGACTGAAAATAAAAACAAACCAAGTGGCAGAGACTGAGACAGAGACACTGGCAGTGTTCCTCCATTGGCGAAAAGTTTACTTAATTTTGCATTAAATTTGATTTCATTTCCCCGAGACGCACTACCCTATAGACCAGATTCTTGTTAACCAATTAAACAAACACAGACAGACAGTTGTTGAAAGCAACGGAAGCTGCCATAAACACGGCCGTAGAGAGCTATAACCGGAGATGGATAGGAAGACCGAACTGGAGATGGAGACGGATACTGTGATTGGTATGGTGATGGACATGCCCGGCAGACAATGACACAGACACTCGGTCTAGATGGTTGGAATCTTTAAAAGAATGGTGATTCCTGCAAGGGAGTTTGCTAAAGATTGGTGACGAAAGTTGGGTCTTTACTTCAAAAGAGAGTAGCTTCTTAAATAGCTCCCTTAATCTAGCCTAGACTTAGTCTTTGGGTTACTTAGTCTATCATTTTAGATTCTTAAGCTTACAAGGCTTTGAAGTGAAAACATCTATAATATTAATGCTAGTCTTGGTTTCGTGACGAAAGTTATGGACATTTTTATAAAAAGACTCTTAAGAAGCCTAGGATCTTGAAATTTCGAGGTTTTAAGCTGAAAACAATGATAATTGTAAAGGAAAGTTCGTTTATTTAAGGAGTTTAATACAGTTTTGTGACGAAAGATATAGTATTTGCTTTTAAAAAGATAAAAAGCAAGAAACTCTTTATTTAAAGCTCAGTCTAGACTCTTAAACTACTTAAGATTCAAGCTGAAAACATGTGTTATCCTAAAACAAAGGAAATTAGGGAGTTTAAAACAGATACGTGACGAAAGCCATTTATGTATTTACCAAAAAGCAAAAGCCTCCTAATAAAGCCTGACATCTTAAACTTAAAATGAAAACATCTATAATTACAAAAGGAAAAGGTAGGTAGTTTCAATGTAGTAGTTTCAACTACAAAAGGTAGTTTCTTGAGGAAGCAGAATATATAGTATACTCCAAAATGAGTAAAAGCAAGAACTACATAAATTGAATATGCCCTAGACTCTGAACATACCCAAGATTCAAATTTGAAACAGTTTCGTGACGAAAGGACTAAGTTTATTCAAAAAGCAGAACCCTCTTTAAGAAGCCCAACATCTTCCAAGGTTTTTAACTAAAAATATCTATAATTACTAATGGAAGGTAATTTCTTGAAGAAAGTTAATACAGTTTCGTGACGACAGCAAGATAATTTCATTAAAAAAAAGGTAAAAAGCAAGAATTACTTTAATTCTAATTATTAAGCACCAGCTTAGACTATAAAGCTACAAGAAAACATCTATAGCCTTATAGCTATGCTTCTCTTAAGGAGTTTGAAACAGTTAAGTGACGAAAGTCATGCCTGTAGTTACCTAAAAATGAAAAGTCCCTTTAAGAAGCCCAAGATCTTAAGCTCCCTAACCCCGGCTTGGAGCTGGAACCATCTATAACTACCAATTAAGTTGGTAAACATATAGTCCTATAAAAATAAGAAACAAAGACCCACAAGGGGAGGGGGAGCTACCAAAAACAGGAAGCGAGGTCATTTGGGTTCACAGCGAAGAGATGGAGAGGGAGAAGGAGAGGGAGAAGGAGGAGAGCAAGGCATATGAAGCGATAAATGTCAAGTTAAAAAAAGGAAAACAGACAGACAGACAGAGCCAAGTTGGTGTGGAGAAGCGGAGATGGGATCGTAAAGTTGCCCGCCAAAGGGTCCAAATCATGATAGTCCTGTCCCGGTCCCGGTCTCGGTCCCGATACATATGCTTCTCTGGTGCTGGGCGGTGATGCTGAGCTCTGTTCGGCTCAATCAATCAAAGTCGTCTTTTGTGTGGAAATAAATGAATGTAACTATGGGCAGATAACATTCCCCGATGGGTATTCTCGTATATTGATTCAGAATGAGAATCGAACAGAGAGGGAGAGAATAGGAACTCCCACTACCATTAAGGCTGGTTGGTGGCATGCAACAAATGGTCAACAAAACTGTCGACCATTCTGGGGCCATTCATTAGGTCCATGACTGGAAGGGGGGGGTGGAACCAACTCATCAAACTCCCATAATTCACGCTAATTAGTTCGACGAAAGGCAACAGGCTGTGGCATCGAGTGGAGTCCCCTGCCTGGTGGACACTTTCCCAGGCATACCAGTCATATATATGTATATTTTTCCTTTTTTTTCCCATTTTCACGCGTAATTGATGACAACCATTTGAATGTGTCTGGCTGGGAGTGGTTGTTGTGTCTCTTTTTTTTTTTTTTTGGGGGCGACCTTTTGGCCCCGAATCGTAAAAAAAAGTTGTAAAACCAGAAAGAGCAAGTTGGAGATGCTCTTGGAATGGTATATGACTTACAAATTAGTTGACATTGGAACTCTTTAAGAAGATCTAGGCTTGAACATCAACTGGCCTTAAGGAAGGTCAACCCAAGACCATATCGAATGACCAAGGAGCTCAATTCCCATCTGCCTGGGTGGCCTATAGCTCCTCCAACTTCCTCCAACTCCTTTAGGGGATTTATGCCTTCCTCTCGCGACTCTACTCTTAACTCTCAAGACAAACCAGTTACCAGTTTATGTCAAGACTTATCAAATCAAATAAATCACAAGGAGAATAAAAGAATAAAAAGGCCTAAAGACTGGAGATTGAAGACTGGAGGACGAAGAATAAAGACCCAAGAATAAAGACCATGCCACTAGCTATATGGGGAGAATGGATTAGTGTTATCATTGTCTCTAATATTTAAAGCCCTTAGGATTAAAATATTAATTGTAATTATTATCAAGGTCCTTCAGAGGATAACTATCCCCATACACACACACAACTAAGCCAAAGCCCGAGACTTTCCGGTCGACAAACTTTGAGCAGCTTATTAATTTCATTTATTGTGGATTAATAGCACTTCATGTCCTCCATCCTGGCGCCCATCATCCAATCCCTTTTCCATGTAATTGCTGTGCAGTTAACAGGAATCACCAGGGACTTGTTTTTGGGGCCAAACTTGTGTGCTAATTTTACATCCTGTTTCAATCAGGACCTTGGGATTAGTCAACTGCTGTGATAAGAGGCCAGAGTGTTTGTTATTCTCTTGAAAATAGTTATAGTTTTGAAGGGAAAATATTAAACAAGCCATCCAAGCATTGTACTTCATTGCTTCATACAAGTTATAGTTATCTAAGCAAGCTATCCATATTCGAAACATTTCCATAAAATTGTTATTTTCTCAAATCTCAGTAAGCTACCCATTAGAACCTTACATTTGTAAACAATTTTTTATCGAGACCGGTAAGTTTATTTTGTAAGAAGAAACGACAAAAAAAAAGGAAACATGAATCCAAGGCGTAAAAAGGGAAATCTTTTGAAAGCTATGGATAAAAAGGATAAAGCCCATCGGGCTGCCTCTAATAACGACGCGACTATTCCGGTAACTTATTCCACCTCCGAAAGTAACCAGTCTTGTAGGTAACCAGGTCTCTGTTTTCTTGCCAGCAGTCGGAAATAAAGGATCCGGTAAGCGATAATCATACTAGGCCAGGACAACAAATCAAAGAAGTGGCTTCCCAGCTGGAGCCCATGACTAAGACTAAGACTAGTCCAGTTGGTGCTCTAGAGGGAGGCCCTAAGGATGAGATAAAAGACTCTTTGCAGCCAAAGCAAATGATGACTAAGCGTTTAGTTAAAGAGAAGAAAGACGCTTCCAAGCCTAAGAAGGCTGAAACTAAAAAGGCCAAAGAGCCACGTCCCTCAGAGGACCTCTCGCCCAGCACCAGCGCCCAGGTTGTAAGGAATCTAGGAATCGCTCGAAGCCCCTCCCAGGAGCGCGAAGAAAGAAATCAGAAGAAGATTCACGAGGCCGCCGAGCTGAAGCGAAAGGAGGCCGAGGCTCTCTTGGAGGAGAAGGCCTTGGAGCGACGCCACCAAGTCCGCGAGTGGTTGATCAAAAAGGCTCTGGAGGACAAGGATAGGGTCCTGACTCGCGCCCAGCTGGAGGATAAGCTGAAGGGCAAGACCCTTGAAGAGCAAATAAAGAAGCTACTGCACCGGCGGCTGAAGAACAAGCTGGCCATCGAGAAGAAGCGCCTGGAGGAGCTTGGATGCGAGATGGCGGGAGGAGATCATGAGCCGCGACAGGACACGACGACCAACCAAGGAGATCATCAGGAGGAAGTGCCAGTAAGTGAGATGGTTTTTTAAAAATCAGGGGAGGATTTCAGAGCTATAGGAGCTATAGAATCTAGTATTTGTCCGGTATAGGTCTTCCATAGGTCATCGAGCCATTAGGAGAGTATTTTTTCATCCGATTCTTGCAAAGATTAAGACTCTCCTGTCAGTTTTGAAAGCTATCCAGTTAGTGTTAAAGCAGGCCATCACAAAGTTGGCAACCGAATCCCCAGAATAATCGAAGCATAGAAGGCAGTGTCAGCTTTCTCAATAGAATTCCCACAAAATATTAGTCAGCAGGTGTCAGACCGAATAAGGAAACTATCAGAATCAGTACAATTTTCACAAAAACTCTCACAACCTTAACGAATTCGACTTGAAAAACATTAATTTCTCCGAAACTGCCCCAGAAATCGTGCACTCCACAAACCGAAATGGATGCTTTAGTCGACGGCCCTGCCGACAAGAAGAAGGCCCCGGTGGCCACCAAGGGAAATATCAAGAAGAAGGACGCCCTCCAGATGCTGGCCACCAATCCGCCGGCCAACCACCCACCCTCACCGTCAGGAAGTTCCAAGAAGCTGGTGGTGCAACGTCGCAAGCGAATGATGAAGAGTCGCCGCAGCTCCAGCTACGGAGCCCGATCCAAGGCCAGTGGTGCTCGCTCTAACAACACGTTGAATGATTCCTCCGATTCCGGTGATGATGAAAAGGGCTCGGTAGTAAGTACTTCGAGTGATGAGGTGGCTATCGAAGAGCCAGAGGTCCCCAAGAATTCATGTATTCCGGTGCCGATCCGCACCGTCCGTAAGACTGCCCCCGACGTGGAGTCGGCTTGCAATGGACACAAGCGCCTCTGTGGCGGCGATAATGGCGGCGGAATGCCCCCCCTACAAAAGGATAACCTGATTGCCGGATTGAGTGAACTGATCCAGTTCAAGAAGACCAAGTGCCCAGCTCTCACTAAAGATGAGGAGACACAGAAGGAAGTGACCGAAAGCCTCAAAACCCAGATGGCCATTTGTGCTCGACGCCTGATCTCCATCCTGAAGACCAACAAGGAGGAGGGCTATAATTCGGGGCTCGTGGACGTTGCTGAAATCCCGGTCGATGGCTATGATATCGTAAGTTGGAGTATTTCACAACCTCATCCACTTCACTTCTTCCTCATCCCTAATCAGGATCTGATTAACAAGCTACTGGCTATTGCTCGTCGAATCAACCAGTATGTTGGTGTATTTGTGACCAAGTGTCCCACCTCTTCCGTCAAGTGGCGGGCTTCCTTGGAAATGAACATTCGCTACCACGACCTGGTCGAGTGCGAGGCCCAGCTGATGGCCGATGTTAACCAGCTGACGATGAACGAGGCGGTGGTGCAGTGGTGGTGGATCTGCTGCCGTTCCATCTACTTGCTGAGGGATTTATACATTGCGTTTGGAGACAAGAAGATGGTACTAATCGTGGAGACCATTAGGACCATCGACTGGTTCTACATGCAGTGTTCTAGCCAGAAGGACTATTACCAAACGGTTTAAATAAGTTATTTTTCCAAAATTTTCAAGTTTTGGGGGCAATATCAGATATACTATCTTTTCAATGTTATTATGTTAGGACTAGATCTTTATATGTTCCGTGCAAGGACATGTCAGAAGGATAATAATAAAATGCCCATATAGATAGTTAACCTTAACAGGTCTTGGTTTTCTGATGTAATGGTACTGCACCTCGGACCTTTCGATGGCTTATCCTTGTACTCCGGGTCGCTTACTCACCTTTCGATGACCTGCCGTGTGTCAATGTTGATTCTTTGCCCCACCGGCTGGCCAACCCGCCAACCTACCAACGACAGGCCAAAGTCAAACCCAATTTAACAAAAAATCAACGTAAATGTAAATTGAAACTCGGTAGCGGGGCACACACAGGACACAGTACTGCAGGACATGCACACATCGACAGGACACTTAAGCCGGTGAACTGCATCACTTCCTTCGACCCTCCACGGAATCGACTGCCACTCCCACTTCGTCTCAAGTGTGTGTATGTGTGTGTGTGCGTTAAAAAGCAATTTCTTGGCCATGTGTGTGTTTGTGTGGTGCATTATTGCCACCACTCGTGCCATCACAAGAACATCCTGTTCCTGCTACTGCTCCTGCTCCTTCTTGCTCCTTCCTCCTAGTGGATTTTTTTTTTGGCATAATAAATGATGTCAAATTAATTAAATCGACGACAGTCACCCAGAACTGCAAAGGAAGTTGCATGTTTGTTCGACGGCGAACGATGGCATCCGAATGGTTGGTCCTCCTCCACCGTCAGTGTCCTCCCCGCCAGTGTCCTTTACATATATATATCCTGTGATTTTTGCAACAGTGTCTCAATTGCTCTCGAAATCGGATATGAGCGCGACTTTGTTTTTAAAAGAAAACAGACACATTTTTTGTTTTAGCTTATAAAGGATTAATTAAAGCCCAAAGGTTATCCGGCACACACGATCTTAGAGGAAGGCGATAAGGTGGCTGTTCCTTCAGCTACTTGGCCTTAAAAAGAATGCTATACTTTTGGCTGAGATTTTTTTTAGAGGATAGTTAGGATATGATAGGAAATAAGGTTCGTTTTGGGATGTGATGTATAGGGAAGGGTTGTGTATTTATAATGGTTTCTGGTGGAGTATTACTTGGGATTATCACTTAGTTTAGACAAGTACCGGGTATCTTGTAGAGGATATATGTTAAGGGAACTATAATACATGATTCCTAATAGTTTCAGACTTTTTTGTTCAGAAATATGATAGTTATAAGAAAGGTATATTTCATTTTGTATATATTTCTTCATTATTGTCTTCTTCTTTAAACAAATCTTAAAAATCAGTATATGATATATAATAGACGACCATTATACAAATTTCCTAAAGTTTCAGGCCTTTTAATTAAGAAATATATTATTTACCAAGAAATGAGTATATTATAGACGATATATAGAGCCCTTAATCACCCTTTTTATGCATATTTTATATAATATTATCTTTCTTATATGATGGTCCATAATACATATTTCCTGGAAGTTTCAGGCTCTTTCATCTAAAAATATTTATATTTAATATATTTAATAATATTAAATATATGAAGAACCAAGTACCATATATCATACATATTCAGGCTATAGAACCCATTATGAATGTTTCCTACAAGTTTCAGTCTCTTTATCTAAAAATACCATTAGCTACCTTACAAGTCGTGTTCAATATATATATTTTTAATAATATCTTTAATAATAATAAATCCCCAAGTCCAGTACCGGATATCGCATAGTCCTTAGACCCTATCCGCCTCTTTGATTCACATTGTTTGGCTCGGTAGACGCTTAATTGGGAATTTTCCTTAGTAAATGCTTTGACTAATGAGTTTTTGAGCAAGTGGGCAGGACAAAAGGACACACGAAGGGGGGTCCCAGCACAAAGGACGAAGACGAAGAGCGAGAGTGAGAGTGAGAGTGGGGAAAAGAGATGCAATGACAATGGTAAGCATGGGATTGAGGAATCCAAAGACAAAGAAATGCCAAAGGGAAAAGCCCAGAGAGGGTGTGGGGAGAGGAAGGACCTCCCCAAAACAAAACAACAACAACAAGAAGTGGGCCGGCAAATGCACAACCACAAAAGCAAAACAACTAACACACAGAGACAAGTAAACACTCTCGGCAAACGACCTTGATACACACACACATACGTGAAAAAGGATGGTTTGTTTATTTTTTTTTTGTTTTTTTTTTAAGGCAAACTTGTTCTGCTCTGGTTTCTGGCATTGTTGCTCTTTTTTTTTGTAGTTGTTTTTGTAGTTGTAATTAGTGCATGTTACATTTGAAAGGATATTAATTATTTTGATGGCGTGCAGGTTCTAGGTTTTCTCTTCAAACCTCTTCTCTCTCTCTCTCGCTCTTGCTGTTTGACATTTGACCTCCCACATGCAGTAGCATCCACCCACTCCCCACTCCGCCTCCATTAACTGACCCACTTCCTGTTCCGCTTCCGTTTCCCTTCTCACTCTCACTCTCGTCTCCTGGTTTACTTTTCTGGCCAGGACGAGAGGCAGGAGGGCTATCCTTTCTTTCATTAGTTTCGTTTTTCGGGGCTTCGAGGGCTGTCCGTTATTTTGTTATTTCTGTTTCCGTTTCCGTTTTCATTTTCATTGGCACGGGGCCAGGATTCGCGAAGGATATGCCAGCTACCTAGAAACTGTTTCAAATTTGGCCAAAAAGGACTAGAAGTCTCACGTGTGTGTCATTCTGTCAGAAAACAATTAAAATAATTAGGTTTTAGTTTTAAATAAATTTTTAAAAAATAAATGAGCCTTAAAAAACAAGACTAAAAACAAGACTAGTTTCCTATAATTACTGTAATTAGATTTATTCCCAAAAAATAAAAGCCCCTCTTATGAAGCCCCAAAAAGTATGCTATGTTTTTTAGAAACAAGACAACCTTCTTTTAAATAGCCTTTAACCCTTGCAAAGCTTTCTCCTGAGGTAATACTTTCTCCTTTCTACAATATTTTCAATCAAAAATATATCACAAAATACAAAATATATTCATTTCAACTCTTCTCGAGTCATTCAGAGGCCATCCGGAGGCCATCCTTTTGCCACTCCAGCTAATGGCCTTTTTCTGTTTCGCGATTGAATGGCTGCATGCATCCCACTTGTCACAACAAGGACATGAACTCACAAAATTAAAAATCCACACCGCAATCATAACGCTACCAGTTCCAACATACAAAAAAAAAACCCAGGAGTGGCAGGACGAGATAACGAATGCAAGTGAAAACACACGAATAATTGTTACTCAATCGCAATTGGGCAAACAATATGGATCCTGGCGCCCACCACGATATCGATGGGATGTGCCAATGTTCCATTTACATTCCGCCAAGGATTGTGCAAACAAGTGCGAATATGGATATGGATTCGAAACGAATATCGAACCACATTTCAAGTACCTGTAAGTGAATGCAAACGAATAATGGATGGATCTCTGATTAAAGTTTACTTTCGACAAGTACCAGGTATCACGATAGTCCATAATATATATACATATATTTCTTGAAAAGTTTTGACTTAAGCTTGGCTGTCGTCGGGGGAACCCGTCATCTCTGGGCATTGGCACGTTTGAGTGCACAAGAAATGACCAGAAATGCATTGGGCTCCTTGTCCTTGCCGTCCTGTTGTTCGAGCCCAACGATGCGTGGCTTCTGCGATAAAAATAAAACCCGAAAAGTGTCAAACCAGTGAGTGAGAAGGACTTGCCTGAAAGTCCTGATTAGAGTACTGGGATGCTGGCGATGGGAAACTGCAAATGGCAGCAATGCATCAGATCTCATTAGGCTGGGACACCACTTGTATTTGGAGACGCAATCGTCTGAATGAATAATTGAAGTGGCCATGTTGGAGGGAAAGCCAGAACTCTGAACGCAGAACTCAGAACGCAGAAGGACTAAGGACACTCGGCACCCCAATTTTCGAGCAATATAGTAAAGTTGCCGACTCGGCAAAGTCGCATTAATCATTCGCATGTGTTGTGCTCTCGTTATATATATATCTATATATATATATAGCGATTTATTTATATACCGACATGTGTGTGGCACACTTTCTGTGGCAAGCGGGCAGAACACGAGCCATCCAGCCAGCCAGCCAGCCATCCAACCAGCCAGCAGCAAATTGGGATGCGGCATTAAATTAATTGAAAACATGCTAGGATTATGTTTGCCCAACCTGCGAACAGCATCCTCAGCTCAGCCGATGATGAATGGAGGACTCGCATCCTGTATCCTGTATCCGGTGGCAGTCAAACAGCATTTCGAAAATGAAATAAATGAAAGACCTGAGAGCACTAGAGCACCACAGGACCACAGGACCAAGATCAAACGAGTCAAATGTCAACCCGAAAAAGTTCATCCTCTTGTTTGAGTTTTCTTATAAAACATGTCCCTTAAAAACTAAAAAAACTAAAGAGATTTTAATCGAAAAAAAGGTCAATCTTGGCTTATTAATCAGGATTCAGGAGCTTAAGCTCACTGACGAGAGTCAGTAATGATACATAAAGCTAATTCAGCAAAGTGACTGCCTGCCGAAAGGTTAGCAATTAGAGGCAGCACCTCGTAAAGATGGCTTTCGTAGGCCCTTTTGGGCCATGAATCGGAAGAAATTTGTTAGCCATGTTGGCCATCTGTGTCGATTCTCGCACTTTTAATGGTCAATCCCACCGATGAGTTGTCGAAAATCAAGGAAAATATTGAAATGAGAAAAGACCCAAAACGGAGAAAAAAAAAGGATATCTGCTGTGTCAGCGATCTGATGGTGTAGGCCGACTGGACCAGCTGCGTGACATGGCTAGTGAGATGACCTCCAGGACCTTTCTTTATCTCTTTTCGGTTTTCTGCTTTTCTAGCATATATTTTCCATATATTATAAACACATCTTCAGCATTAAAGCCTTTAAAACTTGACTGACCTTACTGCCAATTAGCATATACATATTACCAAGTTTTTTTGGTGGCACCATCCGGCCAACAGGGCGTATGAGAAATATGTGTATTG